GGCCAAGGCTTCTTGATTGAGGGAGGAGGCAGAAGAAGAGGGCTCACCGGGCAGCCTGGTCATCAGGCCTTTCCCTGAAATTTTTCCATGATTGAAACAGCTACCGGTACGCTTTGCAAGGAGTTCTACCTACCTAATGCTTCTTGCCTCCAATGGTCAGCTGACCTTCGACTCGGTCGTGTTCCAGAGAAGGAATCAAAGACAGACCCAAGAGTACGGGTGATTGGTGACTCAGCAAACGCATAACTTGGGGAAGCACCGTCAATATTGCATCGTTTGCAAGCTAGCAACATGGGTAGCCGAGCGGCCTTCCACCTCATGCTGCAAGACCTGGGCTATGTAGAAACCACCAATGCCGACGCTGATCACATGAAAAAGCTTATGCGCTTGGCCAATGTGGTCGAGGCACGGAATCAACTCCAGGCAGATGGCCGCGATCTGTGCAGAAATCAGGAGTGTGGCGAGGCGGCCACAATGCAGTGTGGGCGGTGCAAGGAGAACGGCATTGCGGTGTGGTACTGTGGTAGGGACTGCCAGCGGAAAGACTACAAGGGGCATAAGGAGGTCAGTGAGACATTTGTGAGCAATTTGGAACTTTTGGACTTACTTGATGCAGTTATATGTAGAATGCGCTGCATAAGCACCTGCTGGTATAAGCTCGATACAGACTCAGGAAGTTGCAAGGAATGAGTTTCCCCCCCTGTGTTCAATGCTGTCCTTCTCTTTCTGAATCTATTTAGACTAATGCTGGCCTGTTCCTAGAACATATTTCCCTGTGAGCTTGTTGTTGCCCTCACGGACTGCCCGCGGCAGGTGTCATGTTGAAGCTAGTCCAGAATGCAGATTGTGTATTTGTCCAAGGCCGTTTTATGAATGGCACAAGTAGTACCTACCGCATTGGAAGCATGGCTGTCTGCAAAGACTCCACTGCATATATTCAATTTCTCCTCCTTGAAGTAATAACCAGCCTGATATCGAAGCGCGTTTGCCTGGCGTCCTTATTCTGACAATCCCATTTGCGTAATAGTGAGCTACTGCTAAAGCGTCCACAGCATCCTGTATCATCTTCTCAAACAATAGGTTGCTCACGTCCGCTCTCCCTCTTTGCAGGCCTGCAAAGCAGGGGTTGTCGGTAAGACACCCCCTGCCCCAACTTTTGCTGCCCCTCCCGGCGCCTTTGCCTCTAGCGGTTTGCCGCCATTCCTCCAATCTAACGACGAGCCTAAAAGCTGGTGCAAGGGCCTGAGCGAGAAGCGCGCTTACAAGCGCTTCATCGACAGCTATCGGCTGAGGATTGAAGATGACTACACGATGAGGGGGGATGCATCGGGGCTGTACGGAGGGGAGGACCCCCTCCCCTCGTTCTTACGGTTTTTGCGGAAAGCGAGAAGGAAGGATCTGATGCCAGGTGAGGGTGCAAAACTGAAAGGAGGTCAATAAGGGGATTGATTTGCTTGTGACATTGTAACAAGGCTGAAACTGGGCCGACAGTGAGACTGCATTCTCTTAGAGGCTTACTAAGGTCAAATCATGAATTCAATCAGGACCCCGCTCTTTGCAAAAGAGGTTTTAACCACAGTTCCCAAGTAAGGCATTCTAGCGGGAGCCCTAGAAAGTCCGTCAAAGGCCATGCAGGTAGCTGGCATATGAGCTTCGGGAAGCAACTTGGCTGTTGGATTGGCATCTTTGGCGCCATGACTAGCAGTGCCATAAGCTTCGAGTCTGATCTTGGGCATACTTGGCATCTGTGAAGCACTAGCGTCGCGCTGCAATTAAGGACACTGCAAAGGCAACCTCTTGTGTTTCCTCTTCACTCCAGAGTACATCCATCCATGGCGGGGTTGATGTGCCAATTTTGGTAAAAGATTTTTCCACAATTCGCTGCAGCCCTACCGTTATTTTTCTTCTAAGCTGATATTCTTCCTGTAAGACTCAAAAGAGCCCCAATCAATGTCTCTCTTCTCTAGATTGGTGGAACGACGAAAAGGAGGCAGCCTTGAAAAAGATGGCTCTCACAGACAAGTGGGCAAACATCAAATATGCTGTTGAGAAGAGCGATATCACAGAGCACTATGGTTATGGCTCCGGCGAGCACTTTATTCTGCGGGGCTTAGCAGAGCAGATCGAGGATGGAGAAGATGATGAGAGCCCTTACGAAGAATCAGATTACGAGGATGATGAATCTGATGACGATGAACTGGCAGATTATGCATACAACCGGTATTTGGAGCTTTCCAAAAAAGCAGGATTCGATTGAACTTGTCAGAATGAAGGTGAGCGAGTTTGGGGAGTTGCCTTGACGAAAGTCGACTGAAAACATAGCGTCAGAGATTGCACCTTCGATCAACTTCAAAGATCCATCTAGTCACACAAAGATGAATCAAGATCATCTGCTGTAGCGTCTGCGATAGGGAAGGGCGGCCTTGAATGTTGCATGTGCACGATCAAGACAATACTTCAAGAGCGATCCATATGTCATTGTTGCAATTGATTGGTTGATCTATGGCCCAGCTCCGCTAGCCAATGAATGAACACATAGCTAGCTGCATGCTCGATCAGTCATGTACTAATGCTTAAGAATTGCGTGCGGTTTGCAGAATAGAATCTTGTCATGTATATCCGATTAAGCTAATGCAATGATAGCGCGAGTATAAGTCTAGAGCAGCTCACTTAAGCAGCTCACTTGAATTCATTGAAGGCGTGCATATATGCGGCCGCCCCGGAATAGAGCTCGAGTATTTAAAGCAGATAATTACTAAATTTCGTGCCGAGCAGCGCTTTGATTGCATGTGCAATAAGTTTCGCCGCCGTCACTGCTGGATCGATCGCATGCGCTGGCTTACTAGATCAACCGTGAGTCCGTCGGATGCTTGGACCCTTAGTAAAGGCGATCGAGACATAATCATCCGACCACACACTTACTGTGCACGCAATAACTGGAATGTGAACAAACAATCAATACCAAGTTGTAGCTGGTACATGCTAAAGCTATACTACAGGCGTGCAGATAGCTCAAACTGGGATACAAACTTAGTGTCGACACCATCTTTCTACGTCGAGCAAACCTAAAGAATCACCTTCGAGCACCGGTTATGTACACCTCAATCAGCTTCGACGACGACCCGAGCTACTCACAAAAAGAGCCCCGTCAGCAACCGGTTGGTCGGTCGTACAGCGGAGCCATGCTAGGGCACCGCTCATTCATGTGCGCGTACGGGGCGATCGTATTGAACAGAGGCAGATCTAATCTATACTTTCCTAGCAGCTGGCAATAGGGGAACGGCGGGTCATCAGTTCCACGACACCACGATGGTAACAACGTCTCGTCCTCTTCGTAGATCTTGAGCATGTACGTGTCCCGTACTTGGAATTCCGTCGCCTGCGAGAGAAACACAAGTAGAGAAGCGTCAGTCGAACAGGTTCGAGTCACAGAATCCTATCCAGAACGACAAATGACGAAACTCTCACTTCTGCCTCCTGCGGTTTTACTCCCTGTCTAACTGCAGCCGAAAATTCTTTGAAGAGCGCCGTGACCCTTGATCTCGAAAAGCCGTGTGCTAAAGTGCTTATGCACCACGTGAATATGAGTACAAATGGATTTCACCGAACCATTACACAGAGCCCCGACACAATGTTGGACCCAAATACAGACAAGAGCAGATGACACTGGAATCTGAAGGTCAGATCACAGGTTCGAAGGAAGATTCCAAGTGTCGACCAACGTTCGAGGCCCTCGGTGCACGCAAATGCAAATTCTTTTCTTCCGCAGCGCCAAGCTAACCTCTCCGTTTGCTTTTCGATGGCGGCATCCAATCAGTCCGTCTTGCCAGCAATGGGATTTCCAAAAACGCTTCTCGAGAGTTTGGCCCGCTTGCTTCTTCTAGCTTCGTTGACTTCGTTATGGAGTACGAGTCGTTCCTTCTGACAATCACCTCGCAAGCAGCAGGCGCAAGCACAAAGTTGATCCAAGACGAAGACTCGCGCATGCAATCCAAGCTGCCTGCGCTTCCCATAAGCGGCCCCCCTCACCATGATCTTATCCGCCAGCTCCCCAAACACGCCCGCCCGCTTATACATCATCAGCACCAGCACGTCGCACGTGACGCTCGGCCCGTCGCTGTACAGCCACGTGTCATCCTCCGGGAGCGCCAGCAAGGCGCCGAAACTCATCCCCCGCCGCACGCACTCCACCAGGATCTCCGGCAGATCCAGGCCGTCCGTTCCGAGGCGCTTATTTAGTGCCTCGTTCCACATGTTTGCCACGTAGTCGGGTTGGATCCGCTCCCACATGGTGATGAAGGACGCAACTAGGTGTGCGTCCATCGGCGTTGGGTAGTTGTCGCGTTCGGTGTCGATCCAACTGAAGATCATGTTGTGGAAGCCGTATGGACGTCCGAGCATCGAACGGACGTACTCCCTGAGCCGAGAGACACGGTGTGAATACGAGGAAGAGACGGTGTGAATAGACGGTGTGAACAGGGGCATCTTGGAAGAGCCCGATCCCGCTGGAACACATATTGTGGTAGCCGTACGGAAGCCCGAGCATCGAGCGGACGTATCCGCCGAGAAGCAAGACTGAGGTATGAACAGTCGGAGAAAACGGATTGGACAGCAGTTGTGGAAAAGGAGCGTCTTCGATGATTCGTGATAGGATTGTCAGCGGGCGTTCAGGCAGAGATACTTCTCATTGCAGCTCAAGTGGTTGGCACAGTTGTACTTAAGAGGGGTGTGCATGGGCGGTTCGTGAACGACGCGACTCTACGTTCCAAGCGGCCCTCTCATAGATCTGGCGGGGCACAACATTCTTGCATCACACAGGTTTGCATTCCTCCTTCTCAAGATGGAGGCGATAGGCCCAAGCGTGTGTTACCCCGAGGTCATCTAAGAGTACCCTATATGCTCGACTTGCCAGGCAGCCGTCTCTTGAACCTGGCAAAATACAGCAATTCTCCATTCTCACAAAAAAGCCCTCCTTTTCGAACAGATGGCAGGCGGTGTGCTAAACATTCACCAACCTTGCCTCAAGCATCCGCAAACCTTTGGTCAACCGGAGTATGCTCGACTCACCAGGCGGCCGTCTCATTGAAAGTGGCCCGCAGATCACTCCGGAGGGGCAGTAGAGCGACATGCGGGTCTGAGGGGTCCTTGAGGTTCATTTGCCACCAGTCGTCCCACTTCCAGGAGACGATGATTTCCTTGCCCTGCAGAGAACGTGTTTAGCATTGTCAAAATGAATTTGTTGCTATTTCACCTTTGAGTAACTTTGACGGTGCTTGAGAAATTACTTTCTGTCCCCTTTGTATCGCAGGACGACGCCCTCACCCGGGAACGGCAGGGTAACGTCGATTGAAAGACAAACGCAACTTCTGCACAGTAGTGCAGACTTAGATTCAGCGAGAAGAACGACCTAAAGAAGTTGGAAAATTCGCCAAAGAATACAAGACATAGATAGCCTTAACATTAGAATTCCAACAGGACGAAAAGGTTGGCCCGAGATAGACGAACTCCAATTACCTCGAAGTTCGTCTTTCCTAAGACGAGGAAGTATTCCGTCGTCTACCTCAAACTGAAAGCGCAGAAAGCTACGGAAAAAGAACCGTTCCCTCCCTGCAACTTAGGCTGCCCTCTCGAGCACTCAAAAGGTCATTGGGACCAATGGCTTTTGCTCCACAAATCCCAGAGACCTGGATGTCAAATAAGGCGCCAGTTCAGCCGCTAACCAAAGCACGGCATTACAACAAGCTCACCTTAGAACAGCAACGAAAAGCAAACACTCCCTTCCTGGTTCCATCCAATGGCCTTTTCTGTTCACCGGATTTTTTCCCTTCTCGTCCCTTAGACTACTCACCTTCAAACAGACCGACTTTCGTATCGATCGAAACAACAGGCAACTCACCTTTCAAGTAAGCAAACCTACCAAAAAATGACATCGTTCACCCAAGCGTTCTCTCAAAGAGAAAACAATCCCCCCCCTCACCTGTTCGTCTGGCTGCCCCCCCTCGATCACCCACAAGTCATCCTTGTCATCTCTCAGCGCCACCGCTGTGTGTCCCGCATACGCTCCCGTAACCCACTTCTGCAGCGTTTCGAAACCCCCCCACCGGCCGCGAATCTTGGACAGCGCCAGAAAGTCGCCTGAGCGGATGTCGCTCGCGTTAATTGCGGGCGAGAGGGGGGGCGTGCGTTTCACGAAAGGCGTGCCCATGCGGCGCTCAAGGAAAGCAATATTGGCACTCTCACCAAAGCCTGCAGTAGATAGAAGGCACGATTGGTGATGGCCGGAATAGTTGCTCCAAACTTTCAATGTACATAATCAAAAGGCCCCCTGACCGTTGCCTTAAGGCTTCCCAACTGAGAGCAGGACAAAGAGACCTAGTGAAAAGCCACGTCAATGAACTGTGCTCATGGGACTCCAGGGTGTGTTTTGGCAGAGGGGCTGATCCGTTCCTTCAACCAGCATGCCCAGGGTTTCAGGCTCCTCCCTGCACGTGCAGCTTGTTGGAATCAGATTGAACTGCCAAAAGGCACTCGCCTCGTGTGACTGCACACGATAGCTGAGGAAACGGAGAACAGACGAAAGAGGAGAAGCAAGGACGGGCTCCTCACCCGTGTTTGCAAAGAGCGGGAAGACGTCCCACATCGACTTGAGCGTCCCGAGCATCCCGGCCGGCATCAAAAACACTGACAGCCCCCGCGTCTCGACAAACTCCCGCTCGCCCTCGTGCCATTCGCTCACGGTTTCCGTGTGATGGCGCCCCAGAAAATACCAGTCCCACATGAGACGGTACGGGGTGCCGAAGACGTAGATGTCGATGCACGTGTAGCTCTTTGGGCCTTCCACCTGCGGGTTTAGGGGAAGAGGATTGCAGGTTAGGTGGGAAAAGAGTAGCGGGTCAGGAGGAAACGAGTAGCGAGTCAGGGAAACGAGAGGAGCGGGTTAAGTGGGAATAGAGTAGCGGGTTGGGTAAGAAAAAAGTAGTGGGTTAGGGAAGAAAAGAGTGGCGGGTTAGGGGACAAAAGAGTGGCGGGTTAGGGAAAGATAAGTAGCAGGTTAGAGAGAACGAGAGTAGCGGGTAAGGGAAGAAGCAAGTAGCGGGTTAGGTGAGAATCGAGCAGAGGCCAACAAGAATTTGAAGGGTTGAAGTATTTGGCCAGAAATACTGGTTATGTAGGACCGCTAGAGGGCTCAATAGTACAAATCGCTGTTGAGGCTCTCAGCACGCGGATTAACAGAGGATGGTTAGGGAAAGCAGAAAGTGACTATTGGGGAGGGCGGATATTGATCAGCTGGCAGAACCATAATAGTCCGACCATAAGCCAGTACAGGGTGTTTGAAGGCATTGAAGCGTGCTTGCAAAGGAGACGATGCCTGCGGGCTTGAGTGAGTGCATCATTGGTTGAGTGGACCAACGAAACTGCCTCATCTTGAATGCTGTCTTGTCTGCAGAAGCCGTCACTCAAACCCTTGATGGTACAAATGAAGAGTGCAAATTGTAACAAGTGCCAACATTAAGGGCTCACTAGACATGACCACCAGGACTTAGACCACACGACATCTAATTCAAACCCATCCATAACTCTGTCCGGTTAACAATTTCTTTAGAAACCCAAGAACCAAACAGCGTAGTCTCATGTCGCTGACGTCAGAGAGACATGTTTCAAAGAGCAAAGAAAACCCAAAAGCAGCTCTCATGCGTGCTCGACGAAAAGGATTATAAAGGCGAAAAGGGTGATTGGGACGATGATGAACACCGACACCGTTGGCTGAACCGGGAGCCAGATGGCACAGCCACTGAGTCACCCACTACTTTGTCCTAACTAAAATAACCAACACCTTTTCATCAACTCTCAAAAAGGCAAATGCTTTTATGAAACACGCTGATCACTCACAATGACATGGACCACGCCACCCCCCAGACTTCCGTTCTTGACAGGCTCCGTGAGGTTGATGAATGCTGTGGTGCTCTTAAAGCATGACCCGTTCCATGCCACCTCCTTTCCAGGGATCAGGGAACCGACGTACTTTGGTAGGATTGAAATGGGGTCCCCGAGACTAGTTGCCTGCAAAGCCTGTAGATTGTATGGATGCGGAAGAAGCGGCAAGAAGTCAGTGACTTGAACGGCGGCAGCTAAGGAGAGACTGCATAGAAACAGGAGAGCGCGTGTAGACATAACAGCCCGGACCGCCATGTTTGCGAACTAGCGGCTGCGCAGAGAACCGAGAAATAAAAGTGCTCCACTTAGCACCATGCGAAGCAGCCCATCGTGAGGAGGTTCAGCTACACGAAAGTTACAAGGAGCTTCTTGAAGGATGCTCGCCCCTTTCTTCGTGTTTCTGCAAGCTAAGTTGGCCCAGCTGAATCACAGGTGGGGCCCCACTCACAGCCAACTTAGAGATAGAGGGGGAAAATGAGATGAAATAGAAGAAAAGAGGAAAAAGAAAGATATAAGGGAGCGTATGACCGCTTTCATAAGAGGAATCAGGAAAATGGAATGGCCCCCAGCTGGCCGTTTGATACACTTATTGAGTCACTTTGACCATCCGATATCTATAAAGTCACTAAGTGACGAACAAATGACGTTGCATCAAATTCTGTCTCCGGGGACTCGGACCCTGGTCTATGATCGACACGTGGTCTATTTGACACGCGGCCCAATCAAAACGGCGGATTTTATGTCCATGTCCCTATCTGAGTGGGACCGACTACTTCTCCAGCCTCCAGGTGACCCTAGGTCTGCTCATAAAACCCTAAAAGCAGGCTTGAAATCCTGACCTAAACCTGATACATAAGCTACTATGTGTACCGTATACTTATAATGACATGATACAAACGCTTATGCTATTACAGCAGCTTCACGTAGTGGGTGACGAGTGGTGAAGAGTGGGTTTGATTTGCCCCTGCATCACTCAAAAGTTGCATTCAAAGTGGAAGGAGGACAGTATCAGGACGCCTGCATTCCGCAGGCCCTTCTTCTTGTGCAACTCGTTGAGAAGGAACTCTGATGGACAGCTCTGATTCTGCGCCTGGCGGGAGTGTGCCGGCGGGAATCAATGTGATTGACGGAGTACGGAGCTCAAGGAAGATCACGCACATTATCCTGGACCTTGATGGCACGCTACTCGATACAGGTGAGCACCGACTGCGCCTGAGAAGAAAGTGGTTGCACCCCTTGCTGATGGGAGTGGTGGATGCTCATTGTGCATCCGAGTGTCCTGAAGTTCGATTGAACCTTTCAATCTCCAAGTGAATGGAATTTTACAACCACAAACTTGCCCCAGTAGGCAGTTGTGTTCTGATTCCATGACCACCTTGCAAATGCTTAATCACTGGGGTAGGCAGCCTTCATGTTGAATTGGATAGTCACAAGATTGTTGCAAAGACTGCTTACTCACAGCATTGTGGCCACACCGCTTTCCGGTTCAATCAAGGCTACTCTGAGCTTCTCATTGGTGCACTCTGAGTAGACTACTCTGTGTTTGTGATTGCAGGGTTTGTTTTGATTTAGTCTGTCTCGTTTGAACCATGTGGATAAGAGACACAATTCAGCTTTCATAAGTCTGTTGGTTCACGTTTTGACTGGCAGACATTAGATCACAGACCATGATGGAAGGTTATGAGGAACTTCACAAGTGGTTTGTGTCCATTATAGTTTTGCTTGAGATGCAGTTTGAGATGCGCTTCTTTGAGGCTTTCTCCCTCTCACAAATTAGAAGTCTGTCTCAGAAGGATAACAAGCTGTACTTGAAGAAGCTGTGCACTGAGATTGCATCTGATAAAAAATCAGAGTGTCTGGCAAGCTGGTCGGACAATTGCGGCACAGGAATACAATGGCCTTTAAGAAATATTTCACAAAACTCACAGTGTGCTTGTCACTTTTACAGAGGCCGTGGTGCAACAAGTGGTGAAAGAGATCTTGGAAAGAGACTATAGGAAGGAGTACGATCCAGCGGGTGTGGAGAAGAGACTGGGACTGCGGCCAATCGAGGGCTACCAACACGTTGTGGACGACTATGGCTTGCCCTGCACGGCACAGGAGTTCATGGACAAGACGATACCGATGATGAAGCAAAGGTATGTGTCAGAGCAAATGGCCAAATAGTGTTTCGTTTTGATGATTAGTTGTTGTATCTGGCCCTTTCTGCCCCACATTTGGGGAGTGCTTCAGAGAGGGTGGCAAATCCCCCAGTAGAGTCCCTTTGGAAAAGTACAGTACTTGCATTACTCCTGAACTTGTCTTGAGCAAGGCGGACTTGCTACTCTGGGATGCCGCTTCGCTGAGCTTTGCAGGGGCCTTGTCCAATGGGTATCACACGATTCTTGTCTGGTTTCTGACTCTCATCGTACCGGGATCGCTGCAAACTCAGGAAGCGCCTAGAGTCTGCCGATCAAGAGACAAATAGGATGGAAGTAGGCGTCTGAAACAATGAGATTGTAGGCGTCTGAAACAATGAGATCATAACCCGAGTCTTCTGTTGTTCGGGGCAGGTACCCCTCGATCCCGCAGCTCCCTGGGGCAGGCCGGTTACTAACTTACATAAAGCGGCACCGGATACCTGTGGCTCTGGCGAGCTCCTCTTTGAGAATGAGTATGCAGTTGAAAGTGGGGGCTCACGAAGGTAAGGGGTCATGACTTGTTCCTGGTTAGTGTCTTGGTTGAGATGAGGCAGTCTTTTCGGTTGGCGGAATGGTCAAAGTATCGTCTGGTATGCTTCGACTCTGGGAGCAGGCCTTTGAGATCAGGCCAGTGCGAACAAAGAGTGTCGTGTTGCAGGTTCGAAAGAGGTCAATTGATAGTGCTCGAGTTCAGAGGTCTCATTTGAGGGATAGTGTCGCGACAGCATTGGAGCGATCGGTGTACCTTCTATGTCGACACATTATATCTTCACGGACTAGAGACGGTCACCTAATCCTTTCGTCGACATCCCTGAGGTTGTCAATTTTGATGCAGGCTGGCCGGAAATCCTTGCCGTCAGTGTTGCAGGGGAGGAGGTCGTCAACGGAAAACCAGCGCCCGACATGTGAGGTCACCATCTTCCATGGGATATAGTCCTTTTACAGTCGGCAACTGCTTAGAGAGGTCGTAGGGTTCAGCTGGCAAGTGTAAGTCGAAGACGAGGTTTGATGCTTCCCGGCGATGGATTGGCGAGTATCAACGGGAGAGAAATACGTTACAAAAGGTTGCGCTTCTCGTTGTCTGGGCTGGGGCTGAATTTGTCTGCGTTAACAAGTTGTTTATGAAGCAGTTCGTCGATCTGCAGATTACACGTTGTGGTCATGAACCTGTGCTTTGTGTGGCTCGGTTGTGATTGTCCACTGACCAATCCCTGGCTGCAGTTTCTTAAAAGCCGCCGAGTTGCTGAAGGCTCCGCCGGAGTCCTGCCTCGTTATCGAAGATGCGCCGTGAGTTCCTTTCCCTCGTACTTAGTGCCTCTTTTAGTGTTGTCACGTCTATTGCAAATGTCATGCGACGCAGCCCTTCGGTGTAGGCTGGGTCCATCAGCCCACCTTTGAAAACTCCTCGTGAGATGAAGGCGTAAGGACCTTCCCGTTCTTCGACGAAGGACTCTGCTTTCGCAATTCGTGTCCATTTCGAGTTTGACTTTGCATCAGTCTGAGCACAACAACGCGTTTCTTCTGAAGATTTTTCCCGTTCAAATAACCGTGGATTGCTTTATTTTCAGGCTCTCTCCGCTTATCTTCTCAGTACCGCTTTGTGCGCTTCCTTCTGTCTCCAAGTCACTCCATCTTCCATTTCTCGTGTGCAAGCTAGCCTTCCATCCCTCTTTCGCAAAGGCTTTTACCTCTGCAGATTGCTTTCGAGAAATGACTTATGAAGCTCGTCTGAATCGTCCGATTCCTGCGACGCAGTGCCGGGGTGCAAGCGGGAAAAGCAGCAGGGATGGTCGTGCTCGCGGTCCCGTCGCTACCCAAGAAGAAACACCGGCCGTTGTACGAGGCAGCGGATGCGATCGTGGCCTCGCTCCTCGACTTCCGCCCGGAAGAGTTCGGGCTACCACCGTTTGACGATTGTGAGTGTCAGTTGCCGCGGCAAAAGACGGGACATTACCTTGTGTCGTCTTTATAGCGTGCGGGTCCAGTGCTCTCGGAGTTCAAGGGCTCAGTATTCTGCTCCTCAAGCTTCTTCTGGAATCACGAGTTGATGCAGAATCGAGCACGTCAACTAGGTTGTACTTAGTACGACCGTGCAATGTGAAAGAATGTGCACGGTTTCGACATTGCCCTTGAATATCCTGATTGTCAGAGATCGGACGTCGTTAACGTCGATTGATAATTTCCATCCAATGTAAACGTTTCCGCACAGCCGCTCATCAATTCATGTCAGCAAGTAGAGGTGGATTCCCTTCTGTCAAACAAACATCTCCTGCACGGTCATTTTCATCTCGACAAGAGCATATACCTCGATCTTGGCTGCTCGCCGGTTGCATCGATCTTTCAGCTTCAGGCCTGTCGAAGGCACTTGTTGCGTTTTACGGGACGACACCATTTGACGCAGCCTCCGAACTGGCGCTTCTCAGCAGAACGCGATCTGGCCATCAGCTGATTGCCACGTGTCCTGTTTCAGACATTTGCGACGCGTTGCCTATCGAGCCGTGGTACCTGGGAGGCCCGGTCATCAAGGGTTTCGGGCGCGGCTCCAAAGTGTTGGGCATCCCGACAGGTAAGGCTCCAATTGCCATTCCGCGCTTGTGTTGGGTCATTTGCTGGGGGTTTGCTCGGTCAACTTTATCGATCAATTTGCTTCTCCTTTTCGGAAGCATCTTCTAAGATTCAATTCACTTTCGACACCATTCTAAGTGCTAGGCACCCATTGAATCGCCTCCACTCTGCAGCGACTAGTTCTCATGAACGCCTGGGGCACTCAACGGTGCAGATGTTCGCCAAGGAATTTTCTGACCTTTCCGCATCGACCCTGCGGGAACTATTAAGCTTCTCGTCTGAGTCCGGATGAGATGTTTCTTTCACGTCTGACTGAGGACACGTTTAAAACTTCTGCTTCCTAAACTCCGTGGCCGAGCCCAAGAGACTTGTTCCCCTGCTATGCGTCTTCTGTGATTTTGTAGAAGTAGATTCGTTAGGAAGTGTCCTTGGTTGCTTATTTGTCTGCCCGACGACGCTGCCGACGTGTAGCAACATTGCCGCGTCGTGCTCGCTCCAGATTTCATGCAGTGTCTAGTACGAGTGCTGTGAGAAACTATTCGTCCCGTTTTGTCCTGGAACGAATCTGACTCTCTCACATGCCTCCTCCCTCAACCCTATCCCACGAGAACCCGACTTTCCCACCACTTGATCCGCAGCGAATTTGCCGACGTCATCGTTCCAGGACAAGATGGCGGAGCACACGTGCGGCATTTACTTGGGCTGGGCCGGCCTTCGTGGCAAGGTCTACAAGATGGTCATGAGCGTTGGCTGGAACCCGTACTTCGACAACGACTCCAAGACAGTCGTGAGTGTTCCGTAACATTCCCCTGCAATAAGTCTTCCGACTTACACCAATGGCGGAATGCACTCTGGGAACGGGACGGGCATGGTTAGCTTGAAGGTTTGCGTGTGGACTGAGGAGCGACTTGGTTCAGAGTTACGGTTTCCAGGGCCCGGAAACGGGAAGTTTGCCTATCACTTCTAGGCTCAGGCGAGTAATGACAAGTCGGCCCCGGTACGCGTCGTTGCCCAGGCAAGGTCCTGCTGGCGTCACGAGAGGCCTCTGACGTCATCTGCGCTTGCTGACGTCACCGGACAAGCGTGTGTCCCTTCTGAGGCGGAAGTCGCTTGCGCAGGAGCCGTGGCTGTTGCACGAGTTCGAGGACGACTTTTACGACGAGGAGTTGCGGCTAGTGGTTGTGGGGTACATCCGACCAGAGGTGAACATTTGACATGCTCTATCAAGGGCTTGCTTGCTGAAACGTTCGCAGGATTTGCTGCGGGGCCGAAGGAGCACTCCATTGAAAATTTATTTGCGCGTAGTCGGGGCCTGTAGTATTCTGCGTGTTCGTTCCTCGACTTGGGCTTCCTGTTTGCTTTCCGCTTTTGCAAGTGGTTCTCGCGCTATAATCGCTGCGCTTCAAACATGAGAGACGAGAGGCGTATTTCTGTTTGCAGGCGAACTTTCCCTCGCTGGATGCTCTTGTCAAGAGAATACGCGAAGACGGCCGCATCGCAAAGAACGCTCTGGAGCATTCTCCGTACGCTGAGTATGGACAAGATGCCTATCTAACGACCCCGTTGGCCGAGAACGGCGTGCAAAGCAGCTGATTGGCCGGCCTTTTCGATGTATATTATATGCCTCTCCTGAGTTGACTCCTAGCTTGCACGCTCCTTCTACACAGTGGGTTGGGATTTGCTGTCAAGGACTTTCATGGCTTGAGCAATCGAACTCGGTAGCCATTGACGGCAAGCTTAGCGTGCGAGCACCGATATTATACAGTATACTTGATCTCGAGCCAGCATACTCCATAGGTTTGAACCTTACGACACTTGATGTTGTAGAAGAGTGACAGAGAGATGACGATAATGACAAATCGTGCGCGGCGCTGGGGCGGCCATCAATAACGTCAGCATGGTGCACTGAGTTTCATCCGATCTGAAAATTGAATGCCCCGTGCAGTACCGTCTTGATTTTAGACCTCATTCATGCACTCCATGCTTGTTCATGGCTAGTTTTGATTAAGAAACTGAACGGGGCCGACATGCCTATATGGTGGAGTCTATGGCTTATGGTATGTATGTACTTTGATTTGGCCGGTTGGCTATAGCTGCGCGTGCCATTACTAATCAGTTACTAATAAGTTAAAATTCATGCTGGATCCATTTAATTTCGATCAAGCTCAGTACAGTACGAGCAATTAAGTTAAATATCGCGGCACATATATGTGGACTGCCATCCGGGCACGCGGGCTATTAAGGCAGGCCGCCTAAAATTCCTGTGCGGATCGTTATATATACCGATCGGCTATACATGACCGCGTTCGAGTCCGGCCGCGCGCGAGAGCTAGCATGCAACTTGAAACTAAGCACGATCAATGATCATACGGATCTGATAGCCGGCGCGTCATCGAGTGCTGGGGTGTCGCAAGCCACCCAACTTGATTCCTTGATGCAGATACCTGCAGCCGGGCCATGATCAAAGTGGCCTTGGCGATAATAATCCATGCTCGTGCAAAGAGATTTATGCGGCGGTGGTTTTCGTTGCGCCTCATGGAGATTCGGAACGAGGTCCTCTCCGAGACGCAGATATTGAAGTAATCTGCATTCCTACCTAACCGTCATGATCAAGCACTCTAAGCCTGCCCCAAGTCAGCCGCAAACCTGGTCGTGATCGACCTGCTTTCTGCGCGGCGCTTTTACCAGTGAAGCAACTGCGTGAACGTGACACCCATCCCTACCTTTACTTTCTATCCTTATCAACTACTTGTCGCTTAGCAGTCCTTTTGGTTGGTGTCTTTGCATCGCCTCTACTTCCGTCAAGCACCGTGGGCACTTGTAGTTCGCCTGAGCTGCCGCATGCGTGCTCAAGCAATAATAGCAGAACATATGGTTACACGGTACAGCTGTATACGGGACTGCTATTGTACTCGTCCTACATATCGCGCAGCTTTCCTGCGGCAACGACGTGGCCGAATTCTGGCCGCTGGATTGGAAGGGCGCGAGGAGCGTCGACTTGATCGACGACAGGCTGAGCAGCGGCAGCAGTAGAAGGAGCAGCTCCGAGAACTCGTGCCACACTAGTTGTCGGTTCATGTACTCGAAGCTGACCTGCAGTCACAGGGAAATGGTCAGAAGCAACCCCAAAGGACCAAGAATCACACAGAACCCAGCTCAACGGAAGGCAGCCCCGATTGTTGGAGTGTTGAGGTATTGAGGAACTCCAAGGCTGGTAAGGAACTCCTGTCAACTGAGAATTTAGCATACTCCGATTCAGAAGGGTAGTTGCAATACCATGTCTTTGACTACTCGTCTGACCTGTATTCAACGAGGCAAATCCAATCGAGCATCCGAACGGACAGGAACGTACACCTTCAACGGTGGTCGGCACGCAGCATATGTAAAAAAGGAAGGGAGTGGGCAGAGCAAGACACCCCCAATTCAACTCAATATTCTTTTCTCGAGAAACATGCAAACCCTAAAACGGCAGGTCCGTTCTTTAAAACAGCTGAGAAGCCTTCATAAGTAGACCTCAGGCCCAGAATCCATGATCATAATCCCAAACCGTATCGCAAACCGCCGAGACCCATACTCGACCTTTCTGCGGCAGAAGAGCCGGTTTCTTGCAGCCGGAGACCCCCCTATTGCCCCGAGAAAGGTTTGAGGACTCCAACCTCTGTTCAAACCGCGAAAGTTCAAACCGCGAGTGTTCACAAAGCGGACGACACCAATCAAACCGAAAAAGAAACCAATCAAAGGAAACCAAAGCAAACCACATCAAACCAAACCAAATGGGTCGCAAGTGCACCCATCTGGCGGCTTATGGACTTGAAGTTCCGTATAAAGCGCAATGCAGATCTAAGCAGCCCAAACCAGTCAAACCAAAACAAACCAGGTAAACCGAACCGATTAGATCAAACGGAACCTGACCACATCAAACCAAATGAAACGGTTCGTGAGTGCGCCCACCTGGCGGCTCATGGTTGGCCGGTCGTAGACGAGACGCGTCCCCAGGACGGCCTCTACCGGGTTGCGGTACTTGCCGGTGCGCAAAAAGTGCAGCAGGTTCAGAAAGGCTAGCAGCCGGTACGACTTCTCGACCCACAGAAGCAGGCGCCACCCGCGGTTGGCCCACGTCGTCTGCAAAAACGTTTCTGCTGTCAGAGAGAGCAGATGACTCCTTCCACTGAGAGTCGGGGCTCGGACGAAGCTTCAATTTAGCAGAGGTAAGCTGACCAGCCTCGGACGGATGGGGTTGCTTTGGGGTATTAGGGTGGGTTCGGGTGCGGAGCAGGTGATTCTGTGGGCTAGGTATTCAGTGTTAGTGTAGGAGCTTGCTTTTGCTAGAAAGGGGCTCGGACTCTGTGGCAACAAACGAGACACCAATCGGATAGGGCATCAAAGTTGACGGGTTCGCTCTGAAGGTTGACCACTTCTCCGCTAACAGAGCTCCGTCCTATCCGACCGGCTGAGGAACGGCCTGCCGAGCAGCCGTGAACGAAAGGCGTGTCATGCGTCCCCTTCCCATTTCCGGAATACAATAAGACCTCGTCTCCCAGACTTTACAATTCGACTTAGTGCACGGGGCCTACACTTTTGAGCTGAGGGAGGTTCGGGTACTGAGCCGTCAGTGCCTCCAGTCAAAAGAAAAAGTTCTCACAGAGAAAAGAAGAGCAGACTGTGCAAGGGGATACATTTTCTCCAGACCGCCTTAAGTCGGTCATAACAACCGAGGAGATAAACTTTCGAGTAAACGGGATCAGTCATCCGCGGGAACGCCTCAGAATGGTGTCAAGATCCAAGAGGCACGCAATTGGCCTAGGGCTCGGCTAAACACTGACGGCCTCAAGAAACCAAGCTTCGCCACCGCTTTCAATAAAAAGTATGTATGATTACAGATGTTGACTGTGCCTTGGCAGACCCTCAGTTCGCTGAACCGCAACCTCATACGTCAAACGAAATTAAAGAACGCTGTCCCCAACTTCCGGCGTCTCCAACTTTGAGTCCAAGCAATTGCAAATCTTTGAATTTGAAAGGAGTACCCTGTCTCTGTCGCCCCATCGCTGCAGCGCGGAAGTACTGTTGAGTCGGAGCCAGGCGTAGCGGCCCCCTATGAGCGCCGCCGCATACAGCACCTTTTGCGAGCGGGTGAGACCTGGGCCTTCTAGGCCGGTGCGAACGGGGCCGACCTCTCCTCTCCTGACAGCATGCTCGTTCCTGAACAGTGAAATTTTGTGAACAGGTTGATTGGCATTCAAAGGGACGAAGGAATGGGCACAATGAAGCCCCGAACTCCGCTCCTTTCATTTCAATCTACTCGACAGGATAAGGCGTGGCCCTTCAGGGTCAGTGCGAACGGGCCTGACCTCTCCTCTCCTGGCAGCATGCTCCTTCCTGGTACAAGAACAGGAGGATTCTGTCGACAGACCGTTCGATGCACATCAAGGAAAGATGGGGTGAGCGGAATATACTTCTAAACTTCTTCCTTCTTGTCTTAAACTGCTCAAGCGGGTGAGGCCTGGGCCTTCTAGGCCTGTGCGAAGTAAAGAGCGACCGTGCCTCGCCTGACAGCGTGCTCGTTCCCGATGGAAAAAGACGAGAATCGCAGCAATGTCGGCTATTAAGCAGCTGCGAGTGAGAAATCGACCAGGAAACCTTGGCAAAGATTTTGAGAAGAGAAGACACTGAAGCAAACAGGAAGCCTTAATCAGAGAAAGACTGGCACTTTTCATGAGAGTATGGGGTTTGCATTTGCTAACGTTTCCCTGCCTTTCAGAGAAACCTGGAATAATGTACGGAACTGAATGGAGAAAAGGACAAACAATGATAAAGGTGATACAGATTCCACAGGATGCTTTTCCCGGATCAGCGGTTGTTAAACACCGAACTTGATTGCTTGGAGCCCTCGAAGACACTTCAATGGCCTTTCCAACAACATTCGACCCTTCTCAAGTAAGCCCGAGAGACCAACCACTCAGAACGTTTTTGATGCCTGTTTGACGACCATGTCAGAATTTAAGAAGTTGGACAACATCGGCATGAGAAATTTCTTCCAGAGAGTTTTTTGACCAGGCTCAGTGATGTTAGAGGACAAACTCTGAGGGCGAAACAGACCGCTTTCCTCACGGCCGCCCAGAGTACCACAAACCACCTCACCTGTACCGGAGGTTCATAAGCGCGTTGCCTGGGGTCGGCCGGTCGACCCAGATCGAGAACCGGAACACAAGCGCCTCCAGAACCAGGTTCAGCTCCGGCTCGTATCTCGACAGAATGCCCGGTCGCAGAAAGCTGAAGACCTTCACCAACTGCTCCCGAAGCATGCCCGTCATCTCAACGTCCAAACGTTGGGCGTCCACCTGGAGAGGGTCAGAAACCGGGTCAGGTTGGACTCAGTTCTTGTTAAACCTGGGGGGGGGTAAGTAAGCGGGTCAGATTGGGGCTTTGATGTTCGGCTTACACATGCCCGTAGGAGCTGAATACCTTCAACAGGTGGTTCGCATAGCATGCGCGTCAACCCAACGTTCAAGCACTAGGCGTCCACCTGGAGAGGGTCAGAACCGGGTTAGGTTGGGACTCTGAATTTTCGGGTTGGAAAAGTGGTCAGGAGCTGGGTGCACGAAAGTGATGAAAAGCTGATGAGGTTGAGGTTCTTAGCTTCCGGTTTAGAAGGCATGATCAGGAGTTAAGTACACGGGGTTGTCATCTCTAGGGGCATCGCAGCATGCAAGAAACTGACATAGATGAGGCACAGGTTGATGGGGCATGCTTGAAACTTTGGTCTTGATGTTGGTGAGAAGCTTTGAACAGGGGCTTCAGAATGCATTTACGACTCTACTGGAGGATTGAAAGTCTTCAGCAGAAGTATCCTCCTGTAACATATGTTTACTGAGCCTTTAGGAGGACTTCAGATTGTTAAATGGTGAAAAATAATATATCTAGGGACACCAGTAACGTCGCAAGCGCCTTTAAACCCAGTGCTGTAGCCTCTTGTATTGCACAAAGGCTCAGCACAAAGAGCCGCAACGCTACGAACTGACCAGCACAGGACGAACTGATGAATTTTGACATAGTAGGAATAAGTCCACAGTAGGCATCTGCTTGTAAAACCGCGTGGTGGTGCACGTCAAAGCAGAAGAGCCATACAAAGAAAGGGCATTCTTCCCTCTGGAGCTGATATTACGAACTCAACGAGCCGTGCGCATTTTGTGGATCAACACACAAGAATCTGCTCAAACATACAAGCTGCCTGTAAACTTGATGAAGCGCTTTCATTCACCATTCCTATCACCACTCGCCAGAACTTCGCATGCTTGCCTGGTTCACACGGAGAACTTGCAGCACCGGTGGAAACGCCCTTTGATTGCGCAAGGCAGCAAGCTCCTCTGCTGCGGAATGCCACACCTCCTCCCAGGCGCCAGGCGGTGGAGCGGGTCCGGGGCTCACACTAGCCATGGCGGCTTTAGGTATTGAACGAAGGCTCCAAGTCTGGCTCTAAGCGGAGGACTTGAGCACCACTACAAGAATGCGCTACTTCTTCCTTGCAGAGTTTGCGCAGAAGTGCAAAACCACCTGGAATCATGTGGAACTTGAAGGGGAAATCTTGTGCACAGCTCTCACGTTTCTGATATAACAGCCCCTTCATTGTGCCCGTACCTCGACGCATATTGAAGCAAACCGGGTACATGTCTGGACTACCTTCAAGATGTATTACTGACCGGCACATACATTCTCCGGCGGGCTTTGTACTCTGCGCCTGACCCAATATACAAGCAGTTTTAGATGCAATATATGCTTCCTGAGCTTTTCACCTTGAGAGTGCAGTGCACCAGCCATGCAGGGGATCACTCTTCCAATGCCCATTCATGCGAGGGTTTCTCCTTCGTCTGTGCAAGGACTCTTTTGATAGAACTTAGCAGAGCTGGCTTTATTTGGATAGTGCCCTCAGCATTCTACTTGAGGCCGCTCTTATGATGCTGGCAGAGATTGCAGCCCAGATAGGCAGGACGCTTCACAGAATGCACCGGTATGGGGTCAACAGCGTTGAACGGGTCCAAGCTTTTCCTCTGTCACCAGTTGGCAAATGGCTGGAAAGAGAACACCATCATCAAATTAACTTTACTGGTCTTCCAGTGCAAAATTCACATCACCACACACAATCATCAGCAACATTTATCCCCACGATGCAGTTGACCACAAACTTACTCTCAACTTGGCGCCCACTCATAACGAACACCTCCCTCTTTGCACCACCTTCCAAGCATGGATTGTTCTCCAGTATTCTTAAAACTCTACAGCGCTGGACGTCAGACAAGACTCGTTTCAAGGATCACTGTGCCCCCGCAGCTGTCAGAGCAATGCAAACAGGTTGCGCACCACTTGAGGGGTCGTCAGTGTTGCTTCTAAGTGGTGGTGTGGAGAGCGCCACTCTCCTCTATCTCTGGAAAGACAAGTCCATCTGGCCTCTGTGAGCGCTCTCTAGCTTAAGTTCAATGGGACTTGTCTGGGTACTGGCGGAGTTTCCCTGCTTCAACATGGATATGTGCAACTGCAAGGTCCTTCTTTCTGTCGAAGGAGATTTTGAAGGTCTCTAGAACAGGGCAGTGTTGCTCAGGCTGCCCCATCTTTTCTGTTTAGAAGCAGGAAGTACTTTCAAACCGTATAGCAGGAAGATGCTTCCAATCGTAGATCAAATTAACCAGCCTGCTGTTGCACAAACAGTCACTACACAGAAGTTAGCTTGCCCCATCGTTCTGTGGTGCTGTGGAGATTGCCCCTGGTTTGTAGTCTGTGCTTAGTTTAGTCAAAAGCTCTTCCAGCTTTTTGTTTCCTTTATGAATCCTTCTCCATCTTCGAAGGTACATAGACTATGGCCAGAAGGGGGCAGATGCGGAACGGAAAGCCTGTCAGCAGCTTTAGGAATCAGTGGGGAAGTCACTGGCAGAGTTAGACATCTCGAAGGTTGGGATCACCTGCCTCATAACCATCCCTAGCAAGACTCGATGACAAGGTTGCGATCCTCAGAACAAACACTGAAACTGCTTGCAAGAAACTTTGAAATGCGCTCTGTCAGATGGCCGTTCCGTGTGTGTTGCGCACCGCTTGGAGCTTTGTCAGTCTTGATCAGAGGTAGTCTAGTTGTATCAGGTTCACGTTCGACCCTTTTCATTGCCTCTGGTCTCGTGGTACAGGTAGGGGAGGCCTTCAGAGCACTCCAGGCTCCGGCCAGGCTGCACGTGCCTCTCCCTCACCGGAACTTGGCCCTGCTCTCCCTTGCAGCTAGCTATGCTACCCAGGTCAGCGCTCAAGAAGACTAGGACTCTGTTCGTCCATGTTCTGGATGAGCTCCCCGGCGAGCTGCTACCCGCGGCCTGGACGATAGTCAAGAGCTCGATACGATTGATCACTTGCACGATTGAGTCTGGACAAGTAGACAGCTCTGGTTTATACAAGGAAGTACCTCGCTCTTTAGTTTTTGCATCAAGTTCAACGGTTTGCTCTTTGCATCAAGTTCAACGGTAAAGGATGGAATATTTCATGAAGTCGAGAGGAGTCGGTTCGCTGAACAACTTCGAACTTGGAAAGGACAAGGGCTTACACCGTTTTTCAGGGCTCCTCTGGACTTGGCAGGTTGGGTGTCCCACTCTGGCGCTGGCCTTGAACAAGGAGGACCTCGGGTCTTATTCGAGGTGAGTCATCGTTTTGGATATTGCAATTCAGAGACTCATCTGCGGACATGCTTGTTAGGAGCCGCCTTGCTCGACGCGAAAGCCTCATCCTCGACCGGTAAGTACACAGCTGTGCTTTGTGACACTTGAGAAAGTTGCCGCCTCAGCAGTCTGTTTGTTGTACTGCAAAGGAGGTTCCCACACACAGATTCAAAATGTGTTGTAAGGGAGCACTGCTTTTGGGTTGAAATAGACCACCTACAGTCCGTTTATTTTAGACGCAGACAGGTTACAAAGGCTTCAGAGGTGACATCGGACCTTCCCCAAAGTGGATGAATGTGTTTTGACAAGCTTTCTGAATCGACCTCACCCCTTTACGTAACGACGTATTGACCTCCTCCTGTTCAGCTCGTCCGAGGACTTTCTGACCAACTTCCGGCGGCTCACCACATCTCTGACTCCCCCTCTATCCGTTGAGACGCCCTTGGAGTGAGTAACCGCTCCCCAACTTTCGTAACCCTCATCCTGATCCCTCAGTCTTTTTAGTGTCACCCAATCAGAGGGGTCTGTCGCCTGATACGGCATCTGATAATCTTTGCAACTAACTTGAAATGTCACCACTTCATGAGTCGCCTCTGTCGCGGTGAAGTTTGGAAGGGCCCTGAAACGTCTTCCACCTTGCACTGTAGCATGCAAATCTCGTTCTGTCATTTAAAGGTCAAAAAGGCCTCAAAGGAGGTCAAAATCTCAAGCGAACCTCAGAACCTCAATGAGATTCAAAACGAAAGGATTGAGTTCAGCGTATTATTCAGTATTATTCGCGTGTTTCGATCGTAGGTTTTGGGCTTTTGAGGTGCTTGACAAAGTCATCGTCCCAGGTCGAATGATGCAAGGCCAACCTTGCAGTACCCCAATGGACTGTTTGTGGGCCTGGAAACTATTGACGTTGCCCCTCAACCGACTTCCGTGCCCAGTGGAGAGACACGCAGAGTTTCTCCTTGTAGGCTCAAAAACGAGTTCTGCTAATGTTTCCGAGCGAATAGAAGCTTAAACCTTCCTCTCCTTACGCCGCAGTCATCTGAGCAAAGCTGACGTCATCCGGTCGGGCGCCTCGTCGGGCGTCCCGTACCGCCTCTCCTACAGCTGCATGGTCGGACGGCCGCTGCATTGCGGACGGTGCTCTCAGGTTAGAATCTGGTCCGTCTAGAGGTTGGGACCTACTCAGAATGCCGAATCCGCTCCCGCCTGTCTCTCAACTAACAATTGCATGTCTCTTCTATGAATAGTGCATCCTGCGAAAGAAGGAAGGTTGTTGGTATACTTCAGTGGCCAGCCATGCGAGGTCGGGACGCTCCGGGTGGCGTGCTCTTCTCCAGTTACGAGGGATTGCTTTGCCAGTGTCATTCAGAAACTGTGTCGTTCTGCGCGTTGCGGAAAGGTATTTCGGAGGGAGCAATGGACTCCTGTCTTGTCCCACGAGCCAAACCTTCGTGCGCTTGACATTGTGGGATGTATCGATGAGCTGTCAAGCCGACAACGGCCGTGTATGATGACCTCCCGGATCTTTGGCAGGCTTGTTGAAGCTGAAGTGCTTAGCGGCCCAGTTTTGTCAGCTTGGTCCTTCCAGCTTGTCATGGAACCAGTACAGCGGGGGTTCGAGGCGTCAATTTTGATTGGGCAACGCTAAACTGCTTGTGTGCAGTGCAAGCAGCGGCGACGAGCATTCGAAGATGCGGGACTCTCTGATTTAGATGCTCCATATGAAGGCGGATAGACGATAAAGTGATTCCAGATCCTCTGTTGGATCACAGAAGTCAACCTTCCACTCGTTGATAGCCTGACGAGCTTAAGATCGCCCGATATTTTCACTGTTCGTGCCTCGGTGAAACGCAGGGGCGTCTGTGCCGCACACTGCTGTACATCAGAGAGACCCTGAACATGATGATTCTCGAAACGCATGTAAGACGATCATTGCGCACGAATCTGTCAGTACCTAAAATCCGCAGCTCCTCTGCATCGAGCTAGAAATTCTGTAAAAGGCCGGCCGTTGCCGTCTGCAGTTCGGAGCTGGAAGATCGTAGTATGGGGCCCGGGCACGTTCAAATAGCTAGATTTTCATGCACCTTGAGATGCTCGTACACGGAGGCGCATCGCCGCACATATGCATCTCAGCTCCCGACACATGTCACATGACACGCATGCGCGGGACTACTGTATAATTGACATGTATACCTATCCGATCTTGGTGCGTGTATGTACGCGCATCACATGCATCACTGCAAGCACATATGCATGCACTACCTATTTTGAAGGTCGAACTAGTACGGCGGTACTACTTGATTGACCGTTCTACAGTTGGATTCTCTTTGGATCCTGACTTGTGTCTAGATTCTGATCGAAGAGCCAGGCGGCCTCGCGGTCCTTCGCTGCCGCCAGTTTGCACAATTGCATTTGCGCTCATATAGATCTGAGATCATGTTATTGCATGGCGGCACATGCGGCAACCTTAATCAGCAGCGGACAACCATATTGGAATCGATATCTATGATACTCGACGCGGCGATCCTGCCATTCAGTACACACATGATTGAGAATGTACACGTATGCAATGGGAATAGTGCAATTGAATAACTTATAGGCGCTCCCATGGTCATTTGAAGCAGAAAGCACGTTTCTGCGTGTCCTCCGCTCGACCGCAGATGGCTGGGCATCCCGCAGGCTAGCTCTGAAAACATCGGGAGATCCGATCGACCGCGATCCCGTGCTACTTTTCTACGCTCTCGATGTTTGTGGATTACCTTGCAACGTTAAAATCAGTCTGAGCAACAAGTGCATGCCGCAAGCTATCACTGGGACTCCGATCTAGAGCTCGTCAATTAACTTTCACTAAAAGCAAATCCTATACGTCGCCGTTACAACTGAATCTCAACATCCAACATCGAGTACAGATCATGGAAGCAGGCTTGGTAGCTAAGGATGTGATTATCTGAAACATCCTGAAGTCCCTGTTTCAAGTTAGTCGAACCTGTACTCCTTCGAGGGGCTGCCCTCGTCCAGTCGGTCGCCCTTGCCAAAGCCGCTGTACTTTGGCAGGCCGTCCGGAAATGGAAACACCGTGTCGCCATAAAACCCATGAAACTGGGGCCTGCCTGACACTTGCAACGTTAAGGGCGCACCGTCATCATTTGAGCTCAACAGCCGGAACAATTCGGCAATCTAATACATTTGCGGAGAGTGTTCGGCAGTTGTCGAGTGGTCACATGCACAAGCGCATGGTCAGTGTGTCAGAAAACAAGCTAGAAAGAGCACAAGCGAGAGGCCTTGTATAAGGTGCTTACTGGACAGTACACGAACAAGAGTTCTCTTGTCGAGGACGAGAGACGACTCTCTACAACCGGGATGACAATTCTCAGCGGCAGCAAAGCGGATTGCCCTCAGCACACGTCTTGCCTGGGCTTGTATGGTCTACACCACCTCTTCCTTACCTTTGCAAAAAAGCATGACGTTGGCCCCATCACCCCCTTCCCCAGTCCCACCTCCGCGCCCCTTCATATGACGTCAGCCACTAACGCAGTCAGTCCACTCCCCGAAGGAGAGTGGTTCTTGGCTCCCGATAGGGAGTGAGTGCGTTCGTTTTTTACTAGGTTTTAGCTTTTTTTTACAAAGGAAGACGGAAACTCACTTGAATGTGAAGCCGCCCTTTGCAATGACTCGGGGGAAGGTGACGAAGATGCCCTCGTCGAGAACGTTTGCGAGGGCCGCACCGCACCTGTGTGTAGAAAAGGAAGGTCTGCCTTCTGTATGGAAAGACGTGCTGCATCTGTATGGCGGGTGTCCGTAAGAATTCATCAAGCTTACAAAGAGGTTTGGCGTCCGCCGAAGTTAGGGAGTGAACTTCGACTTCTTCGAGATTTATTGGCTTTTCAGCTTGTTTGTTGGGGTACTGTGGGCTTTGTGATTTCGCCACCTGCCTAGTCTGGTATCCGCTTCGAGCGAATACCTTCTTGGTTTGTAAGCTTATCGATCCATCTTAGATCACAGAAAACAAGGAGTCAGCTTCCGCCCACATCCTGCAACAAATTCGTCACTATCATCACCCGCCTTTCTGTTCCTGATGGAAGAAACGGCTCTCAACGTGCCAAAGTACACAGGACGTGGCGGAGCTGTAAAGCTCTTGCGTTCAGCATACGTGACTGACATATTTGTGAACCAATGAGCTAGTCAAACTAGAGTTTTTGCTCCAATCTAGATGATCGAGCAAGACCTTGTGTCTAGTTCAATATATGCTACTCTCAGACAAATCACGGCCTCTATCCAACCGGCAACCCCAATAGTTTCAAACGCAATCTTATTCAGCCACTCAACGCAATCTGTAAAAGACCATCCTTGCGGAGTAACGTCGTTTCTCCCAGAACTCACCGTTTACAGAACATCCTACGGGGCGCGCCGTGATGCGAGTGATTGTACGACGTCACCAGATCAGCGCCTTCCGTGAACTTCAACCTGGAAGTCACACTCACACAGAATCACCTTCTACTGAAAGTCACACTGTTGTACCCGTATCTTGTCGCAGTAAATTTTGATCCTTCCCCAAACCGCATGCCTGTACCTTTGCAGAACCCGCTAGTATGGCATGCAAGCAGAGAAGCCTCTCTCTTGCGCCATCAGGCAATTGCGGCTTCCTAAGAAGCGCATTCATGACATTAAGGAAACACTCACTAATCGAACATCAATAACACCAAGCAACAGCAAAGCTCCACGACCTGAGCATCTGAGAGGATGCGTGACTACTCACCTTCCCTCCTTGTCAGCAAAGCCGTGATCCACCTTGATGGGGAAACCCACAACGGCGATGAAGGGGGCAGAATGGTAGCATTGGCAGGAACGGCAGTGGCAATACGCCTGACAAAAGAATGTCTTGCAGACTGTTAAGTTCAGGCGCTTGGTTTTCCTGCCCTTCGTCGATAGGATTAGTGTACACTTTTGGGGTTTTCTTTCCGGACACTTGAAGGACTGAGGAAGGGAGCCTCTTGAGATCGATTCAACTTGAGTCAAGATGTGTTTCACCTTGGCACAGTGCAAAATTGAGCTTGTGCTTGATGGCCTTTCATTCTGAACAGTTTGAGGAGCAAGGAAGGAAGGGCAGGAGGAAGGGCTCTTGAGATTACATCAACCTTCGAGTTGAGCTTCCTTTCAGCTTGGCACAGTGCAGAGTTGAGCTTATGCATAAGACCTGGCACCTTTTCTCAAAGATTTCTTGTGATCAATTTCGAAGATCATGCGCACCACCACAGTGTGTCATCTTGTTGCCAAAACACCCCACCGACAAAAAAGTGGTTACGAATGAACCGCTATATTAAGAGTTAAACAACATGCATAAGTTTTACGAACTCAAACTTATCATTGTATCAATAGTCATACCTCACCTGAAAAGCAGGCTCTACACCAGCTGCGATCTCAAACTTTACAGCAGTGCAAAAACATTGACCCTGGATGGCCCTCCCCTCAGGCGCTGCCATAACAATTGACGAGTTCAGGTGGCCACTACGCAATGTTTCAGCTCAATGGAGCCAGCCGCCCTAATACTTTCAGAAGGGCTTAGACCTTGGCCAAAAAAGTTTGATATGTTTGCCGGCCTGCAAACGTGGCATCTGCCAGCCTCCCAAATGCGAGCTGCCAATTGCGTCCAGAGGAGACACCAAGACTCATGAATCCTTTGTACGCTTCCTTGCTCAGCTGTTGCAGAGATTCCCATGCTTTCTGACTCTGACTCTGACTCTGACTCTGAGCCTGAGTCTCTGCAGCAACATTGAAATGAGTGGGGGTTCCATGGAACTTCGGAATCCAGAGGGATTCCTTGGGCGTGCTGATTTGGCAATCCGTGATTGGATACTTGTCTAGTTGGCCCGTTCTGTAAGGGTGACACGTGTCTACGTATGAGAACTCAGCTGACCCTGTGCCCAGCGTTCTCTGCTCTAGTTACAGCTCCGCACAAATGCTCGAGCGCCTGCGTAAAAAGAGAGGATAGCAGCGACAGCACACGTCCTTGCGGAAGACAGTTGGTGGTGCTTTGATCAGGCAGTGCCATTTGACAAATTGCAGGCGAGCATGCAGATCCGCATCGAGTCCCGCAGCGGGCGGGAAGTCGTCAAGGGGGGGCTCGAGCTGCCGGATGATGTAAGCACTTCAATGCATTTGCATTACTATGAACACTGTCTGATGGAGCGCAAATCTGCCGGCTAGCATCCGCATAAACGCTGGTATGCAGCAGGAATACGGCACCCATCTCGAAAGTTGTTCTCAATGTAATTGAAATCTTGCTTGTTCGTTGCTCCCCAACTTCAGAAGCCAGGAGAGGAATGCAGATCTGCCTCATTGGATTGTTGTGATGCTAAGTGGTTCTTGCAAGCGCCAATTAAGCTTGTAACGCCTTCGGAAGAATGATAACCTTGATGTTGAGTTAGATGTCAGAAAGACACCCTCGATATTCTGCATTGAAATGAGCTGTCTCTTTTGCTTGCATTTCATTAGCGCTTATACTGATCAAGCGTTGGAGAATCAAAATGACTTCTTTTATTCACAGTCTTTTCTGCGCGTGGCGCCGGCACCTTGGGAAAGCTCTTAGCCGAGTATCTTAACGTGATCCGTCAATGGAAAACAACTCTTGAAGGTGCTTTTCAGCAGACTATCTGCGCACGAACAGTCAAGGAAAGGATGTTCTGAAGGCGCGTCACCACTTGAACAGGACGGCAGGCAAAATCTTCATGCTTCTCAGAAAGGAGCGCTCTCAGATGCTTGAAGGACTTTTTGCGTAACTTTTGCAGGCGACAGTGGCGGACCTGCAGGCGGCCTTTCATGCAAAAAGTAAGTGACGAAAACTGTGATCCATACTTGGACCACTACCGATGTATTTCATGACAACCACCGCTCCGCTCACCGCTGCCCTTGACAGGGCCGCTTGATGACCTTCGTAGACAGTGGCAATCCCCGTTGATAATGGCCGTAGCTTATCTCTTTTTGTTGATGCCCCTGGTGCCATGTTCCAGAACTGAAATGCACTTCGGACAGATCAAAGCAGACGCTCGATGGTGGTATATAGAGACTGCACGAGGTGTGCACCATTTTGCTGCGTTACTCTTGAAAGATCTGCTCAGATACTCAATCCTCGTCTGGGGAGCGCTGTTGACAATGCTCGTCACCGAAAACGTTTATGCGTTGTAGCTCCTTAATTGAACTGGCGCTCCGTTGTGTTTTTCCTCCTTAACTCTTCTCGGGAGACCAGTTTGTTGGTTCCACGCTTCGGTTGCTTCTTCTTTAAATTTATGCATCTGAGTTGAGATAACGTCGGGGACTTCCTCTTTCTTCTATTCCAATGAGCAACGATTAAAGGTGCGTTATGCTCTTCTTGTGTAAGATCTTGCAGAAAGGTCCCCTTCTGAAATCTGCATCCATCTTGATGTAGCCATTGAGATGGCTACTTTGCTTAAGCTTCTAGCCCCGCTTTTCTACTGTCAGCAATGAGCTCATGTACTGTTTCACTTCTCGCCACCACCTGACCATCTCCATTCTGGAAAGAAAGAGTATCTCTTTTCATCCCTGTTCCCTTGGTTCTCTTACAAGAGTGCCTGTTCCCATGTTAGTGCCTCAGCCTTCGCAGGCCACGAATAACACTGTCAGTCTCGATGCCCCCAATCTGACTCGCCCACTTCAAATCGTGACGCCCCTTTTCCCCAGTCAAGGCAATCGACCCCTCTCAGGGCGCCCCTACATCACGGCAACTAGCCAAACTCAAAAATCTCGTTATGCCGCTAACCTACGGCTGAACCTCCTGCAGTCAAGAAGTTCTACCCGTCCCGCCAGCGCCTCACGCTACCCCTCGGGCCCGACCAGAAGAAGGCCACCGTCCTAGAGTCCTCCAAAAAGCTCTCCGACTACTTCTCCAAAACCTCCAAGCCCGTTGTCGTGTTCAAAGACCTAGGCCCCCAGATCACATGGACCACTCTCTTTGTCATGGAATACCTAGGCCCGCTCCTACTCTACCCGCTGTTCTACCTCTTCCCCCAAGCGCTCTACCCCTGGGCCGTTAACAGCCAGATTAGCGCTAACCGCCATGATTACCAGTTCTACGCGCTGCTAGCCTGGGAGTTCCACTACGCAAAGCGCATCTTGGAAACGCTTTTCGTGCACCGGTACAGTCACGATACGGTCGGATACTACTTCCTGCTCAAGAACTGTACATACTACTGGGGTTTCGCGCTGGTTATCAGTTACTTCCTTAACAACCCGTTGTACACCCCGGTTAGTGAGACGCAGATGCTCGTTGGGTTTGGGATCTTTGCGGTTGCGCAGCTGTCCAACTTTTACACGCACCTCATATTGAGAAACATCCGGCCACCGGGGAGCAAGGGCTACTTCATTCCGAAGGTGGGTTTGTGCTACTACAAGGTTGAGCACTGATTGCAAAGACGAGTTGGCATTAACCACACAGTCTGAGATAGCTACCTAAAATCTGGGTCAGATTGTCGGCCTGGTGTGATGTACTGACAATTTCTGTCTGATGCACGCCGCATGTTGTTTTAAAGGGTCGGTCTCAGACTCAACGACGCCGCTCCCCAATGTGTGAGAGATCACCAGGTCTGCACGCTTGTCAGCAAGCGTTGACATTTCAAAGATGGTATTGATGAATGTTGGGATTGAGACGCTGATTATCCAGTCTAGTGTTGTTCCTCTTCTCCTTCAAGTATGACTGACAATTGCAGGTTCAAGCGTGATTGGCTTCGGGAAACCGTTTTGCTCCCTTCCTGAAGTCAACAGAGTTGGATTCGTCTTTGCTGTCTGAGACAAGCCCCACTGCAACCATTCTACTTTTGAAAATTCGCTGAGCTTTGATTCCTGTTGCAGGGTTTCCTTTTCAACTACGTGACTTGCGCAAACTACACGACGGAGATTTGGGCTTGGATTGGGTTCAACATTGCGACGCAGACGCTTATGGGCTGGGTGTTCATTGTGGGCGGAGCAACGCAAATGACCATATGGGCGGTTGGCAAGCACAAGCGGCTGCGACGGGTGAGCTTCTGTTTCGATCCCAGCACTTTTAAGTGTTGATGCCGCTGTACTTTACAAGGACACACCCTTGCCATTTTGTCTTCGGTTCGATCATCCCATCACGAAGTCTGGGCTCCGGTCCCTTATCATACTGTCAGTTTGGCTGAGGCTCTGCAGGGAGCCCAGACTGGTAGATATGCATAGGGGTTTCAAGACCACGTCGAAACGGGGATGGCCAGGAATGCGCGATCAGAAGTGCTTTAATACTGAGACAAATCCGTATGAGTCGTTGGCCAATCTGGGCCAGACTCTCGACAACAGTTGGTCGTGAAGACCTTGTGCCCGCTTCGACAAATGATGTTGTAACAACGCTGCAAGTCGGTCCGTAGTCAAAGTGGTGAACGGATGCCATTTACGTTTGCAGACTTTCGACGGCAAGGACGGAACAGTCAAGTATCCGAGGCGGTGGGTCATTTTCCCTCCATTTTTCTAGGGTATACGGAAGAAGAGTCGGCATGTAGAAGCGTTGAGACTTTGGGGATGGACTATGTAGAAAGACTTGATGAAAGGACTCTACAGAGAAGGCCGTCAACTGTAACTGCCATTGACTGTTTGTGGAGTCAACGCAAGACCCTTTTGCCCTGCAACGCTGTGGCCCATCTTCAGTACCATTGTTGGGCGTTGCGAGAGCGCTTGGCTAATTTGCCAGCTAGCGGCTTAGCCTGGTGTCGAAGTGTCAAGTGCCTCGGTGCACCTTACTCGCCAGTCTGTATAGATCCAAATACTTGAAAGTCACTTATATGAGCATACATTCTGTAACGTGGGAATCTGCTTGAAGGGGATTCAATAGACGTGTCTCTTTCAGCACAAGCCGTCCTGCGATCTTAGCACACAGCTTCATTACCGCGAGCGAGTCAGTATATGCGCTTATGTGAAAGAGCGTCATGCAAACGGAAAGAACGTTTCAATATGGATTGTGCGTACGCATTTATGTACACTGATAGATTGATGTCCGGCCGCATACCGCTGGATCTGCGCTAGCTAATTTAGCAGCTGTAGTTACTCTTCCTCAATTCACAGGAATAACGCGACGACGCAGCCCGCCAGGAACGCTCGTGATCATATCACGTAAGCGCTGCCCCGGGAGTCTCTGTAGTTGCATACGTTCCCGATCCCCCTAGGTGGGGCAGTGACAGTGACGGTGCTCATAGTCAATCAATTCCATGCAAGCTATCATGTTGCAATTACGTACGCTTATATTGTTTACATGGTGAATCATTATCATCAAACCGTGTCTACAAAATGTACTCGTTGCAATTCAACAACATCAGATCAAACATTGCGGGGCTTACAGCTCACGAGAAACTCGCGTGTCACAAACGATGCGTGGCGCCGGAAGTCGAGGTTTTGCACGTACACGCAGAGCGGGGGCGGTGCATTAGCGACGGCTGTCCACTTAACTCAGTGAGCCTGCCAGACATGCTTTTTGACGAAAAAGATTGGTTACCCATGCTCTGTACCGCGGTGACTGACTATGGATTGGATTCATTCTGGGTCTATTGTACCTTGGAGGCACTCTACACATCGCCGTACAGCAATCGGTAAAAGTATGGCACTGTGTGCCGCCTAAGCGCACCGGCTCTTTATGGCAGCGGTGGAGATCCTTCCATAACATGTTGGAGCACCAATAAGAATCGTTTGGTTAGCGGGCAGAGATTAAGCACTTCGAGTCTCAGGTCCTAGTCACTAGGGGCCGGCATCGGATCTGACGTGTATGAACGTGGACGGTATCTTCTCCTGTACGAAGAGATAGCCGTGATGAGTTTCTAGACCTTTGAACCTGTCTTCAATGACTCCCAGTCTTGGTGACTACCGGGTTATGCGAGCCCAAACATCCGAGCATGCATCCGCAATGCTTGTCAAGCCCCACTGCTCCTTCCGCTGTCTCAAGAAAGTCAGCTAAATCTTGACAAGACACTTTTTACCCTTCACGCTCACAAGCATTTTCACAAGCATGAACGAGACAGGAAGTTCCTCCGTTCGTTCAGGCAGAGGGGAGGGTGGAGGGGCAGGATTTCCGTGTTGAGCGCAGATGCTTGCAAGAAAGCCGGCGGGGCTAGTTGAGACGAGTGCAACTCACCAGATAAACGGGCCAAAGCGCACGCCGCAACCGCACCCTGTGGAAGCCTTCTACCGCGGCCAGAAGCTTGAAGTGGGGCACATCGGACCGTCCACTGCAGATACCGGACGGTCAAGATTCGGAGATGAGCGGGAACGGCTGGATGACAAAGATTCATCGAAAAGGCAAGTTCATGGGTGGTTCGACACTAAATCGCGGGATCGAGGAACGGACTTCCAGGTCCCTGATCGCCTGCTACCGAGGACTGGCACCGGCAATCGGCGAAGAGATAAGAAAAATAGAAACACAGCCTTCGTGGGCTCTCTTAGCCTGGGCCGTTTTGCACGTCCTCACTGTCGCTTGTACTTCTTGTGACCGTCTTGAGCGACGGCTTTTAAGTGAGCACAATTCGTTGAAGAAAATACCTCTTCCGATACATGGGGAGGGAAAGCGGCTGCAGGAAAGGATGCTTTTGGCGCTGGACTCGGCGTTTCATCGTGAGGATGCGCATACGCTTCAGATTCTAAAATCACCCGCTTTTTCACCAAAAAGGAGAAGCGTCAGTTTCGAATGGTGGCCGTGAGCGCTTCTCACAAGAAAAAGGACTCACCTGAGCAAGTGCGTGAAGTTCCGTGAGGCGTAGTCCTCCGGATCCAAGCCCTCCTCTTTCGAGTACCTGACAGCCAGAAGCTAAAGAACGTTCGCGCGACTTGGCGCACAACAGCAATAACCAATCTGGTACAAGAGCACGGAAAGGATGCGCACGCTGATAATCGACCGTCTAAGATCAATTGGGGTCTCAAGGTTACGAAGTATCATGTTTCAAAAAACCAGGCGTTGAGAGTTCAGGGTCTTCGATCAAAAGGATTGGAATGTTCCCAGTACACTTCTGAACCGGTCCGTACCTCCAGCCCGGTTCCTCAAGAAAACGTGAGACGCCGGTCATGGCGGGCAAAACGTCCACGTGGACGTACGGAGGAGCGTCCAAATGCGGCTTCGAGCTCTCTGTACAGTAATGCAAGTACGACAATCAGTCTTCCGAGGGATTTATCTTGCTTCTTTCTCTTGCTTTTCCCTGAGGTCACAATACTCCGGACGTTTGCGGCCGGCTTGAGAAAGTAGCAGCTGTACGTGACTGCACTCTCTGTCCGAAAATGCAAAGACGCGGGTTTAGTTTTCCGGAAATGTTCATTCGTCGCTTTTTTAATCATGCAGTGCAATCGGTTCAAGTCCCGATTTCTTCTGTGCTTCAGCGCTTTCCTTGACCTACAGCCCAGATTGAACTAAGCAAGACTTGGTCTACACATCAAGATGTGGGCGATATTTTTAAAAATGGGGTCTCTGTATTGTGTTCGCCACTCGGTTAGGTCCTCAGGTACCGGGACCGAAGCTTCGATGCTCGACTTCGTTCTCACAATGCTCAAAGGATCCCAACCTGCGAATGCGTTCCCATTAAATTCATTTTTACTTAAGGGTGCTTACCTAATTTGTGCAGCAGTCTCAGGGCCTCCCCCCCAGGGTAGTTAGCGGCCGAAGCTGCCGTAAAAACGCAAGTAGCAGCCAGGCTGCCGAGAAGCAACCCAGCGCAGCTTAAGCCCAGGAGCTTCCATAACCAGGACTTATGCCAATTGATGCGTCTGCAAAAAAGGTGAACTCACAATAAAGACGACTATGATAAGAACCAATGAAGCAAAAAGGAGACCTTCAAAGGAACAACGAAGGATAATGGAGCTCAGGAGCGTCTCCACCCAGAAACGCGAGATACAGGAGGCCTAAGAGACTGATCCTATCGCTTGCTCGATCCCTTCCGAGAAAGAAAGAAAGGAGACTCCCTTAAGGGAAGGAAAACTCCCTTAGAAAAGAATCTCATTATGGAGCTGAATAGGAGGGCGCTCTCACATCCGTTCGATGGCGACTGCGGCGGATGTGTTGAAGATCGGGAAAGCTGGGAAGATGAACCGCAACTCCTGGTGGAAATAACGAAGCCCGGTCAAACATTTCGAGCACGTCTCTCAAAACCGGTTACTTCACGCTCTGAGAGTTCGCAGCCATTTTATGTGGATTGCTTGGAAGCAAGCAGAGTTGATCTGGATTGATCATACAAGCTCCGTTTCCATCCAACGACAAGTCGGAGCTGACTAAATCAGCCTGACGAATTTTCTCCACGTAGACCTGAACAAACAAGTCCATTTGGTCGGACCCAAATTCACGCGATTACGGATGTTCCAGAATTGCCTTAACAAGGTGCCGGGGTCCTGATCAACTCGAGAAAGGCTCCGCAATAAAAGCTCGGCTGATCGTAAAATCCAGAGTACTGACATCTCCGTGTCCCAGTCCAGGGAGGAGCGACGCGGCTTACTAGATACCTGGTGCCTGATTTTCAAGTTACGAAATCTGGTTTAAGCAAGTCTTACCTTATGTGGAAGATACGAGTAGAGTGACACGAACAAGAGGATCGGCCACAGCAGGCTCCCCGCGCGCCGGTCAAGGAACGCGCCGAGCTGCAACCGAGGTTTTCACACCACAGGTTAGCGCTCGTTTCGTCTAGGTGGGAATGGTCCGGTGAGCTGCACACTCTTGTTGGATGACACAGAGTTAGCGCCCGCTGTGCACAAAATTTCAGAAACCGCAACCCAGCTGCAGGTTTAGTTCATCACCGCAGGGTTAGGTTCGTTCGCCGCACCGAAAAAGTATAAAGAAGTCCTCAAAAAAAAATAGAGAGGTCCTTGCCACGGTTCCCTTTGCTTCAATAAAGTTTCTGACCGATTGATTCCTAAGCGACCTCGTCCTTTCAGTACGGAAAGGACGATTCAATCACGTCTGACGATGCAAATATAGAACGTTGGAGAACTCTTCCAAAACCTGGTTGCGTAACTTACCAGTGCTAGGGGGTATGCCCCGAGCAGTGCCCGGGGCAGCGCCGAGGTGAAGTACCAGTGCCACGGGGAGACGCCCCAGTCGGCGCTCTTGTTTAGAACAGTGTTGAACCACAGGACCTCGCCCTCAGGCCACAACCACCGGCCCCAGAAGAAGGAGTCGACTGCCACAGTGACAGCTGTCAGAAATAAGGGGACGGAATTGGTTGATCAAAGGAGGAGTCGACAGCCACTCTGACAGCTGTCAAACAGAAGGGCGATTGGTCGGTGGAAGAGGGAGGAAAGACGATGGAGTCGACTGCCACCGTGACAGCTGTTCGGGGAAAGAGAGCGTGATTGGTGGAAGACAGGCGGGAAGACTACTGGCACTCAAGAGAAATGTTGGAAAAAACCGAGGTGTAGTAAGGTGACCGCACTGGGACGGGTAGGGTTAGTTTGGAAGTTAGGGTGGGTATGGGTGCGGAGCAGGCAGGTTTGTGGGTTTAAGTTTGTGATGTTAGTCAGAGCTTATTATTATCGTGGCTTATCAATATCATTCTCAAGTTTTGTGGAAGAGTAAGGGGCAATGGACCGAGGCGAGACATTAGGGGAGAGGAGCGAGCGAGTTCGGGAAGGTCGAAATACAACCGGCAGAAAAGTCGGAAACTCGAGCACTGCAAGCAGAGTGCACCTGAAAGAGCTGAGATGTGGAGTCAAAGGGAACGAATCGAATCGACAAGCGAGCTTTCAAGACATGTTCTAAGGTTATGTTGCTGTGATCCGTGTCAAGCTGACGACAAGAGAGTAACCAATGAACCATACGCTGGAAGTGCTTTGACTCTGTGCGCATGAAGGAAGCTCGTCAATCAAGAAGATACTTTTGACTTCACACGCAAGGTGATTGTGCTAAGGATATGTCTTAAGCTTACCCAAGCTGGCAACAGCAGCAACGAAACAGCACCTGAAGGCGGCCCAGAACGATATCGATCGGGTCTGCGGGCGATCCACGGGTGAAAACGGACGAACGTCAGAATCTCCAGAAACATTCAGGCGGACGGATACATGACTGGACGAACGGAGATCCACCTGGTTGTCATAAACAACGATCTAGATTCCCGAAATACCGAAAGCAATCTGGGATTCTGAAAACACCCGAGCAGAACGAACTGCTTCTTCAGATCGAGCACGGTGCAAGCACGACAGAGCTGTTCGGACAGGCTTTTTTCAAGAGGCTACATCTGCACAAGAACGTGCAGACGAAATTATGGAAATGTACAGAAATCTTGACTTACCAAGAGTAGGTGAAGCCCAAGCGGCCCAAGTAGTATAACCAGATCGCACCGGAACACGCCCATAGCAAAGACCTGAAGAAAGAGGGGTCAGTTCACGGGCGGGCGAAAGCAGAGTCTCTCAAAGAGACCGTCCGCGTTCCAAGAAATCTTAGTATTGACAAAGTCCAAAAACGTCTGATAGACGATCTTACTAAGGTCGAGATTCTTCATTCCTGGGCAAGCAGACGAGGAACGAACCGCATCTTCGTTCACTACCTCGCAGACCCGGGCCCCTTAAAACACAGGTTCAATACGTGGCAGCGCCAGTCTGCGATGCATTAGGTGCAAACTTTGTGGTTTTCGACGATACACGTCATTCCATGCATTTCCAGACAGTGTCAACACTCCGTCGAAGACAACATGTTAAAGCTGCGTTTTAAGGGGCCCGAGAGAAGGACGGCAGTCGTTCAATCAGCCATGCGCAATCAGCTCAATCAACGGGCTAGGCTTTAAGGTCAGACACCCAGCAGCCTTACCACGAACCGAAGCATCGCCACTGGTCTCCCCTCCAACCATCTTGCGTATGCGTAGCTCACTGCAAAGAAATGCGTGTTCACTTCGCTCAAAACGTTGTCCGACTTACAATCGATCACTAGGCACTTGAAGGGGATTGAAGGCAGAAAGCGGAGAACCTCTTCCTGGTCGATCTTTTTCAGTCTCCTTGGATCCGTCTCACTGTAAGTTCTTACTCCGCCTTCGTTTTCAGGTCACTGACCGTGGGAAGCACTCGCTCTTCAAGAAGTCGCCATCACGAAAATATCAGCCTTTCAGTCCAAAATCTCCGGAGCGAAGCTCTTGGTGGAACAATATGGAGAAGTATTGCGGACGTTCTTTCTCACCTAGCCCGAGCGCAAATATGTTGGGTAGCGGTCTGCTGGCGTAAAAGAGAAGGTGGAACTGCGAGCAGCAAACGAGGGCGAACGCCCTGCCAACGTTTGGACCGAATCTTGACCTGATCTGCACACGCAGAGGGCAAAGGTGAGCCTTTCATTTCATGCACGAAAAGGTGGTCTTCGAGAGGCCCACTGCGTAGAAGCAGTAGACTGCTCCATGATCGGGATCGTGTGGAACTCTGGTTGGCAGAGCAATGGCAGCAACAATTGTACGGATGACGATTGAGATGAAGAGTGGGACTTGGGGACAGTATATGCTTCTTCTCCTGTATTCTGAAACGTTTGTGGGAACTACGGTGGCCCCTCCCAAGATTCTCGAACGCGTTGCGCAATTCTAAGGTGCCAAACTTGAAGTCCTCTCAGCGGAGGAGCTCAAAAGTTGCTGCAGAGGACAACTCGGTTCACGAAAGAAGCATGACCTGGACATGTACCTGGCGGTTGAGAGCGATGAGTGAGCTTGCGGTGGCGAGTCCAAGGACGATTCGTACTGCAGGACAAAGGTTCGAAAATTTTGGTACGAGACCCCGGCAGCGATTCCCTCCATTCAGAAAACCGATTTTAGGCTCCTCGTTTGGCCCATCATGTCTTGCCTCTAGTGAGACCACACTATAACGTTCTCCTTTGTTGACAAGGTTGTTTGCAAACTGATACATTCCAATTACTTCTGGTGGACATCGACCTTGCCATGGGTACAAAGAGAGACTATAGTGTCCAGCCTGCAACAAACAACACAAAACTCTTCACTAGCTTGACAGCGTACAGCACCCTTGGGAAGAGGATGCAAATTGACTCCTGAATACTTGAAACAACTTGAACCAACTTTTGCGAGATACATACAAGCCCACCAAAGCATAGAAACTTTTCTTGCTGTTCATGCATCAGATGAGGCGCACCTACATAGAGTGCCCCAACTTTGGGCAGATTGATCGTTTGTAGCCACGCCACAAGTGGGAAGGAGGTAGCGGCCAAGCTGATTGCCCCAAGGAAAGTGCGGGGCACGACACCAGGGAACTCTTGATGGTCATACTGCAGATCAAGCGAGAGCGATGGTACTGTCAGTGATCATGAAAGCTCTTGCGGCACTTATGAGTTCTGATGCTTGTGGACAGACCAGTTTCATAAGAATGAGTATGCTTTGCTCGTTTACTCTTTCCTTCTCAATCTACATGTTGAAGGGCTTTCATGAACTTGCTAAACTGGCTGCATCAGTACAACCCAAAGCCGAACCATTCGTCCAGTTCGAAAGTAAGGGACTAACCTCAGTCAAGTTCCCCCGGTGGTATAGAAGATCATGGGTTGCCTGCAGTGAGTATGGGCTTTATTCAAGACTTGCGAATGAATTCTGAAGTTCGGGCCCTGAAAAGTCTCAGCTATGAGCTCTTCCATTATAAGGTGAAATGAGTCCTTTGAAAAGTTGTAGGATATCTTCAGAAAGTATGCGTGCAAATGGAGTCGTGCTGCAGCATTGCCTACACTTTTGCCAGCGTGCTCCAGGTGCATTACATTTCGTCGCGTGCCCTCAAAAAGTTGTTTGGCTACTGAACGTGTCCCTTCAAATCACAGTCGAATAAAAGGGAAGTCACCTCTTATGAGAGAAGCGAAAGTCATCAACAAGACAGCAATGAAATCTTACCTGAACATTGAAACTTTCTTCAACCTTGGTGAATGGGGCAAGTACTACATGAACAAGAACAGCCAGAACAAGAAGGGCGTCCCAAGTCGAGAAGAGATTGGCCGGCCACGTCTTTGCCATCCTGAACCTCTCTGCCCCAATTACATCAAAGGTGCTCAGCAACCAAGTGATTCCCCAGCCTCAAATCATTTCTTCATGGGTTTTCACCGCATTCTTGTTGTTCAGCACAGCACCACCATCTCCCACCACCACCAGACGGATTGCTCTAGCTGGCAGACTTTCCCTGCACCATGATGCAACTTGCCAGCTGCCCTAGCTGCAATGTGCAGAATGTGCATGCTCCACCTGGCTCCACCTCAGCTCAGGCAGAGTCCAGCAATGTATTTTCTGAAAATTTGTTTCCGCATGACCCACACGTCAGCCCAGTGGCAGTACAGCCGAGTACCCGGGGCTTTCCTCCGGAGGCTACCTCCTCCTATAATCTTCTGGACTGGCCGGTGACCGAACATGCAGTTCCGTCTCCCTGCTAGCGCTCGGTACGTGACCGCCGGTCAAAACCCAATGGTTGGTGTCAAGTTTGAATTCATGTTGAGCAGAGCAGAATCTGAAATTCACAGAAATGTGGCAGAAGGATATACGTTGAGCAGGGGCACATTGGAACTGGAGCAGGAACTGGAAGTTCTGGCAGTGGAAGCTGTGGAGGCGATGTGGCACTGGAAGGCGTTTTCTTGCAGTCGCGCTTCGACATGACATTCCTTCTGCCGCTAGCTGTGGCTCTACTTTCCGTTTCGGTTGGATCCTCCGCTTTTCTGGCCTTCAAATCATTTGTGCAGTCTCTGCGCAAGTCTAAGGTTGAGGACGATGAGAGCAGGACAGTTGAGCTGGAGGCTGAGGGACTAATCAAGGAATGAAACGATTGACGGAAGAAATCCAAAGCACCAACCGATAAGCTGGCTGTTGTTTGAAGAGTACTGGAACTTAAGGTGTTTTGTCGGTGTTCGTCTCAAAGGACTGAGTAACTTCAGACCGGAAGTTTCTGTGGCAAGTATGTCAAAGTCACTAGTCTCGAACAGGGGTTTGACGGGCATAGCAAACTTCCACACTTCAAGTCAAAAGCATACAAGTGCCTCTAGTAGACCAGCTCAAAAGCAACCCTGGCCCCCACAAAAGCAACGCTCAGACACTGTTCGGCTGGTTTCCAGAAGTTCTGGAAGAATGCGTGGTCCAGTGGCGGTATGCAATCTGTGCAAATCATTCCTTCAGAATGAGTACCAACACTTTCTGAGGCCAAAAAGGCTCTCCCGATCAGCCCCTGCACGAGTTTGGCGCCCATACTCCTCTACGAGGATGGCAATGGAGGTCCCTGACTTTCTTCCAACGTCCTTGTAAGCCCTAAAAAGTTGCACTTGAACGCTGCAGTCATCCCCCCATACCTTCTTTCTCCTTCCTCGTTTATCCTTCCCTTTCTTGCCTTCTCCTCGGAGCAAGTTGGTGATTTGTCCAAGACTTGACGCGTCACTTGCACCTGCGGTCTCTCCTGAGACAGCCAAGGGTCGTGGCTCCTAGACTTTGTGAACTGAGTATCTTGCTTGTTTCTTGAGGAGGCGGGCAAAACAATGATGCAATCAACTTTGAGAACCTGCATTGTCCTTGCAAGTCCTTGCGAGGTGAATTCAGCTTCCAGACCTGACCATAGAACTTAATCTAGACTGTTCGCTCCACAACCAAAGCGCCGTCACTTAAACGGAATGTAAGGCTTTTTTGCTGATACGCACACCTTCCTTTGTAGATGTTGTATTGCTCACCTATTAGAATCAAAGGATGCGTGCCGTTGTTTGTAAGCTTTGCTAAGCAACATCCCCGTCTGCAGGTTGAAAGAACGGAGTCAAAGACCTCTTGGGCCGGCCTTTGAGGTAAGTCGGTCACTAGGCGAACGTCATCAACAAGAATCCTCGTTGCTTTTATCAATTACTCCATGACACCTAGGCTCCAGACAATACTTAACCCCAGCAATCCTGAGTACTTCGACTTTGGAAGGTTGACACAAGTGAGAGCTTCGCTTGCTTTGCCAGTCAAAGAGAGACGCCGACAGCAAGCTGATGCGTTTTTGTTGGGCGTTTGGTGGTACAGTTGACAGCGGAAGAAGCAATCTTGCGCCAACTAGAGGCGCTCAAGGACAACGACCATCCGTATCCAGATCACGGAATTGAGGTCATGTACAGGGTGAGCATCACTTCAACAATTTTGTTTGCCTAACCATAACGCTTCAATACCACGAAAAATACAGTTATTTCCATTGTTGTCGACAGAATACTCATACAGAAAGTGGAGAGAACATGGACATCATGCATGGAACATCTTTAGACTCGATTCTGTGGGTGGCCTTCAGGTGTGAGGTTCAGAACATTTGGCAGTGGTTCAGGTGAACCCTTGTTTGTTACTTGGCAGTCACCACGCAACTTGTCAATGAGCCCCGATACCTGCTCGCCTCAACAACAAAAGAGTTTGTTTTCATGATTGGATAGGGGGGACATGTGGTTTGCAGGCAGGGAAAGCAACTCAGGGTCTGGTTACTACGGCTTGATCTCCAAAATAAATTTCTCAAATGTCGCTTGTGTGAAACCTATAATGCTCTGTTCGTTTTGTCTAATCATAATGCATTTCACGATCGTTTTTCTACTTTCGCTTTGTCTTTTGCAGTTTGCCGCGTTCGATCCATTCACGTTCTCAACCTATTTTGGTACCGTCAAGGACCTTGGTCAGGTAAGCAGCTTCCGTCACCAGGCGCTGGCTGTAACCCCCTGCACGAGTACATGGAACGGCTTGTCTAGATTGTTCACTTAGGCCCGCTCTGTCTATTCTGTACTCGCCAACCCTTCCAACTCTTGCCCTACTAGATTAAAGCTTCATGCTCGCTTACGCTGACGTTGTCAAACTCGCTCGCTTTTCGTTGCATCAAACAAGTCTTCTCTACAACTCTTCGCCTTGGTGCTTTTAGCCGCTGGTATCACATCAATAACTGCTCGTTTTGCAGTTCGAAAGATTCCGACGACTGTTTCACGACAGAGTTTACCGCGTGCTCCTGGGGCACACCGACTCCAAGATCCTGAGCAGCTTCCACCCCTCCGAAGTAAGTCCCCCTTCCCGGAAAGTATGCTCAGGAGTTACGCTACTCATAACTCCCTTGAGTCGATTCTTCGGGATCCCATGTTGTAGAGTCTGCACCGCCCACCGAGTCCTTTTTGTAATCAAAAGCCGTCAAAATCTGGCGAGCACACGGACAAACCTTGTCATCCGAAGAAGAGCCAGATAAGAGTGGGTCGTCCATGTTGATTCGTCGACTTTTACGAATCCGTTTCCCACCTCGCAGTTGCTGAAGCTTTGATTGCGGAGGTTGGCATGCAATTCTTCATGTCTGGACATTGCTGTGACCTTCGAAGAGCATCCCGAAATCTTTTGAAATGATTTCTTCGCATCTGCAGCATGAGTTCAAGCAGCGAGTTTGGATACGAGGCCATCGACCCGGCGAAGAAGAGGTCTTCGAGTTCACCCTCTCACAGGTAGGTAGTTTCTTGTTCCAGAGAGCGTGGTGTTTTTATGATAGAGCTGGTTGAAGACGTATCTGACCGCTTGCTTCGTGATCCAGAGACACAGTTTCGATGAAGTCCTGATGTGGTATCAGCTCGTTTCCGCCATTCAGCTGGTGGCCAATGCCTTCCTGCATTTGATTCAAAGGCCTGGTAAGTTTTTGGATGATTGTCATCCGAGATACTTTTGAGGGCGATTTGCCAGTGAGCGCTACATGTGCACGTGGGCTTGTAAGGTCAGGAACGGAGAGGCGGAGCACTGGTAATAAGAACGTAGGACGACACGCATTGTTTGCTTCCAAAGTGGACCTTGTGGACCTACGGATGGGGTTGGCACACTGAAGTAATTCTAAAAGAATGCTTCAAACGTGTCTGAATGTGATATTCGGGAACTACCGGGATGATCTGACTGGCCCTGCATCCGATCGTGCAGCGCTTTGGGGGAGTGCGAGACGGATACTGGTTGACGGAAAGCCTGAAACACGATGGAAAGGGACTCAGCAAACACATTGCGTACTGACGAGGGGTTTTCTTTGTGTATGGAAACCCGAAACGCGAGTATCTCGGTCAAGGGAGAAACTGCTGTGCTTCTTTAGAATGGCAAATGCCTGGAAGCCAACGTGGAGAATTGAGTTGCTGGAAGTGCTCATGGCCCCGAACAGCCTCTGACCTATTCCATCTGTACATAGATGTTCATAGCTTGCGCTCTGCCCCTTGACCTCCAAGGAACTCAAATGTACAAAGAGTAAAAAAGAAAGTTTAGCACCACCTTGCACGGATCAAGCGTTGAACAAGTTGGTCTTTTCGATGACGATTGAGGCTGTGTACATTTGGATTCACGTAAACGAGAGCTCTCCTAGGATTTAGCATCGTTGTGTTCAGAAGTGGAAAGCGTATGTGGCATGTTGGGCCGGGCTTGCAGAGTATATCAATTTTGGCTTGCAAGCATGTAAGATGATGTATCCCCAGTTAACGAACTATGGCGGCTTGCGTGCAAGGTGCTTGATTGCACGATACCAAGTTCATGCAATTCACATGGGCCCTCCATGACGCCTTCATGTCCAGCTCTGAAAATTCGATTCTGAGCTGCATATGTGACATGTGTCCAAGATCGATCAGTTATATCAAGGCGACGGCCACATCGAACCATGAACGATTGGCCGGTACTGCATGATCGCGCCATGGACTGCAGAAATAATACGCATTCATATATATACACGCGCCAAAATGTGCGCGTCACATGAGCAATGTTCAGCCGTCCGTCTCAGCTACGAACGCATGCATGGGCGGCCGCCACCGTAGCTCTACACCATGATGATTGTCCTGAGCTGCCCAGGCTCAGCTCAGTCCGAGCGCGTTTAGTACATATAACCATAGCTAGCTCCGACGTAGCACTCATTAGTGTGATGGATGTCTGTATGCACATGTCCCAAGAATACGGCCTTTGAAGTCAGCGCAAAGCATTGGTTTGAAGTATCATATAACTGAGTGCCGTACCTGCCCCGTGACAAGCTCGCAGCATAGAAGGAGCGCTTTAATGTACCAGGTATTGGTTCCGGCTTGCAAGCATCTTCTTGCAGATATAAATTGGAGCTCAATGGATCCCCTCTTGTAAATTGACTGACGACTGAAGATGATTTGGGCGTCTAAGATGTGGCAGCGGTCGACTGACGGCTCTATCACTCCATCTTTGACGTGGCCCCAACTGCTTGCAACTTCTTGATGATCTCTTCTGCTTCCGCCTTACTTACACCCGCCTTGATAACGACCGGCGCCTTCTCAACCAGGTCCTTCGCTTCCTTGAGCCCCAGGCTCGTCATCCCCCGTACCTGTCAAAAGATGCGGATAGAAATCGGTACAAAGTAGGAAAAGCTGGGAGAAACGTACGATCTCATAGCTGTCCCGCTCAGATTCTGGTCGACTTGGAAAGGCTCAATTCTTGAAACTCCGGCCTCTTTGTGGCATGCTGATGTGGCCTGGGCACGTGAAGAAGCCACTGATGCAAGAAAAATGGTCATGAAGTACTGCCTTCATTGCAGGGCAGCCGGCAACGCTAGCACAGTCTTACATGGTGAGACAGGGCTTACGCTTTCGAGCATGCCAGTCAGATCCAAGCAACAGAGAGCAACTCAGAGGTTACGGCCAAAGAGATGGATAGCAGAGCACTTGGCAAAGTGGTGGACAAAGCCCTTCCCAGCATCCGAGGCAACAGCTATTTCCCTGCTGCTTGAAGCTTAGTGCAAGCAGCGCAAAGCTCCATTCTGATCCAGGATGTGAAACGAAGGGTGGGCCCATGCGCAATTGGCAGGGTTAGAAGATCAGGACGCACAAATAGTATATACGGACACTTGTGCGCATATGCTGGCTCTTGCAACAAAGTGGCACCTCTTTGAAATGAGCACAATCCTTTGAAAAAGCTCCAAGCAGTCCACTCTGGATACTCAGAGGGGCCACCATTTCTGTCGCTAAGAGAATTGAAGACTTGCGAACTGGAAAAGAAAGTTCAAATCAGCGCCCTAGAAGATTCACTGAGCGCAGGTCTTTGATTGCATTATTCTGCGCGCAGGGGACCTCAACTTGTTGCCAAATCGGCAAGGTTGATTCTGCAACATTACGATTGCCCATACATCGACAATAGTCTGACTGCTTCCCAGACCGAATCCAAAGACCGAAGCAGGACTGTGCCTATCAGAGATTACCCCACCAATTCGAACAGACGAAGCATCCAGCTAATCAGCCAACATGACTGCAAGTTCCAAAACTCATTTTGATGGTTTTTAAGAGAAGCTTCCATCACCCACCTCCTTGATAATCTTGATCTTGTTCGGCGCGTCAAACTTCTCCAGTTTCACATCAAACACCGACTTCTCCTCCTTTGCTTCCTCCGGTGCCGCCGCGGCGGCGCCCCCCGAGGGCCCCGCTGCACCCCCTCCGCCCCCCATCATGCCCGCAGCCATCGGCATCTCCGTAATCTTTAGCTTGGCCCGAAGCAGCTCCGAGAGGTCCGCCACCTCTAAAAGGTTCAACTGCACAATGTCGTTCGCGATGCGCTCTACCCGTTCGCTCGGCGGCGTCCGCTGCTCGGCGGCCTCTGCTCGAGCGTACGCTGTACAGTGGAAGTGCGCTACCGACCTATGGTGGGGGGCTGAGAAGGACGAGCTAAGGAAGGAGGCCATGTGTCGGGAGGGCAGTGGTCGGGAGGGTTTGCTTTGCAGAGAGTCGAGGACAGGCGCAGCGGCCGGGGTTTCTGTTGACTGTGAGGGGGTTTCGGAAGCTGCAGGGTCAGGTGCAACCAAGGCGGCCGCTGCGTCGGGGTTCACCACTGACGCCCATGCAGGACGCCACAATTGCGGTGTGAAAAGGCCCCGAGAAGAGGCCTGCCGGAGAGCAATCATTGCTGCGTCTTGAGCCAAGCTCCGGCGGTCCTTCCTAGGCGAGTGCTTTGGTTCTTATCCACCCAAAACCCTGAATGACTAGGGGTAAGGTGCACTAGTGTACCACTTCTAGGAATAGAAACGAACAATACTAAGGAACACTGCCGACAAGATGCCGACTTCCAACAATCTATCTTAGTTTTCCGGCGTTGCGCAGGACCAGCGAACTACATCTGATTGAAGAAGCCTTCTGCTTTCAAAACCCCTTGGTAAAGCTAACTAGCGCCTCCGGATTGAAAAAGCGGATGGTCTTCTCAGAACAATTGTTGGCGCCGCTTCAAAGTCCACAACGAGCCTATATTTGACCAGACTCTCAATGACAGCTCAGTTTCAGCTGTTTGCAAGAAGTCGACCTGCAAAAACATCACCAGTCCAGTTGTTAGGTGCAACATGTCCGCAATCTCGGCCCAAGCTCGTAGATACAGACAGTACCGACACATTGAAAGCATCATATGCGTGGCTTCAAAGAGCAATTTTTGGAGAGATTGTGCAGAAAATACCCGATGAATGTGGCTGACAGACCATTACCGCAAGCATTGCCAAAGCGGAGTGCAGAAGCTTGGCTACAGCTTGTTCGCTGCTAGCGTCGTACAACTATCAATCAAATATGAAATTCAAAGCCCCTTTCCTGAATCATGGGGCGGCATCATGAAGCTGATTGGCGCGCTAGCATTGTTCCAAGTTGATGCGCCATGAGACGGCAATCCCAAGCTGACCACGCAACACTCCTATGCAGCTCACCTGTCCGATTAAAAGGACAACAGCAACCAGGGCGGCGGTAGCACCCTTCCTGGACCTTCCCCGCATCAATCCGCACCTAATCCGCAAGACTTCTTCACTCTGCTGCTGCTCAGGAGGAGACGGATCTCTTTTCTCGACAATACAGAGCTGCTTGAAGTTGCAACTTCAAGGGGAACTGGTCACGACAAAATTGCATTGCGGCTGATGATTGCCAAGCTCTCCTCTTTTTCTCAAGCCTCAAGGGTTTAGACCCAGATTGTGGGGCCAACTGCAGCCGAAACGCCAGCTTTCCTCTGTTCTTAGTACTTACGGCTGGCCAAACCCACTCAAACTAACTGCGTTTGCAAACCCTAAAAACTCAAGTGCATGTTTCTCATAATAGGGCAGTCACATATGAACATTTTCGGGGTGCACCGTCCCTCAGGGACCGAAAACCGATGATTTCGTCCCCCAGAATTTCGACTCGATATTCTGGGGGACGGTACGTCCCTCAGGGACGCCGGTAAAAATACTAAGGGACGGTCGGCGGTCACTCCTTGGAGAGTCTGCCTCGCCGTATAATTCGGGAAATTTTAACTTTTCGCGCGACGGGTCCCTGGGGAATATATGACCAAAGCAAATTCTCGGGGAGCATGCGCTCCCTCAGGGAACACTCGCCACTTCCCCGAGAACTCATATGTGACCGCCCTATCATAGGGTGCAGCTGCTTGAGCTTTTCGGAATCCCGCCCTCTCACCTCACAGGCATTGACATTTGGGGGCGTTAATATGCGACATTCCGTGGCAGCAAGTGACCACCACAGCGTTCGATTCGCATACCACGAAGCTTGTCTGAGTCCGCAATGAGCCATGCTGCCCCGCTCCAGCGCCTCATAGGCAGCCTCCGTAGTCTGGCCCGTCGGCCGGAGCTGCGGGCGGGCGCTACTTCCGGAGTTATCATGGGCGTTGGGGACGTCATCTGCCAAACCATGCAGAAGACTTCTCAAAAACCAAAAGTTCTGACCACGGAAGCAAGCAGTTCTCCTCCATCTTCAGATTCTGAGCTAAGGAGAGGATCAGGATTCTCAAGAGACCACTTACAGGCGCAGACAGACACAGATCCTCAACCAAACAGCAATTCAGTGGAGCAGCTGTGGCTTTCCTTTGTACAGGATCTTGACTTCCAGCGCACGCTGCGGTTTGCTTTCGTTGGCCTGACATTACATGGCCCTTACTTTCTTCATGGTTTCAGGTGGCTTGATGCCACCTTCGGACCGTCCAAGTCGTTGCAAATTGCAGTCGCCAAGACGGCACTGGGCCAGGTGAACAGCTGCCTTCGGCCATTCACGTTTCTTGCCGATCTGTGCAAGGGCATCTTTGACGATTGCGAATTGGTTCAGGGGTGCGATCAGCCTGCTTAGGGGCTCCTTTCCAATTTAGAAATACGGTGTTTGTTTGTTGAAGCCGCTGCCACTGTTTGGGCAGTCATGGGGCAATCTTTTGCATTTCCCCTCAGTGTACCACTCGCTGCTTGGTTGGCTGCCACCGTTGATGTCATTCCTGTCATCTTGGTCTTCTTGAAATGGACACAATTGCAAGCCCCCTCAGTGACAGACCTCATGATGTGGATCTGAATGCAATCTCATCACCAAGGACATAAAAGCGACATACTTTAGGGGCAGACAAAGGCAAAGAGGGGGGACACGGTCTGGGAGGTCTGGGAGGTCTGTAAAAGCCTTCCAAAGAAGTGTAACCTTCATGCTACTCAGCGTCGCACCAAACTTTATCAAGCCACCACTTAATGACCAGTGTCAATCGAGAGACGTCCTTTCTTCAGTAACCGCAGTATTAGTCCAGTCTTAGTCATCATTTAATCTTCCGATGATGGTCAAGCAAGGCTTGTTCGAGGTTGAGAAGCAAGGTGCTCGCTCAAGTACTGGAACGTTCAACCAATCAACTCGAAGGCTCTTGACGTTTTTACAAAGGAGGACCTTTTCACTGTCCTTCATTGGCTCGAGTGTCTCCTCTATTCTAGGCAAGTACGCCTGTTTGATGCTCTTTCATCCGTGACTGAGTTAAGCTCTCTCGTTGCATGACAGGCGGTCGTCTTTCCAGTGTATCTCGGTGCTTTCTTTACTTACATGGGGAAGTTGGAGGGTAAGACGTGGCAGGAGTGCAAGGTGAAGCTGGAGCAGGGGTTTCTGCCAACATACACCAGCGGGTGAGCCGAGGCTCTTATCGTCTCAAGTCCTTCGGTAACAGATTTAGGACTGACTCCGGACTTGTTGTGGACTTGGGCCTATTCGAGTGTGCTTTCTGTGGCAGATATTGGCCCGAATCTGCTTTCGATCCATCTACTAGAAAGTCTGCCGCTGACAGGGCTTGTAATCTCCTTCTTCTCATGCTGATTTGCTGACGGAACACTCCCTGAGCTTGAAAGCGGCTGTTGCTTCGACAATCGTATTGCATCATGACGGCTGAGAGATGCGGGTGGTTTTGCGTTCAAAGCAGAAGCAACCCAACTACGGTGACGACAGCTTCTTTAGCCCCCCAAATCGATCGCTCCCCTGCTTCCGCCAGTTTGCAATAGTCTGGTCTTGGATCCATCTTCATGTTTGTGTCTGTCGCCTGCAGCTTACGCTTTCCGTTTTCCGACCTGTGCAGGTGTGTGTTCTGGCCGGTTGCCAACATGTTCAACTTTACCATGGTGCCCCCGACCGAGCGCGTGTTATATTCAAACATCGTGGGGCTTGTTTGGAACTCTTACCTGAGTTATGCGAACTCGAAGGTAACACAGCTTCGGCTTTTGGAAAACGAAGAGTTACCGCTGCGCCCCGGCAGCTGATTCTTGGAAGACATGTTATCAAATCCAATCGAATATGCGCGTTGCTGCTTTCGAAGGTGGAGTATCATCCGGTGATCATATCGTATTCGATTCTTTGCTGACATGCCAAGTTGAGTCCTTCCAAAACTTCGCGACAGCAACCTCGGCAGCTTTGAAAGTGTGACGCATTTCTTTTGCGGACTCGATCACTGTGCACATCGCAAGTCAAGCTCGCGCTCTGGATTGGCCATGTTCGCTGGCACAAGCCGCAATCACTTGGCGTCGCCTTTCCTCCTCCAATCTCACACCCTCCTGAGTCCTCAATCCGCTCGTTGCTGCGCGAATGATCCAATCGAGGCTTCAAAGTGACCCGAGGCTAACATGTGCATGGGACGGCCCGGACGTAACATGCAATGATGGGGCGGGCCAGCTTGCAGGTTGCAAACGCATTTTAGGATCGGAGGTAATATAACCCCAGGCTCTTCATGTGCATGACGATCCAATGCGTCGGATGTTAGTAGCATGGAACTGTTGTTTGATTATTGCATCGCGCATGTATCTGGCACAATCTGAATGCCTTATATACTAATGGGTTCAAGCTCCAGGACCCTACATGCACACGGTCACCGAAATTCGGTGTGAATTCCGGGTATGTTCAAATTAAGATGCATGCACTGAAATCGTATTTACAATACATCACACGTTGCATAATTTGATCGGATGCAACAGGTAAGCAAGATGTCCGGTGGGACCATGCAATTGGGCACCAAGATAATCAACACCGTCCCTAAATATGGTACAGAAAGTGCATATCAAAGAGGAACCTTGCCGCGTTCCGCTTTGATATCTTGGACTTTGTCCTTTGACTCAGGGCAGGAAGCTCTCAGTCATTTCGACTGAAAGTGCAATCTGCCCACAGCATCGTTGGCACGCCGACTCTGCTTGAAGAGCTCAGTTCAATCAGCTCGTCTGTAGCGGCCCTTTCACCCTGCTTTCCTAGCCGCAGCTATGCGTCAGAAAGACCCTCCTGTCTTGTTTCCTCCAAAGAAAAACCCACAAGATGCGGATCTCAAATCTCTGACAATATGTGAACTGCCTCGCTGAGGAAGATGGAGATTGGTTATAGGCTGAAGCGAGAGCCTTCATTCACAGCATCCGTGCGCTCCTCGTGCCACTTCTTGCGTTGGCCCGTGCACGAACTTGTAGACAAAGATAGCGGACACCGCACCAGCGGCTGGGCCCACGAAGTAGACCCACAGTCCCCGGAACTCCTGTTCAACGGAAGATTAAAGCTTCAGAGATCGAATGTCCTAAGATCTGACAGGCAAGAAAATGGAAGCAGTGACATTTGAAAATCGAAAACTCTGCCAAGAAAGCAATGTTTGGCAGCTCATCGCCGGGGGTAGAGAAGTGGACCATCAGAAGAACGTTCCGAATGAGCCTTGGGGCTTGCTCCCCCTTCGTGAAACGAATACAAAGGATCTATCCTGTCATCAAGACGGGGTCACGGTCTTGATTGATGAGTCGAACTGCATACTCGAATAAGGAATCAGGACAACCATGAATAAGATGCTTCTAAGCGCAAAACATCTCTTAGTAAAACATGCACAACGGGCTGACAAGCAATGACGTCACTTCGCAAACGGTTTTACATCCCATCAACACCCGTTACCCGGTCGTGATTAAGCTTTTGCCGCTATCACTCGAAACCCAACCTTTCCCACTCGTTTTGGATGGAGTTGCGGGAAGTCTAGTTTGCCAGTCACTTGTAACCCAGTCCGACTCGCTCTTTACAATCCCTTTCCTAACTTCTCGCATTCTGCTCTCTTCAATGCCAAACGCTGTGACGCTTTACTGAAATGAGTCTCATGTCCTCACAAAAAGCTCTTTCCTCAAACAAGCCAACGCGTAAAAGAAAATCCAACAGCAAGGGGCGGCGGCTCCGCAATTCGCCAGAAGGAACTTTTGAGGAAAAGGCCCTGTTTGCTTACAAGAGCTATGAGCGCAGGGCCCAGCGACCTGGCTGGGTTCATCGAGGCGCCGCTGACAGGGCCTCCGAACAAGGCATCCAGAGCAACCGTCCCGCCAATCTGTCGGCATGGGAGTTGACTGAGTGAATAACGGTAAGAGCAGACCACTCTCAACTAAGTGAAGATTGGTAGGAGTTTTGGCAAACTTGTCGAGTCAGTCTCCAGCATAAAACCGGACGACAATATGGATTTACAAAGGAGAGCGAAGCGCACCAGATTCAGGCTACTGAGACAAGGGTTGGGTATCATCACAATGAGGAATATTTTCGTGGCTAATCGAAACACGCAAACGATTCCAAACAGGTCCGTATGATGAAGGCATCATCAATTCAATCGTCGACGTATGCGACAAGAACTACTAGGATTGAAGCAATGAGGAATGAGGAAAAACGAGTGCCGTTTTCTCCGCCCACTATGCTGATTTTCACTGGCGGCGCCATAGAACAAAACATGGACTCTCGAGCTTCGACCACAGTTGAAACAACGCTTGGAAATTCTCGAAGGGGAGCGTTCCTCATATAACAACCCTTGAAAGAATTAACAAGAACAAGCAACAATTGATGAAAACAGACCGTCCACGCAGCATACCAAGATTGTTTGGGACCACATAAGCATGACGCATATTTTGAAGCATGCCTCAGGAACGTACTGGAGGGACTGATATCAGCACTCATCGAGAGGGAGAGCACTAGATGAGCTAAGCATACCGCAATTCCGGCCATTGTTCCGACTGCCCTCGTGTCTGTTGCAACGGCGGCAATCACGAACATGAGGAAGAACGTGAGGACGAACTCTAGCAGGAGCGACTCCCAATCGGTCCCGCTCGGTAGTGTTGCCCCGAGCGCTTTTTCCGAGCCCAAAATCCCGCGAATCAAGGCTGCGCCGGCGGTGGCAGACAGGAATTGGGCGGCCCAGTAGAAAGGGACCTGGGGAAAAGGCAATCGCTGCTTATCGCTGGGGCATTGGAATCAGTGACTGTCTCATTGCTTGGAAATTATAAGCCTTGATTTTGAAGCGACGCAACAGAAGGTGAAGCAAGTCAAGATTGGGGGAAAGAAGGAAATTGCAAAGATGAAAGCGAGGTGCGCGACGGTCTGCCCACTGAGATCCATTTGCGAAGAGGGGATGCCATGACGGCCCAATACGGGAGGTACATGGTGGGACTGCAAGATAGTGAATGCTGACTCGTCATGGGACCCGTACTCGACTGTCTTCATAGATTCTGTGCTATAGCCTGCTTAAAGACCACCTTCACGGCTAACTTTACTTTAGGGGGTGCACCCGGATTCCACTCTTTGGGAAGACCTAAAGGCCCCCCCTTTGGAGAAACCGAAAATAACACCCTTAATTGCAAAAGTCTTAGATGTATAAAGTCCAAGCTCACAAATTCTTAACATAAGTGCCGCCCGCACGCAAACGCCACCGTGACTGCGGGGTCAAAGTGGACACTTGAACTGTGGCCCAACTCCAGTAAAGGTAAACTAGAATCCCCCTTTTTCGGTCTTGACGGTGACAAACACTAGATCACTCAATTGCAGAACAAGACGAGCCCCGAGCTCACCATTTTCCAGCTGAAGTGCCGCCCGCACGCGAACGCCAGCGTGACTGCGGGGTTGAAGTGGGCGCCCGAAATGTGGCCCACTGCATAGATCATAACCATGACTACGAGCCCAAAAGTAGCGGCGATGCCCACGTGACCGAGCGCGCCGTCGGAGCGGGCGTTAACCACCACTGCCCCACAGCCTGGAGAAGTGAGAAAATCCCGTCAGAGTCAAAAAATGCAATGAAATGTGCGTTCCTTGCTTGTCCTACAAGGGACTGTCTGTTGCGAACACAGATTAAGGTGCGGCGAGAACCTTTTTAACTTTGAGCATGTTTGCACAAAGCATCGCTCTTGGTGCACGCTTTTTTCAAACAGACACACGAATGGTGGCAGCGTCTACGATAGCATACGCCTCCATAACGACTACGTAATTCAAGAAAGCGTCCCTTGCCCACCACTGTTTTGGTGCACGTCTTCTAAAAGCCAAAGGCAGAGCATCAAATGGTAATAGCTCAGCATATAACTTTTTGTTAAGCAATCCGCCATCAGGCTGCCAAGCCTAGACTCTTATGCCACCTCAGGATCCTCATTTGCTAAAATCTCAAAAATCGCGCGGCGCAGCCAGACTTCTCAACACACAAAGAGCGAGTCTGCTTTCACCTGCACACAATCCAAAGCCCTACGCTTGCATCACGACACCAACCCCAACAACCCTAAACCCTAACTTTCTCACCGAACCCCTCACCTGCGAAGACGATCGCAAAAGTTCCCACCATTTCTGCGACCACCTTTTGGGGCAAGCATGGTTGTATAAGCCGGCGGGACCAGTGGGGATTGGCCGCCCCCGTTCGCAGCTCGGTCGCCTCGTAAAGGGGCTCCTGAGTGCCAACCGCCGCAAGCGGATTCTGGATGCTGATCTGGCACGAGTCCTTCTCGCAGCCGCACCCCTCGGCCATGGCGAGAGCACAGGCCACTTGATTGATACAACCTGTGGGTCTTTTTTCTTGTGGTGCAAAGTCTGAAAACAGCCAGCTCCGAGCTCGTAGGTTACCGGTAACAATGGGCAGTTTGCTTGTGGCGGCACAAGGTCCACTTTAACTTTTAATAAGTTCCAAGTTTCAACGCACATCCAACGTGAACACTGCGTCTACGGTCTGCCGCTGCGCTGAGGTGAGGCGGGCCAGCCTGGTGACTGACTCGGCTTTCCGCAGAGCATGGCAACGGATTCCGGGGACGGGTCACGGAGTTCCGGCAGATACAAATGATTACCGTAGGTCCGCAGCGTGGCCACTTTCTCGTCTTCGACTCGTCCTATAGGGGCTTGTCTTCTAATGGGGTACCGGTACAGCCCGGGGCATTAGTTGGATAATAGTCTGGTGGTTACGTCGGGTGTAGGTAGCTTGGAGCAGGAATGCTCTTTGGTAATAGAGTCTTTTGTGTCCGGGCTCTTATCCTACATATCCTTTATTAAAGGGACAAGCGGCAAGCCCCATTTGAAATTGATAGGAGACAAAAGCTAGAGTTGATATCATCATCATTTCCGACTCGCAATGATCGAGATGGAGACCCGCGTCCGAAATGCCCGGGATTCTGTACTTCTCGATACCTATCGGGATTCTCAGCCGTGGCAAGTGCATATTGCTGCACGTGGATCGATATTACACATGCATATTGCCAATGATTGGGCCCATCGGGCAACACCAATGATTGGCAGCGCTTAGCGCAGATGGTGCAGCAGCCAGCTGATCAGCAACACCCGAAATGCACGATGTGTTTCCTTCTTGACACACCCTTTCAGCCATTCCTTTGACACAAGAAATGGTCCATATCCCTATAACTGCTTTCTACACAGTCTTCCAGACTGGAGGCGGTGCCAATGGCTTGCCTGCCCGTGACACATAGCGGCACTGCATGCATGCAACTTATGCAAGACCCTGTGTGTCAAGATCAGGGCCGCACTAAGAGACTCCGAATATTTCGTCCTTTCGCATGCAGCCTTGACTGTCAACGAGAATTGAGGAAGAAGCTGACTAGCGAAGCCTGTGCCCCAGACAGTGTGCCCCCTGTCAAATCCCGGAATCCTCGTCGTTAAGCCGTCTCGCATATGCAAGCTAGCCCGAACTTGCCAAGTTGGCAGACTGCAGATCTGAGAAAGGGTGGGTCTCTGCAAGCAAGGATGAAGAAATTATGCACTGATCAAGCACTTCCTTGGCGCCAAACTCCGGCGAATAGGTATGTGACCAGGATACAGAGGCAATATAGTGGCCAACAAATCAGCTGCTTTCACAGCAGCACTTCCAAGTTTTCCTTCTCACCAAGCCACCACCAGACTCTTCCCCCCGCCCGCAGTGCTTGTTTTTCAGAAGTTCTACTCAGCCTAGCAGCCTGACTCAGTTCAGAAAAGCTGCGGGGTAAGCGGCGCTGCCACTATCGAGTGGAGCAGCAGGGGAGCGGTGCTTACTTTGTTTAGCAGCGAAGCAGGCTTGAGGTGTCGCTTACGCAAGCAGCGAGCTAGCTGGCCTGGTTTCTCCCGTCGTAGAAAGTTTTGTCTACTGACTTCAACGCAAGCCTCAAGGCTGCAGCTCTGCTTATTGATCTTAGTGTAGTAGCTTCTCCCCAGCTTGTGTTTGTAGAACACTGAGTTTCTAGCAACTAGCTGCACCTTGGACCATTCAACAAGTGGAGCCTTGGGAGATCAGAGAAAGGCTCCCCAGCTGGAGCACAAAGCCACCACCAATCCTTTGCTCATTCCCTTAAGTACTTTGCGAGTAGAGTGATCCAGCAAAGATGTTGTCAGTAGTGTCCAGCGCGCTCGATGCCGCCGACAGCCCCACAGCGAAGACTCTCGTCTCCAAAACATTACCCCAGTCCAAATTCCGTCCCCTTCTCGGTATACTCGCTGCGGGTATTCTTTGCACGACGCTCATCCTTTCCCGCGAGATCCTCCAGAGCCTCACCCAGGGCAGCCAGGACGGATCCCCTACGGACGACACTTTCTCTGAACTTGATTTCATTGCGAACACACGGGCGGCTGCGAATTTGACGGAGGAACAGTGGCTGAAAGAGTATAAGCATTACTATGGGACGAATGTGTATAAGATCCGGGCGAAATTGTTGGCGGAGCGGTTGAAGAAGCTGGGAGCGCCACTTGTCAAGTTTTCAACTGGGGAGGAGAGCGAGGCGCCGGCAGCGCCGTATTGCCAGCAGCGGGACATTGACAACCCACCAAGGTAGAGACAGTTTCCTGGTAATTCTTTTCCAATCCCTTCTCCAGTAGTTAGAACCCTCTTTTTCTACTCCGGCTCTTCATCACGGTCACATCAGTCGTCTTGTCATGGAAAGTTTGCAGTAGTCAGGACCCTATTTTGAAATCCAGCTAATCATCACGGTCACATCCGTCTTCTTGTCATGGAAATAGTGATATCTGAAAATGAAGGTGTGTCCCTTGTTTCGAAGATGGGCTTAAGCACGGAGGCCGGAGTGCGCCAGTGCCCTTATACAGTCTGCTCGTTGTAATATGAGCAAAGACTTGTTATCGCAATCCGGGAAATGTGTAGGTGCAGTTCCTTGCAATTCTGTTTTGCAAAGCAGGACCAGAGCTCAAAACTGCACAAATTCATCTGTGGTAAAATCCTGATTACCTTCCTCAACTTGACCACCGGGATATCGTTGGCCTACTGGTTCCTTTGAGCAACTTGTATGACGTGGGGTTCTAGCTAGAGCCTGCTTCTTGCTTGCACAGGTCCCTTGAATTGCTGGATCTTGTCCTTTCTCTAACGTAGTTCTTGTGAAAGCCTCAAATTTCCCAACCGGTACAGTGACCCACACCACCAAAGATTGTTCTTATCTCCACACGCTTACACCCAAACGACAAATATTGATCATCCCAGAGGTGAACCCTTGGAAGCTCGTTCTATCTTCCCGCCCCACAAAGAGAGCTGGTCTTTCTCCTTGCAGCACTGATCTCTCCATCGCCCCAGGGGCCTTTGTCCGGAAAGTGTACGACGCGGTGCTGTTTCTGAACGAGCTGGACCTGCTGGAGATGCGCCTCATGGAACTGGAGAACGTCGTGCACAAGTTTGTACTCGTCCAGGTTAGTGTACAACCGTCCAATTTAGGGTTAAAGGTACTAGACCTTTACGATTTCAAGGTTTTGATCTTGAAGAGTGGCCAAAAATATCGGTTTCGCTGTTTAGATCTAGTAAAGATTTCAAACCGCTTTGGCTGCAGTGCCCAAGAACCACTTTCTGGAAACTGACCTTTTCTCCGACTCGATCCAGGACGTTTTCGGCTCACTAACATCTTATCGTTTTTGTATCTTCTGAATACGAGCTATGTTTATGTCTCGAACGCCTCCTGATCGACGTACCTGAAAGTTTTGGAGCACTCAACATTCTCCACTAGCACACCGTTCTAGAAAGCTAGAATCCATCTGAAAGTTCCGGTTCTTGTTACCTCAGTAGCTGACGTTCATTGAACCCTAATATGCGAGGGACTCGATGATTACTGAAAAGTCGATACCCTTCCGATGCAGTGCCCGCTGACGTTTATGAACCACGAGCGGCCCCTGACTGACGTCACCAAGCTGGAGCGGTTCCGGCGCTGGTGGCCCCAGATCGAGAACGCGTACTGCGATCTGGAAACGTTCCCGAAAGACGCCCCGAGCGCGTGGGACCGGGAAAGACACATGCGCGACGTGCTTTGGGATGCGGTTAAGGGGCGGGTTACCAGTGAAGACCTGGTCATGACTGGTGGGTTAGTTGCTGTCGAAGTTTTGGGGAGGCAGTTTGAGCTGGATTCTAGGGTCAGTTTCAAGCTACCGGCGAAGATCTGCTCATACTTGTTGGGTCATCCCGTTTGAGGGTTTGCAATCACTTGTAAGACGTCAATGAGGAGAACATTTCGGCTCGATGACATGTTCGGTTTGGGCCCGATGTTTTCGGACGGTTCTTCTTGAAAGCCAGGTTGAGCACAGAGGTCACCGTCTCATGCTTGATTGCCCACCGTTCAACTTGTTTATTGAAATTCGGTATGGCTTTGAGCGGCGGGCCAAAGTCGAGCGAAGTAGCTGCTAATTTTCTTCGAAGTCACTCCCAAACACAACACAGGAAAAAGGTATTCGTCACAAAGGCACTCGTTTCAGACACGAGCGCAACTGAAGATTGACGAACTCCGGATACAAGAGCAGATAAATCTCATTGGCCATCTTTCCTTCGCTCCAGGCGACCTCGATGAGTTGCCCAAGGCCCACGTGGTCCACGCGCTACGTCAGCAGAGAGACGCGAAGGCTTTCCCCGTGATCCTGCGCATGCCATTGTGGCGCTTCACCTTCGCGTGCATCGACCGCGACTGGAAGGACGACAAGCAGATGTGGCCAGGGACCGTCGGTACGTACCGCGAACCCCAAAACCGAAGCCCCAGACATAAGCCGACATGCAGCTATCAACGCCAGATTTGTCATTCGACGCACCCTGTCATAACCATGTTGTGATCTTGAAATACAGGTTCTCTTCGGCTGACTGATATCGACGCCCTTTTCTCAACTTCTTTGCATGGATTGCGGCCATCTTAAAAATGGCTTCAACATGCACCTGCGGAGTGCTTGTTGATCAAAGTCCAAGTTTCACCCGTTGCCACTCAAGCCCACAATCTTGACCCACCAAAACACACCTCCACTGTCGATCGAGGGCGAACTCCGTTCTCTCGAGTGACGCACAAGAGATGCCCCCTCTGTACTCTTTCTTAAATATCGGTCAATCTGCGGTAGTGCACATATACAGGCTGATGTAATGAGCGCTTAAGAGTGCAGGTCCTCATAGGTGCACGTCATGGAGGACTGATGACATAATTCTGACCAATCTACGCGTGCCACGTGTCCGCAGTGACGATAGGCAAGTTCGCGCACGGCGGCCACTGGGACACCGACTGGGCGCAGCTGCACGCCGACGGGAACACGGTGCGCGCGAAGCTGCGCAACAAGTTCTCCACGGACATTCCGTCGAACCACGTCATCGACTGCGGCGGCTGGCACTGCAGGTAAGAGTTTCTTTTCATTCCAGAAATTACAAATGGTTGGGAGTCCGATTCTGCACGGTTCGCGCAGATTCTCAATTTCGGCCGCCACTCATAGTAAGTTTCCTCCTCCCTTGCGTATGATATCCCATTTTTTCGTGCGCAAGAGAAGCGGTCCTCATAGGACCAGTTTTTCTTTACGTGGCGACTTCGGTGAACAGTTCCGACCCAAACGATGGGCATCGATTCCATATGGTGTTACCACTTTTCACATCCTTCCTTGCGTTCGAGCTGCTCCGATCTAAATGCTGGCGGTCGGCCTGGCCGATAATTCTGCTGCAAACCACAATGCTTTGGACAAATCTGGAATCTTTATTCAGCAGCGAGCAATAGATAAACGACCAGGGACATGATTGGTAATTGTAGCCGCGAAGAGTCGCATTCCGCTTCCGTTCTCCCATACCGTCTTGCCGCCGAAACTGCCATCGAACCAGCGTCAAGAACTCAATGGGAAGCGCTACTGGCGAGCAGCTTCCACTTACAGCAAGCCTAATCCAAACCGGCTGCTCTAAGCTTACTATCCACGCGCAAAGCCCTGATTATGGAAACCCGAGAAAGACAACCGGCGATTCGTCGGCTCTCTTGCTTTCCATCTTTCTCTCGTACGATAGCTGCGATCTCAGGATTGTCATCTTTGCACTGCAGTTCTTGCCTCCCGCTCGAGCACTACGTCACCAAGGTCTCCGAGTACAGCCACGCGTCGGAAGTCAGCAACGACTACCGGGACCATGACGTGGTGCGCGAGACGGCCGCCACGTGTATGTTCGGGGTGCTGTACCGGATGCGGTCGACCGAGGGGTTACCTCGAGGGATTGTGGAAAACGCGGACCGGTACGGATACATGCTACCGGTGTAGGTCGGGGAACTCTACCGGTATGGGTACATGCTTCGGGGATTCTTGCTGTCGTAGGTACATGCTTCTCGCATAGGGGAGGGGGAGTCTACCGGTGTGGTTACGTGCTTCCCGTGTAGGCTGGGAGTTTCTACCGTTCTGAGGTCATGCTCCCCATATAGGTCGGGGGACTCTACCGGTATAAGGACGTGCTATCCCTGTAAGCCGAAGGAGTTTACCGGTATAGGGGCGTTCTTCCCGTTTAGGTCGGGGGACTCTACCGGTCTGGGTAGATGCTACAGGTGGAGGCCGGGGACTTCTACCGGTCGGCTTGCGGTTGCCGGCAGAGCGTCCTGGACTCAGCAAAATTTTGCATTCGAAATACACTGCAACCGACCTTCGTACCGGGAGTTTTAGATCCCTTTATAGCTCGTCGCTACACAAGCGAAGCGCGCGCCGGAAAGAGTTACGCTCGGTTGAACAACTGTAAACTGTTCTCCTTTAGAACGTCGATCACAAAGGCTGAGCTGCCCGCATGCAATTGCTTCACAAACACGCACGAAGACAGTGATAACTCGATTTTTGTTTGCAATAAGGGCGTCAGCGCTCGTCATCCACTTCATAAACATCCCCATGGTGATTTGAGAAGAAGGGTTTTTGGCAACAGACTCTGAACAGACCGCGACTTTTTTGAAAACAATACGGTGTAAGTCGAAAGGTATTACCGATGATCCGCGTTGTGCTTGCTGATCCGTCAAGATTGTGGCCTAACCGTCATGAATGCGAGGCCATTTGTCATGCACAGCGATTTGACAATGCAAGATCTAAGGATGCATGACGGTGTACCGCATCGATTCAATTACCGTCAGAACGTGGTATATTAAGAATCGATGCGGCAAGCGCGTGGCAGCTGCAAATGCAGGGGGTTCCGACAATCAGAAGTCTCTGCACATTAACCACCCATGTATAAGTCGCTCGCAACAATGCTGCGTCCGCGGTCGATCACCCTGTATTGTCGAGTCCTTCCTTAACGAAAAAGCATCCACCTATCAGACGTACAAGGTCGTTGGAAGTTCTGCCCGGCCGCCACGCTACAATTAGAACCGTGCCACAGTGTCTATTTAAAGAAGTCGCCTGTTATATATGCTACGCATTGATCCGTATCCATGTCCGTGCACCTTAATTTGTGCCTAACGCAGATCCTCTATGACTGTCTTGCCGCCAGCATCATGTGCATCTTTCGAACGTACCGCCGTGACTGTCTTTTCTTCGGTAGTGCTACTGTAGAAGCGTAACGCCTTTGCCCGCTATGATCATCGTCCCTGTGTCCCCAGAGTTCGATCTCTTATCCGAAAGTCTACCTATTATACCATATACTATATACCGTATACCATTTATGCATGTTTGCTGCCTGCATTTGATTTTCATGCTGACTGCGAGGCGGGCTGTGGGCGGCCCGAGTGGAGCGATGCTGACGCCACGCGTGACGTCACGACCAGCGGCGGTTGTCCGAGAGGATCGACCGCTGCTTGTCGAGGGACCGCTGGAGCTCGGCCATTTTCGCTGCCCAGTCCTGCGCAGCAGAAAGTTCCATTTCCTTCTCAGTCCCCTTCTTTCCTTTTCTTCCATGTATCCCTCAATGTCCATTGGATTCGTCAGCGGAGTTTCTCTGCACTCTTCTGCTGACAGAACGAGTCATTGGATTCGCGAGAGAAACGCTCTACGTTTTCTGAGAGAACGGAAGACATGCCGTTGCAGAAAGCCTGCTCGACATTTTATAGCAAAGAGGCTACTCTGAAAAGCATTCACCTTCACAAGATTGCGTGCTTGAAATGGACAACAACTTTGGTTCCCCTTGGCTTGTGGAGTTGACCCTCGTGCGGCAATGCACATATGCAGATTAAGCCAGTCTTCCGATGTCAGCCAGCGAAAACGGGGTCAAAGAGGGGACCAGGTGAAAGGTAAAAGGCTCAGAACGGGGTTGCTTAGCTTTCAAATTCCTCGGAGATAACTTTGACCCAAGTTGAGCCAAGAAGGAAAGGACGCTCACGTCGAGAACGACAGGCTCGTAGGCCCGCTTTGCTCCACGGTACGCGGACGGCGTCAGCGTGACTTCATCACATGTTGGTGACGTGGCCTCCGATCCGGGCGTCGTCGTAGCGGCGTAGGAGTCGCTATCCCCTTCGCTGGCGCCCAGATCTGCCGGTTCCGTTCGGAACCGTTCCGGTAGGCACCGCGGCGGCCGTTGGCCGGAATGCAGCTGATGGTCCGCTGACTGTTCACGAAAAGAAAATATAAGAAAGTAAGTGAGTTTGTCCAAAGTTTGACGTCCGATGCGTCGCGACTCACAAGCAAACTGACAAGATCGAGTTGTTTCTCAGCTTCGGGGGACGTGCTCAAAACGGTAACTGCAAAACCCCTTGTGTTAACTTACCCGCAGCTCAAGCAGTACGGTAACTGAAAGGCCCTTTATCGACATTCTGATGCAATTGAAGAAGATAATATCGACGACTAGTAGGTGCTGAAAGAGCAGCCCCAAAAACTTGGCTGGTCTTTGATAGGTCGGAACGGGAACACAATCTTTAATGACTGGTGCTTGGCAGCAGATTGCCAGCTCAGCAATTGTCACTACTCGTTTCACCAATCGTGTGAAAAGAGGGGAAAATGCAGGGTATTATATTCTGAAGAGGCGAGGATGTTGGACCGAGCTTTTCCGCTCAACGCGTTCCGTCCGCTCACCTTGAGCTGCTTCAGCGCTTTCCGAAGCAGGTACAGTATGTGGTCCCGCTCCTTCTTGGCGACCTTCAGGGCCTGCTCAAAGGTGAGATTGACGTTAGGTCGCCGGAAAGGTTCTCGAGCAACGGAGTGGCAGGATCAAGAAAAATGATTCGAAGGGAAGAGATCGTTCGGAAAAGAAGTTATATACCACTAATGCATATCGTCGGTGCCGCAAGCAAGCATACATTAACGAACTTTCGGGTGACCCAAGTGGTTAAATCGAAGGCATTCCGCGCCAGCCTTGATCACCTCTATCTTGCATGGCTCTTCCCGCTTTAGTTCAACCGAACCTCAAATAGTGTCTCATGGCAAACCGGTTCCCTCCTTCTAGAGTCGGACAGATCATCCTTCACCGAAATTCAGTCGGCCTGTCAGAATCGACCTTACTTGTAAGCTCAACAGAACAGCACTAACCCGTCACCTAGCCTGGTGAAACCGGATTCGATTCTCAAGCCCAGCCCGGATTGAAAACCAAACCCGGTTCTAAACCCACCTCCCGCATCCCCTCGCCCGCGGCAGCGTTCCCCCGCTCTAGTTCGTCCAGCCGCAGCTCCGCCTGGTCGAGCCGCGCGGTGCGCTCCGCCAGCGCGGCTTTCAGGTGCGCGACCTCGCGCACTCGCCAGTCCAGCAGGCCCCCCAGCCTTGTTGCCTGGACCTCGGCGCGCTGCGCGCGCGCTTTGAGCTCGCGCTCGGAGGTGCGCGCGAGCGCCTGGGAAAGCGGGGGAGGAATCAGTTAGCAGAATGAAAAGCAAGGCGAGTATGATCAGGATCCAGTCGGAGAATCTTGACGTTTGGAGCACAGCGGAAACTAGTAGGTTGGGTAAGCGAAGGTCGGGTAACTGGAATTCGCGAGAAACATCGAACATCAGACCTGGCCACTCAATGAGGCGGATGAAGGCCCCTCAGTAAGCAGTGCTTTCTTTGGTATGTTCTCGTGAAGCTGAAGAAAGGAAGTGCTTGATTTTGTTATTGAAGGAACGGGCGTCGAGATTCTTGATTTTCGTTGGTCAGAAAAACACGTTCCGTCGGTTGGTAATTTGAGTGCGCAAAACCGTCAAGACAACAATTCCAGACAATCAAGGACTCAAGTCTTGGGATTCTGCCAAACCCTGCCGCTTCCCGCAAGTCAAGACACGAGCAGACAGGGTGTGTTGCCACCGTCCAGGCGCGTATTCTCACCAGCTGCTGCTTCCACACGCGCTCTCCCTCGCGCACCTGCTGCGTCGCGCAGCCGCTCGCGCAGTAGACCGCGCGCACCGATTTTATCGCCTCTTTCGCCGCTTGCCGCGTTTGCGCAAGAGACTTCTTTAAACTTCCCGCGCCCTTCCCGGGCTGGCCCCCGGTCTGCTTTCCAGGGAGCCCACCTAGAGCTTCCCGCTTCTTCCGGAGCTCCGGCGGAGTGGGCAGGTCGAGGGAGAGCTCCGAGACCGGAGTGCCCAGCAAAGTAGAACCGGTGTCCGGCTCCAGTAAGAACTGGCCCCTCCTCGCGCCCGACCCTATACCGCGTCTGTGCTTCTGAACCGCGTTCGCTTCATACTCTCTGACCAGTTCGCTCAGCGCCTCCATTTCCTTTTCGTACCGCTGTTTCTCCGTTATCTCGGCCCCCGGGTGCTTCAACCGAGCGGTACGCACCAAGCCACGTGTCGCGGAACCCCACCCCGATTGCTCCCCATGAACACCTTCCCGACCAATCGGAGCTCGCCAGCTGCCAGTGTCGTACTCGGAACGGCCATCCTCCGACGACATTTCGTCGAAGTCCCTCTCTTCATCTTGAGAACGGCCCTCAATGCGCTCCTTGTGAAAGTAACAATCGCTCGGTGCGTTTCGGGAACGGTTTTCGCGATCCGCTGTTGCTTCCCAGCCGTTGATTCGAATCACGTGGGCGCCTTTCTGATATTTCTCGCCCATGTTTACCCGCACTGTGCTTCTCTGCGGTACTCCCGTCACTCGCTTATCTGCCCACTTCTCTCCATCCGTATTTTGCATCTCGACTCTCTGCCCCGATCTGCTTTGCCCTCTCTCCGAAACCTGCACTCGCGCGCTGTTTTGGGGAACGTCTTCCGAAGCCCTCTGTCCTGGGTGGTCGTTATTCGAGCAATCAAAGTCTGCCCCCTTTCCAGACTGCACGCCGCTCGCTCGCGCACGGTCTGGCGGCGCTCGCCCTGCCACGTGGCGCTCTCTCGTGGCAGGTGCAGGCACACCTGCGCTCGTAGCCCGCTTCTCGGAGTACGAATTTGTTGCAGCACGCGATCCGTTCCGCTCGTTCCGCCTCTCCGAAGCGGTCTGTCCGCTCAGGCTGCCCCGCACTTCCTGTTCCACCGGGTACTTCCAGCCGTCCAGGTTTTCCCCTCCATCCAAATCGTCCCGTCCGTCAGGACTGTTCCGTCCGTTCTGATCGTTCCGCCCCTCCAAAGATTTCCGTCCGTCCGCACTCGCTTTTCCGCCCATGCTGTTCCGTCCACCCGTACTGCTCCTTCCTTCCAGATTGTTACGCCCACCCGTACTGTTCCTTCCATCGAGAATTTTTCCTTCCGGAACGTTCACAGGGCTATCTCTTCCGTTGGGACCATTCCGCCCGCTCAGACTCGTCCGCATGCTCGCCGGCCTTTCCGCTGCAACGTTCCGTTCCGCCCCTCTCTCCGCCGAAGCGAACCGCGACCGTGACCCTTTCGCTCCAGGGTTCTTTGAAAATGATCCCCTCGTCGGGAACTCGAAGGTGCGACTCGCAGACTCACGTGCTGCGCTGACTGTATTTCGAGACGCTCTCGGCACAGCCAATCCGGTTTCCGTTTCGTTCCGTTCGGACGCCCGAGCGGATTGGAACGATCCAGCTTCAGAAAGTCGGGACGCCGGTCGGCTGTTAGCTGCGGATCTGCCCCCAGACTCGCGCACGCTAGGAGGACCAGTGCGGTCGTGCCACGTGTCCTCATCAAAAAATGCCCTTATTGTCGACCCCCCAAAACTGCTCTTCCGGTCTTCCGTTTCCCCTGCATCGGGTTCCGGTCCGCGTTCCGGCCTGTCTCGCTTCTCCGTTACCGGTTCCTCTACCCCCCTCTTATTGGCGACCTCGCCAAAGTCCTCGGGCACATTTGCCGTTACCCCACCAGACGCACCTCTAGAGCTTCCGCTCGGCCGCTCCACCTCCCCCCGCCCGAGAAACCCGGAAGGCTCCGCGCTCGTCCACGAAGGCTCCCCTTCCACAAGCCGCAACACTTCGACTCCGTCTTCAAACGCGCGCGCGCCACCCCCCTGTCTCCCCCCCGGCTCTTCTTCGAGGTGCTCATTCCCACTCTGCCGCTCTGCGCTTTTCGCAGACGTCCGACCACTTGTGTTGGCGCCCTGAGATGTCCGGTTTTCGTGAACTCTCGTTGATCGAGCATCGGTTGACTGCTGCTTCTTGGATCGAGGTTGATCTGGTAGTTCTTCCCCACTTTCAGCGCCAGCAAACCGGAGTCGCTCCACGGTGTTTCGAGATCCTGACCGGCTTCTGAAACAGTCCCCAGCAGACGCTCTAGCGGACGCTTCGTTCGTCGCTTCTACGGACGCTATTTCGGACGCTCGGGAAGCCGCTCCGGGCGCCCAGCCTGCCTCCGCCAGCCAGCTCTGCCTCCTGTGCTCTGTTTCTTCCTCGGACTTCCTTCCGGACGACTTTCCAGACACTCTTGCGGACGCTTTTTCGGACGCCTTTTCGGACGCTAGAGAAGCCGTTCCGGGCGCCCAGTCTTCCTCCCCCAGCCAGCTCTGCCTCCTGTGCTCTGTCTCTACATGGGAACTTCTTTTGGGCGCCCGTCCGGACACTAGTTTAGACGCTCTTTCGGACGCTCGTTCGGACGGCCTCCTCTGCCCTTCAACCGCCCCTTCTTCGTCATCCAGCCAGCTCAGCTCCCGGTGCTCTTTCTCCTCGGAGACCGACTTCCTTGAGGACAATCTTTCTGACCCTGCGGACGCTCTTCCCGAGCCTGCGGACGCTCCTTTGGACGGCCTCCCCTGCCCTTCGGACGCCGCTTCTCTGCCCTCGAGCCAGCTCAACTGCCTGTGCTCTTTCTCCTCCGTAGCTATGATCCGCTCTGACGTTCTTTCTGCCCCTGCGGACGCTCTTTCGGACGCCCTTTCCGGCGCCTCTGACATCCCTTCCTCTTCTTCGAGCCAGCTCGGCTTTGCATCCTCTACAACCGAGTTACTTGCGGACGTTATTCCTCGTTTTGCGGACGTTCTTTCGGGCCCTGCGGACGCTCTTTCGGACGCCCTTCTTGGGCCTCCTGACTCCTCTTCGAACCAGCTCGGCTGTCTGCGGCCGTCTCTCTCCGCAGCCCCGTCATTGCCGGACGTCCGCGGATGCACACTTTCGCTCTGATTTCTGAAGCGGCTGTCCGAATGTCGGACACTGTTTTGTACGTCTTCACTAGTCTCCCGTATTGCAGACAACGACTGGGGGTGGGAGTCGCTCGGTCCCATTGATGACAACGTGTGCTTGGAGTGCCGTTCGCGCATGAAGAAGGAGCGCTCGGAATGAGGCCTAGACCCCGGCGGTTCACCTGCAAGGGTGTGAGCAGAGCTTTCTTCTTGAAGTGCACGGTTGTTTTTGAGAGGAGCTAGGAGCTGAAAACAAAGTATTACCAACTGCCAACAGTGAATACTACGATCACTCAACACGGTATCTGTGTGTAAGTGCGGAAAGCCAAGGACCGCAGAGAAGAAAGATGACAACGACCGCTGGAAAAGAAGCTGAAGCACTGGTCAGAAAGCTGGTAAATAAACCCGGCGTCAAGGGAGAATACAAAGAGATAGCTCCTAGCATTTAAGGTTGGGCCTCTTCCACTGAAACAAGCAGGGGGGCTGCAGCAATTGCAGCATTGTGCAACTTCAGCTTCTCTAAGTAAGCAAAGGGCTTGTCCTTTTTGAGCAACACCGCGGGAGTTTTCGCCGTAAAGCTTCTGAAGCTCCTTATGGATTGATAGGGGTCTGGAAGGGCAGGCAATATGGTCGCAGTCAACAAGAACGTTGAGAGAAGGCTTTGGTCTTGAACGGCAGCATCTGGGTGGAGGACTGACTGAAAGTGCAAAAGCAGATAAGGGGGGCAAGAAGACGTGCTTTCATTGGCGGTCACCTTTCATAGTTTGAATCTCATGAATGTAAAGGATAATCAAGAACTTTGCTTAATTGGTGCGCACCTTTGGAGAAGAAGGCCCTATTCTCAGGAATAACTTGCCCCAAAGCTGGGAAGCTAAGTACGGACTGAGAAACAAAAGACCAACAAACCAGGGGATCACCCCTATCAGTGAGCCCCGATGCTGAGCTGGATTACCAGACAATGGAACATGTGCGTCACAAACAGCTCTGGGAAGGGGAATGCGCACCGTCGCTAAGGGAAGCTCGTCTTACCAGCATTCCATTCGCTCTCGTCCTGCCCCGCCCTCTGGAAAGTTGCAATGCCACCCCGGCCCCCCCCACCTCCTCCACTCATCCTGCCCCCCCTGTTTCTTTCAAACTCCCCCTCTGACACCCCCGTTTGTGAACGGCCACTCTCGCCCCCCCCTTGCGTCCAGTTCCTAGCTGCAAGGTCCTCTTCTAGCTCCTGACACTGTCGCAGCACTCTGAGGACTGCCTCGGAGCTGGAACGGCGTTTTTCCACCCCCCCTTGCATCTGATCCGAACCTACTGCAGCCCCCCCTTGCTGTGAGGGCCGTGAAACATTTGGATGTCCTGCGGACAGGCGCTGCTGTAAAGAAGCGGCTGCGCTGGAAGCATCTGGCGTTCGTCTAGGTTGTGAGAATGCTTGAGACCCGCCTGAGTGCCTTCTCTCAGTCTCCAAACCCTTGATGCCTGGTGGAGAGCCCATTTGTGGCTGGGCGCTGTGACCAAAAATGGCCCCTTTTGGTTGAGATGGAATAGAACGTGCTCTTTCTAGACTGTCGGCAATTGCTATGGAACCGATTCGGCTCCTCTCAGTGATCACGCTCTCCTCTGAGAGACTCAGTCGCCGTTCTGCTTCCTTGCACTGGTACAGAACCTCACAGAGAGCCCCAGTCTCGCTCGCCCCCCAACTTGCAATGTCAGCCTGAAGACAAGGCAAGCTTTGGATGCTTGCACCTATGATAGGATTGCGGGAGCTTGTGGTAAGACTGCTAGAGCTTATGTCAAGCCTTTGGCTTGAAATCAGGGTTCTGACAATTCCACCTCGAGGAGAAAGCTGCTGAGTATCAGTGTGATTTGAAAGGGCAATGCTGCGGCCAACGAGGGTGGCTGCAGCAGAAGCAATGCCTGAGAGAGCGGCAGAGGGAGACTGAGCCATGTAAAGGGGCCCATGGAAGGCGTCCCTGGTGGTAAAGCTGCCAGCTCAGATTAGGGTTCCGAAATTAGGGTTTGGAGCTTGATGGCTTTTGACAGTACACTTGAAGAAGAATCAGGGCGTTGAAAGGGGATTTCAGTATCTGCCATACCTCCTCAACTTCAAGTCTTTTCTAGATGTCAGTCGGCGCGGCGCATGCTACATTCTGCCGACATCTGGCCGACTCTTATTCACTATGTGGAAGCATCTTTCAGAAACTTGATGCGTCGGCAGGTTTGCATGCATCTTGAAAGCATACTTGATCTGCAAACTCGGAGAAGCCGAAGCGGCATCTTTCCTGTAGATCCACTGGCCTTGTTCATCGGCTTTGCAGTCACCGTCTTCAAGCCAACCTGACGCCTCATCCAGCTGGTCTCCAATGCTCTCATCCTCCATCTAGCTTCAATCTACAGGGGATCTATTGATCGAGTATCTTGGCTGTTCCGGCCTCAGTTGCAAGTTTCAGTGCAGTAAACAGGGTTGGCGTTTACGCTTCCGACGTCGACTACCTCTACGCGAACCTGCGGGGTCACAGTTTCGACGCGTATTGCCGAACCGCCGCTGCCGGCCGCGCTTAATTTACGACTCGCATGTTTGGGAAACCGTCGAGCCGGAGGGATCCCTTTGACGAGGTATGTGCAGGAGACTCATAGCTAGGTAGTACTAGTGTGGTTTGAGCGAGCTCGAGCCATCAAGTGGCTTTGGGTAGAGCAATTCCTGCTGTCAAGCAAATTGGCCAAAACAGATTAAAAGTCAGCTCCGCACATTTTGAAGACGTCCGGACCCCGCGACTTTGTTCCTTTGCACCGGCCCTTTTGCACTGATAAGAAAGCTTTCCAGAAGAGTTAGAGAAATATTGAGGGACGAACGTCTCCCCTCAGCTTGTAGAACATCGATATCCTAGAATACGGCTCCTTCCTGTTTTCACGACCTGACGGTAGAGCACTGCGGCCTTCGTTGAGTATAGTATTGGTAGCGCTGCAACTTCAACCTCAACTTTGCAACTTTGCGATGACTTGTTGCCCTCTTGCAGTCGAAAACTGTTCCACGGACGGAGTCTAGGCTCATGTCAACCGGCTCGGTTCGAACCACCCATGCTGCTCGGCAGTGCCAGTAGTACTGAAATATGCCCTTTTAATGGGTGTTTCATTTTGGCGCAGCCCTCAAATGGGGGCCGCGAAGGAAAACACGAAATTGTCTTTCCACGTATGCACTTCCCCAGAGCTTGGGCTCTCTACCAGTCCATACGTCAGCGGCCCGTCAGGCTTTCGTGCGGATTCCCCTGCGTTCTCGTGCAATTCTTCGGTCCCCAGACTTGAATATATTTTTCGCTGGTACAATTACGACCAGCTCGCCTCCCACAATAAATGAGATACTGCCTGACGAGTGCAACCCACGACGACCCTTCTGCGATAACCGCAGACGAGGTTAAGTTAATTCTTGATTGCACGATAAAACTCGGGCCAGGACGAACCTGAGCTGCAGTGTCTCTCAAAAAGCTGGAAAAGCAGTCTGGTTCTTGGTGGAACGCCAGAAGCCGTTTTCTGATCTTCCACAGTCCGGCACTTATGATGTCGTGGACTGACGTGACTGCCTAAGGGACTTCTGATGACGTCAGGCGAAAGCCGGTGACGAGATCACACCGCGAGGTGGTCCCTTTCTTAAGAATCGTTCTGACTCCCACTCTTTGACGTGACAAGCCTAGTAGGTCCCCTTTCTGAAAGTTTTGGAGCATTTCCTCGAGCCCCCGTTGCCTTTGTTTCAACTTATATGCTGCCCAGCTTTATAGATCAGGCTATTGAATGGCGAAAGAATGCGAAAGGCCTTTGCATGCGCCTCTGGTTAGTAGGACCTTTTCGGCGAAAGCTGTCGATAAACTTGAGAAAAAGCGCCTCGCTTGATTTCGTGAGGTTGCGGAAAAGATAGGTTCCCTACAGTGCAGCCGCACATCAAAGGTCAGCCAATCTTGAGAAAAATTGAGTTCCAGACGAGACGGATTCTCATCACCGCATGGCGATTGTAAGATGAGGCTGGGAGGAAAACCTCCTTTGTTCTTTGTTCCTCGTTCAATCAGTTCCTTGACTGAAGTGTGCTTCTGCACATCCAGATCGTAGCCCGTCTTCATCAGCCAGATCCTCTCTGTCCGTCACAATGCTGGAAGTTGAGATAAGAACGCTCACGGTCTTGCTTTTTGGCGGCTGCCTCTTCCTCACCGCATACCTCCAAGTTCGCAAGTATGACGTCAGCCCTCTCCGTGGCGATGGGGGGGCCGCCGTTGCTCCTGCTTGGACCCCCCGGAAATTGCTTTGCTGCGCTCTGAGGAAAGAAGAAGGTAACGCATGTCCTTGTAAAAGTTGAGAAGACAAGAGGACTTTTGATCTCTCTAAAAGGATGATATCCAAGCTGGGTGCGTTCCTGAATGTAGGGCGACATGCATGGCTTTCGAATGTTTTAGTGAGAACGGTTTCTGCTTGGTCACCTAGACCTCTTTTCTGGTTTGAACGTTGACCGTTCATGTGCATGTTCGGATCTCCCTTGGTTTCTTCCTTCCGGAAGATGGGTTTTCCAGAAAACCCACAAGATTCGCGGCCTTTTGTTGGGGAAACTCAGTTTCATGGCAGTTTGAAATGGTTTCGATAGGGATAAGGCACTCCCGACAATCGAAGCAGATTACCTCTCGCTTGAATGCGTGACCCATCTGCTTTGGTGGACGAGAAAAAGATGCAACTATCCTGACCAGAAGTTATTGACTGACATATCTTGTTTTGCAAATTTTCATCAAAATACAACTCGTGGCCAGTGCACAATACTTCACCCGTATGACTCACCTTCTGACATGAATTCAGTCTTTCCCCTCCCACCTCGCTGCCATCGCTTTCCTCTCCCTCCGTCGCGCTCGCTTCTCCATTCCTTCTACCTTGATACTGCATTTTCCCCCTTATCTTCGCTCCTTCTCTCCCATCGCTTCCCGTCAACTTTGTCACAACTCACTGCATCATCACCTCTCCTTCGCTCGGGCCCTGAACGAGCCGACGCCGCCAAGTGTTTACAACAGCCATCAACGATTCTCTTCCCTCCTTGTTGCTCTGCCCCCTGTTTCTTCGTCATTTCCTCTCTTTCTACTCGGTGCAAAGTCGTTTGTCGCTCGGGCCCTGTAGGAGCCGACGCCGCCGACTGGTCCCCCTTCCTCCGCAGCCACGAGATGGTCGCCGTCCAGGTTCACAAGGCCCGCGAGCATCCCCGGCTGGCGGAGGCGATCCTGACGATGGCAGACCTGGCCAGGGGATCCCTCCTGACGTCACTGGCTTCGGTAAGCGTCCCTGATTCAAGTACGGCGCATTTTCTAGGCTCTTAGACGGTCTGTTCCGTACGCCCCTTGGATTCACAGTATTGTAGAAAATGCAACTAGGAATCTTACCCTCATATTAGACGTCCGCTGGATGCATGTTGTTGCAACTTCTGGTCTCAACGAGATTCATTCACCGAATTCAGAGAGGTATCTGGGGGCGGTTCGGTGTAGACCCGCAAAGGTGGCATGTGGTCTAACACTCCCCCGTTGAATAGTATCAGCCCAAACGAGGTACTAGGAGTTCCGATCAGCGGAAAGGAAACCCGCGAGCTGCGCGCACGCAATATCAGGACATTACTGGACACCCTTCTCTATCCCAAATTCTCTCGAAAAGCTTCGGTGGGGTTTGAATGGCTTGCAGAAGGGTCGTGCTTGCCTCGCTTTATGAGAAAGCGCGAAATCCGTTTCGCGAGTCCGGTTGTCAAAATTTGAAAAAAAAGAAGTTGGGTAAACTTGAATACTTGATGGAAGATCGAAGATCCGTTTATGACAGCTTGTCAACGGAGCTAAATGCTTGATTAACATTGCTTTAGAGGTTTGAAAAGTGCATGAATCCGTAGAGAGGCCGCCATAACGAGGAAATTTTGTAACGGAACAAATGAGTGATTATATGCCTGCCAAACCGGCTCGCATGTGGAAATCCAGACGAAAGAAAGGACTTCGCGCAATGAGAATAGATTACCGCCGGCATTTGATCTTTCGTTTGATGCTCCACTTGCAGCACTTCCAACCAAGGCTTTCACCAGAACTAGGCGCTCCCGAAATTCCGTCCCCTCCAAACGTTTGAAGTCGATCAAACGTGCCAATGTAGCTTGTAAAAGAGAAGAAAACTGTACTCTCATTGTCAATTGCATTGGTGTACATATCAGACGCAGTCGAGCGAGGTTTACATTTGCACACTGTAAGAGATTAATTAGCACTTGTCCGATGTGTGTCAGAAGGCTGTTCAGAGGCAGTTGGGGTATTATTCAACAGGCTTTGAATATCGTCAGGCACTTTGTAGACAGAGTCTAGACATGGACCCTTAGGCGAAGTCACGAAATGCTGGAGATCCGTGTAGGGGTTTGGATACTCACTAAACAGAATTTGGACTATGTCCATGAGACGGCTCAATTGTCCAGCTCGGACTTCTTTCCTATTGGACAAAGTCTGGACAAGAGGATTGGTCCGTGCATCTGGCATGTCTTAGCTTGGTCCGAAAGCGGTCTAATCACAGTAACGGTAACCCCTATTCTGACCTGACCCGAACTCACACCACCCGCGGGGCCGCATGAGTTTCTGCCTTCGTTTGCCTGTGCCCGTGGAAACTCCTTAAACATGAATCAGGCGCCTCCCTCTTCTAGTTAGGAGAGGGTACTTGAGTGGGCGTCCCGATGTGACCACTTGTGATCAACTAATGTAGTCTCCAGTTTTAAATCACAGTCGTCGATTGATGATCTACTCGTGCGCAGGATGGTCGTCATTCGCAACCGATGTATTGGCCCTTGCGTGCCAACCTAATCATGGCGACACTCATTTACTGTCAGTTTGCTGACCATTTCTGTCACGTCGAAGCTCTTGGGAGGTAGCTTCTGAGTCGCGTCTCGTTTTCTGACAAGGCAGACTAGACTCATATAAAGAACCCATTGGCAGTGGCAGAGCTTAGCGGTTACGTGCTTGATTTCTCTCGGTCGGAGAAGCAAGGGATTAGTGCCTCTGTTGAGCCCCGTTGGTCTTCACGAACGTTTTCTGTTTGCCTTTGCTGGCGCAATCTTACCAGGGGTGAAAACCTCGGAGCACGTGACGTCACCAGCTGTTGCAGACGGCCGGTATTAAAGCGTCTTTTGTCCCTTCTCCTTATCGTTTACTGGATATTCCATCTTGCTTCGCCGCTTGATGTGACCAGCAGTTTCCAAAGCAAGCTTCTCCTTATTGTTACTGGAAATCGTATCTTGCTCTGCCGCTTGACGTGACCAGCAGTTTCAACAACAAGCCTGTAGATCTCGAATTTGAGGTCTTTGGCGGACAACTTTGAATTAGGTCCTTATCCTATCTGCTCTCCGTTCACTTGGCGCGCACACCCCTCAAGATGGACTCTCCGAAGAACCGCCCTGGCTTCCGCTCACCAGCGTTCAACCGCCGGTACTGCCTCATCTTTCTCTTTCTATTCTGGTCATTCTGGGCTGCGTACTCGCTCTATTTCCATGGCGCCCTCTACCGGATAACCTGGGTCACGATGAGCAAACGGGAGCATTCCATTGTTGGAATTCAGAAGATTCTAAATGGAACTACCCGGCTTATGAATGCCGCAATGAAAGAGGGGCCTGATGTCTGGAAAGTTCGCTGGGGGGACGATGCAGAGAGCCCGTCGCACAGCTGGGAGGAAGCTGATGACGATAGCGCTGACGTGGAAGAAGAAGAAGAAGAGGGAAACGAGGCAGATGACGAGTAAGTGCACTTGGTTTCGTGTTTTGATCAACGACGTCTCTGATACAGACAATGTTGATGTTCTTATAGAGGAAGTGCTGCTTTGAAGACCCTTGATGGCCAAAATAAGGTTGTATGATTTGCTGAGATGATTGACTTGTAGGCCTTTACTCTTGTTGGGAGGATTCTGAAGTGTTTCTGAAGAATGAAAGATGGTGCATTGGGGCAGTCTGCAAAGTCGAGGCAGCTGTGTGAACGAACGTTTTTCGCAAGGTCTGAAAGAAGTTCTTTATCACGGTGGGCTTAAGTACGTTTCGTTTGGATAGCTGAAGAGGTAGGCCCAGGCCATGTTCGTAGCACTTTCTTGAGTCTCGCCAATGGACTATGGTTCGATCTGGTTAGCTTCATCTTGTAACTGCTGATTTTAAGTGCTCTGAAACCTATTTGTAAGTGCACGCCTATGTAGGTCCTGATTCTTTTTCGTCAGATGCATTCATACTGCGCTCTCCTCCACTGATCCGGAAAGGCGGATCCCCATTTCTGGCTTTTCGCAACAAACTAATGCGAGCGCGGACCTTATCAACCAGGATGCGGGTACTATAAGTCGCCCTAGTCACGTCACTTCATGAGTACCCCGTTTATCAATTTTCGAGTGGATCAACGGCTTCCGGAATCCCTTGCCAACGCATGCCGTTGTGGTCCATTCTGCTTTTGTCCGTCTCTTTCTTCGGGTAAAAGAAGCTGGCCATGCCCGCGGCTTCACAGGAAGTCCTGTCTTTTAACCACAGACGGTTCTGGTCCGCTTATGGGCTGGTTGAAAAGTAGTTATGTGTCCAACAACCAGACGTGGGCAGTGGTAACCAGCATTGGAACGGGTTAATGTCCGTTGAGTTACCGAATAACCTCAAATTCTGGTGAACAGCATGATTAGCAGCCAGTATTCCCTGCAATTGAAAGGTACGCGTCGGCTAGCGAACGAGCGTGCGCTCGCGCGACTTCCTTTACGGAGGCGATCCTCCCGGCCACACGATCAAGCGACACTCAGCTCAGATTCGCGCTTCGACTGTACAATCTCTTCTGAAATCATGAAATTCAAAATCATCAAAAAGCTTTAGTGAAGTCTCGCTGCATCAAAAGGACACGCCTTATATCTGCGATCACAGTCGCTGTTTTGAGTGTTCCTTTTATGTGCATGATCATTGCCGATTATTAGAGTCATCAAGATGACTCACAGACGAGAAAAGAACAGCATTCACGTCAGGAACTTTTAGCCCTTAGTTAGAGACGGTTTTGGGATGGTTCTGGGCGGGTTAGAAACCGGTTATATATCCAGTAACCATACTTGGGCGTTAAGCGGCCTTGGAACAGGGTAAAGCCCGATTAAATGTTCAATAACCCAAGAGCTAATTCTGGTATTCAGCCTCCTTAGCAGCCGAAACTTCCCGTGAACCACTGCGAGGAAGCGTTTGTCCAAACCAGGTCCGAACCAGATCCGAACTGAAGTGCGGTTCGGATCTGGTTCAGACAGTTTCAGATCTAGTTGGGACACCTTTCAGATCGGTGCAGCGACACGAAAGCGTGATTCCGGACCGAGTTCGGATGAGCTTCGGGCCACATTCGGACTGCCGTTAGGAAATAAGTCCCTGTCCGAAATAGAGACTTCCGGAACACGTTTGCACGTGTCCAAACAAGTGTGACAATAACCTTGCTTCTGACAGGAGTATCGACCTTCTTTCGTTGGAGCCTCTCCACGAGGAGTTCCTCGCGGGCCGCGCGACGGTTATTGTTCCAGTAACCAGGGCGTTAAAACAGCCTTGAGACAAGGTCAAAACCGGGTTAGTTCTCCAATAACCCAAGAGTCAAGTCTGGTATATACCTAGTCAGCCTGGTTAGCAGCCGAAACCTCCTGTGTTAACGAGGTCGACAAAATCATCAACTTTGTTGTACAGGAGCATTGACCTTCTTCCGTTGGAGCCGCTCCACGAGGAGTTCCTCGCGGGCCGCGCGACGGTGTTCCTTCTGCGGATCCAGAAAGCGGCCAGCAGCACGTTGGACGTCATGTTTTCCACGCACGTCAACATGGCGGAGTGTCAGCCCAACATTCGCGCGCTCGAGCGACTGGAAGAAGAGAAGTGCAACCAGCTCTTCATCCTCCTGCACTATGCGGAGTATAAGCCGGACAGCTGCACCGGACTGACGGCTTGGGATGAGTAAGTCGTTAACGGACTTTGCGTTTGAACCAGCGAATGCCGTTGCAATTTACTCTTGACCGTTAGGCGTGTTCACCTTAGAAGGTTTGTGTCTTCGTCACAAGCTTAGGGCTTAATGTTCACGAGTCAGCCCTTTCTCTGTTTTTGACGCTTTCGAAAAAGTTACTTAAGTGGCTGCGAACCCGACAACCCTTTTCTTTACGTTTTCCGAGTCTTTGACCGTCACAGGTGATCCCAGGAGCAACGGGCTACGATAGACTGGGACATAGTTGCTACTATTTCTCCTTGTTTGAGATATGTAGCAATACAAAGTGGTTTCGTGCATCCGAGTCGCGTCATAGGTGCCGTGTCGGCCACAGTTTTGCGTTGCGCAATTGCTGTTTGCGGCGACCTGAAGCTCGTGAGCGAGTGGGATGGACGCCCAAAGAAAAGAGAAAAGAGCGCTTCAGCTTACCAACGAAATTGTCTTCCTTGTAGCCCCGCCTGGGAGGATCTCGACTGCATCCCGTGGATCTTCTCATACACATACGAGGCGAAATATCACCGCCTGCCAGAGCCAGAACGCGCGCGCGTCGCGCGCACCTTCCAGAGCTCCCGCCTCATCAGCGGTCACTTCTCGTACGGCATCCATTCGATCGGCCACCGGGGCGCCTTCGCGTACGTCACCACGCTGCGTCACCCGGTGTCACGTGTCGTCAGCTGGTGGAACTGGAACATCCAACTGGGGAAGCTGTCGGGGATCGTTTCCGCCGGAAACGCGACGTTTGACGATTTCGTCTGGGATGACGGATTCCGGTTCGGCGGCTTCCAGAAGAGCAACCACATGACGCGCGTTTTGTGCAACGAGGAGACGGGGGTGAGGAACCGAAGCTCTGATGATGACTCTTCGATTAAGCAAAAGTAAGCTCTAGCAAAAGTAGGCTCCGACACTAACACTAAAAACCTAACCCACAAAATGACCCGCTCCGCACCCGTACCCACCTTAAACCCCCAAACTAACCCCACCCGTCACAGGATGGTCAGATTACTTTTGCTAATGTTCATTTTTGCTAAATTGAAGCTTCATGCTCTGATGACCGTGGCTCTGATAATCGGAACTTTGGGAAACTATCACGTACGATTCTGAGGGTAGGGTGGAGAACGGGCACACGTTATTGAGGTGCTATTATCGAGCCTTTGGATAGCTTAATTCGCCCGATCGTTTTTTGCGCGCTTCCTCGATGCTTGTACGAATATGCTCAACTTTCCCTTTGTACCACGTCTACAATAAGCGGACAATCTGCATTTTGGGTCTTCACCCTTATAGGAGAAGGGGCTTCGCGTGTAGTCTCTGAGGATCCTGTGAGAACCTTTTGATTGTTTGTTTCCTGCATATTCGGGGCTCTGATGACCGGGGCTCTGAGGGGCGTCTCGGAGAAGACACGCCGCTCGGGGCGCTCACCGAAATCACGCGCGCGCATTACGAGTGCGCGCTGCGCAACCTGCGGAACTTCGCGCTCGTGTTTCTGGCGGAGAACATGTCGGACGTCGAGCCGTTGGCCCCTTTGGTTTCGCGCCTGTTCAACATGAAGAGAACGGTGGGTCCGCTGAAAGGCACCGAAACCAACCCGACCACGCTGGACGAGTCCGCGGGAATGGTGGTGCGATCCAGCTTGTCAGAGGCCACTACGGCAAAGCTGGCGGAACTGAACAGCTGGGATGCGATGCTGTATGAGAAGGCGGGGAAATTGCATGAGCTCTCAGTCGCAAGGTTGAAGGAGATGGCAGCGTCGAAGCAGTGGAGCAAATACGTTGAGGATGCGGCAGAGATTGTCGAGGATACGTCAGAGGATGGCTAGGAGACGCGACTACGGGCTTGGACGAAGACTACACGCCATTGAACGCAAAACAACTAGTCAACGTTGGAGCCCCATATCTTGTCATAGAAGTGGCAGGTTGCAGATACGATGTGCCTGTTGCGTCCCAAATAAACGACTGTTTTTTATCGGATTGAGTAGAGATTTGGTGTTGACTGATTCTTGCTAACGGAACAGAGTCCAGAACACTCCAGCATGTGCTCCAGAAAAATCGTATGGAGACGCATCGCATGAAGGAGGCGATCCAATTGAGCAATCTGCATCTCGAAGCGGAACATGAATTTTTTGACACGTACATGTTCCCCATTCTAGTTCCTAAATCAGACCTCCAAGAATGGGCGCAACTAGTATGACCGCACGCTTGCAAGTGCCTCTGATTTGTTAGACTTGTCTCGGAGCGTGGGGTATCGGATCTAGTGCCTTGGAACTCGCTGTTTCTGCCGTGTTGGAGAAAAACAGACTACCCATCGTGCAATCAGAAACAACTTGAAAAGAATGACCAAGGATACCTTAGACTGTGTGACATGTCTGTCAGTACTTTTCCTACACTGTCCTTCGAGTGCAGTTGGTTTCAAAACCGGTCGCCTAAAGGCAGACATTGGCTCCTTGAATTTCGCGATACCGTTCTGTAGCAAAACGTACAGTACGGCGCGGCGTCTAGTATCTTAACGAGTCTGTTTTCTTTACGCGGATGAGTTCGAATACCTCACCGGACAATTTCCTGACTTTTGCCATGCGAATCAAGATCTACTTGACGAGGAATAACCATGTTCGGAGTCTGCTTTTTGCGCTGTGCTACGATGACCCAACTCTAGACTCAAAGTTCAAGTCAATGACTCGGGGCAATGAACCCCACCGTAAGCAAATCGTAACCAAAGACTGTGCAATGATGTTTGTAGACCTGTAGACCTGGTTGTCGCGAGCTTTCCACGCAGAACATGTACGCTAGGAGCAGTTCCGTCCGTCGTTACCATCCCAATTCCGCTCAACGGATTCCGACGCATCTCTGGGCAATGAATAAGGTTATCAACTCGCAGTTTTCTCTATTCCTGGGGAATCCGTCACCCCTCACGGAACCTCCGCGCGAGTCCTCTTTTGTGATGTCAGCAGCCGCCGTTTGGGAGCAGCGGAATACGGTTCCGCTTCCGCCGGCGGACTTATGGGCAGCCGGGGAGGACGGACGCGCACGTTGGAACGGCGCTGGGGGCGCTCGAGCAGGAACCGGGGCAGCAGATGAAGCTGCTGCCGTCGGCGCTGTAGCACTGGAAAAACAAATAGGTGACATCAGCTTAGGCAAGAGTAGGTGACGATACGTAACGATTCGTAACGATTCGTCCAACTTGTAGTGCTTGCGATCGGGGGCGGGCTTTTTGTTAGAAGTTCAGAAAGGCGCCGTTCGTATCGCCAAACCAACGTTGCAGCATAAAGCGAGACCCGCTCTGGGAAAGGCAAACGAGCCCACCTGGTTTGGCATCTGTGACATCGGATCGCAAACTCCACCCGCCGATCGCACCGTAGGGCAGCCCGGGGTAGCCGAGACGGGGGCAGGAATCGGTGCGACTGGCGCAAGGGTAAAAGGAGTCGGGGCGGTTGGCGCGGGAGTCGGCGAATCGATCTTAGGTGGGGGGGTTTGCCCAAGAGTTGGAGGGAGGGTCGGGAAACAGTCTCCGGGGGGGGGGTCGGCGCAGAAGGGGCGGGTGCCGGGGGTGCTGGGGCAGTTCCCCAAGCAGCAGACGTAGAAGGAGCCGTCGGCGGAATAGCACTGGGAGAAACGGAAACGGAAACGGTGAGGAGAACGGAAATGGAATGCATACAGGTGATTCAGGGTCGATCTGCTGAGAGTTGCAAATTCTCGTGTAAGGAGACGTTGTGTAACCCGTAACGCCGGACGGTGAAGTTTAGCGGCAGGATACTCCAGCACAGAATCTGGGTGATGGCAAATGATGCTGCAACGACGGGCTTCGTATGCGACTACTCTCATCGTCATTGTGTCACCAAGGGATTGTTGCTGACGCTTTGCGGAACGTCCCCCTTCATTTGAATGGCTGGCAAATATCTTCACCACTTTCGTGTCGACGCGTAGAAAGGCGGAATTTCAATGGAGCTTCGCTCCCAACAAAGTCCCCGCACCTTTCTCCGAATGATGGGTAAGCTCCGTGAACCCGACCCCTGCAGCGTCCGGGCAGCAAGAAGAAAGTTTCCTATTCCAATTGTGGTATGCTTTACCTGCAAAGCACAGTAGGCTTTGGCAGGTCGGCTTTTCCAGCTACTTTATGCAGCGAAGTTTAATCTAACCTGGTTGGGAGTCGCCGAGGCCGAGTCGCAGACACCCCCCGCCGGGTAAACGGTGGGCCCGGGGCAAGGCCCGGCGCTGGTCGGAGAAGGACTAGTCGGAGGTGGGGCGGTCGGAGAAGGAGTGATCGGCATTTGGGCGGTCGGAGAAGGTGTGATTGGCGTTTGGGCGGTCGGAGCAAGAGTGATCGGGGCAGACAAAGTGGGTGACGGAGTAATTGGGGGGGGAGTGGTCGGGGCAGAAGTGGTCGGGGCGGGAGTGACTGGGGCTGAAGTGGTTGGAGAAGGCGTTATTGGAGCGGAAGTGGTCGGGGCAGGACTTGTCGGAGAAGGAGTGGTCGGGGCAAAAGTGGTCGGGGTAGGAGTGACTGGTGCTGAGGTGGTTGGGGAAGGTGTCACTGGAGCGGAAGCGGTCGGGGCAGGACTTGTCGGAGAGGGAGTGGTCGGGGCAGGTGTTATCGGAGCGGGACTTGTTGGGTTGGGAGTAACCGGGGCGGAAGTGGTCGGGTTCGGAGTAGTCGGGTTAGGAGTAACCGGGGTGGGGGTGGTCGGGGGAGGAGTGGTCGGGGCGGGAGTGGTCGGGGAAGGGGTGGTCGGTTCTGGGGTAGTCGGAGAGGGATCCCCCACAGTGACAGCTGTGCACCCGGGCTCTACCCCCGAGGTCCCGCGGATAAGGCGCGCGAGCGCGCCCATGTAGCCCGCGTTTATATACGTGGTCGGCTCCGATTGCTTGTAACCCTCAATCCCATCACGGGCGTCGCGGATGTTGGCGTAGCTTCCGTCTTGGAAGGGGCCGCCCACGATTGCCCCGGTGATGACGTGGCTGGAGGGAATAGGGATGAGGTTTAGAGTGGTCAAAACATCCATTTCAACAGCACATATCAGACCGGTTATGTTCTTAGGTTGCGCGTCGACCGAAAACCTACTTGGCGTCCCGTCTTGCCTTCGTAGTACCGATATTTAAAAGGTACGGTACTGTTCAAGCCATACACCTCCTCTGGTATTTACCTTAGTCTGCTACGTGGATCTGAAAAGCCCTCCGATTGGCTAAGAAATCTGGAAAGCTTTTTGCAGCTTTTCGGTCGCCGCGCACCCTTACTGTTTCTCGAGAACGAGAAACACTTGTAGGTTCAGAAAGAGGTTGTCAGATGACGGTAAAAACGAGTGCCACCGCCTCTTAACAGCTATCTTCTCGTTGATCGCCGGTTTATGTCAAACAAACTGATTTGCAGAAGCTCGAAACACGAAGGCGAAGAGGATTTGTTTATTTCCAGGGACGTCGTCAAGTATTGGCGAAGCCAATTCACTGCTCCTCGTGCACATTCGAGGCAGCAAGACTAGCTTGCGGGTAAACGAAAACCATTTTCACATCGGAGGGGACTGCCAAACTAGTTTTGTCTAAGGTAGAGCCTCACATCTCCATCCTCCTTTTTTCTCCTTTCTCTACACGCCTCAGTTTCACCACCGTTTAAAAGATCCTGAGCCTTACAAACATTCAAAACTTTCAAAGGACGACTTTCCGTTTCTCATTTGCTCAAAAAGCAACGCGCTTCTGTTGTATAGAGCAAGAAGCACGACTCACGGGTCAGAGTTGTTCGTATGATAGAACTGGAAGCCTTCTCCACAGGAGTAGTTAGGGGGGGGAGAAGGAACCGACGCCCCCCGGTGGTGCACACGCGTCGGGTAGTTGCTGCCAAAGCCCACCATGTAGCTCCGACCGGCCGCGTTACCGCCGAGCACGTAGTCAATCTGAGTGCGCGCCCAGGTAACGATCTGCTCGGGACAAGCGGTCGGGTCTGAGCGTTTGGAAACCGAAAAACGGTTGGGGGCGGGAAATGATCATTTGTTAGACTGAGGGACAAGCTGGCCTTGATAAAGACACCGGAATGATTGGTTATCACTGGTTTCAGAATCGAGAATCAGGTAGCCATTCGCACAAGAAACAGATGACCAAGGCCGTTACGAACTTCGACGCGGTCAGGGGTGCTTTCATTCCTTTCGTAGAAGGAGAGAATTCCTGCGAGGAAACATTCTGACGCGGCCCCAAAATTTCACCAGAAAGCGGATCCAGAGTGCAGATTTTCAATAGCAGACGGGGTCGAGCCGACTCCAAAATCTACCACAGCGAATGAGAGTTGGCCCCGATGGTGGGCTCGTTGATTTTTCTTCATGACGTCACATGACTTGAAATGTGCTGCTTCAAGTCCCAGCTTAAGATAGCGGTACCTAGTCTGCGAAAAAAGCACTCAGACAAGCAACAGCACGGGACGTCGCGCACCTGAGCGGGGCAGTATGTCACCGTTTACCCACCGTCGACGGTAGACGTCAGGCTTTGCCCCGCCACGGAAGAGATGGTCGTCTTAAATCATCGACGGAACCGCTTATTCAAGAAACTGGCTTTCTGAATCAAAAAGAAAAGCACTGAAAACGTGCCGTCACATACCTGAGCGGGAGAGTACGTCACCGTTCCTCCGCCGTTGTTGTTACACGTCAGGCTTTGCCCCGCCGCGGAGAGATAGTCGCTGTAGACTATGGACAAGAACGCGGCGTTGTTGGAGTACTGCATGTTTGACCCGTCCCGAATATACGCCAGGCCGTCTGGCGTGGTGGGCACTTGGCGGTTGACGTAGTAGCACACGTACTGCACAAGAATCATGACGTCAGCAAGGAGGTAGATGCTTACGTCGGAGCCGATGTCAGGGTGGGGTCCTGGCAATAGCCCAGGCCGTTTGGCGTGGTGGGCACCTGCTTGTTGACGAAGTAGCACACGAACTGCAAAGGAGATTATGAAGTCGGCAAGGGAATTGACGTCATCAAGAGCATCGTGAAGAACTCAACAATGATATAGGCCAGCCCGTCTGGCGGTGGTGAACACTAGTCGATTCACGTAGTAGCAAGCGAACTGCAAAGACGATCGTGACGTCAGCAATAAGAACCCTGCTGTCGCCAGCGCTGCGGGAAGTTTCCTAATAGGAAGAAGGTCAGGCCTTTTGCACCTGGCATATCAAGTAGCACAAGAGGAACAGTGGAGAGATTATCAAACCAGCAGAGGTAGGATGCCGTTGAGAATCTGGGGTAAGCTACCATGGTAGGATGGAGGTCGTGCCGTCATTAAGTGCAAAGACCTTCATGACCTCAGCGAGAAGCCAAGAGACGACGGCAATGAATTCTGCAACCATGCTGAACGGCAATATTGTGTTTTCCAGAAAAGGTAATCGAAGAACGGATGCGAATGGTAGCCCAAACGACACCCTCGCTTCTTTTGCTTTCCTCTGTTGCTTCCCTTTGCAAACCGAAGCTTAGCGTTCAAAAGGCGGACCCCGTGCTTCTTCGATCAAGCATAGCGAGAACCTGAAACCCACGCGCCAAATCATACGAATCGAGCACCAACCGGAGAATATCACCGCACTCTCTAGGCCCCTCACCGTTTCCGCCGCCATACGTATATGCGTGTACAGCTCGTTTGTCTGCCCGCAGCTGAGCGCTTGGCGCGCGAGCAGAATGTCGGCGCCGGCGGTTTTGCTGTCCCAGCTGAACTCCGTCGCGGAGCCGGCCGCGTTCAGCGGTCCCTGGTTGTTAACCACGTAGTCAAGGTACGTACCGTCGCCCGACGCGCGGTGCAGCCACGTGGCCGCCCACAGGAGCTCGTCGTTGTAGCCGCTGTAGGATTGGTAGAACCGGGCCTGCAAAGGTTTGGAGTTCAGGATTGCGATCAAGGATTTCCCTCGAAGAGTCTCCCCGGGCTTCCTGGACGAGTTCTGAGAGTCACCTGCTCCATTTAGCAGCTCTAGTAATCATGGATCAGAAGCATTGAGAGAGGATGGGGTTTAGATTGCGACCCGATATTCAATCAAAACCCTTTCAAGTAGGAGCGAAAGCTTCTGGATCTGCAAGAACCAGAGCGTGAAGCAGCGACTGTGCTTTGGATTTCCTTTCGTTCGAGCTATTCAGAGGTTCCATGAATCCGCCACTCAATCAGATTACCGAGCAGCATGGAGCGAATGGTGTCTCCACACTCCAAAGATGCGCTCATTCCACGTCACCAATCATCTGCTCATCACTGCTTCCTCGTGTCCCCACGTCGTGAGGACGTTGTGGAATTAAAACTTTGGAGCTGTCCGCACGATTGGAGATCAATGTCCAAGAGAAGGATATGAAGAACGAAGAAACGAGGATCTCTACATAGGGTCTTTCCAAGACACAAGGAAAGAAGAGGGTACAAAGGACATTCGTCCTCCCAGCGGACGTACCTGCGGGCCGATGCTGTCATAGTACAAACCCCTGTAAGTGTCCGCAAAGGTGAACAGCTGCCGCGCCGTCGATAGCAGCTTGTCCGCGTAGGAGCCGTCCGATGGCCGGAGCGCGATAGACGCGGCCGCGAGCGCGGCCGCGAACTCGCCCGCAATGTCGGTCCCCGGGCTGCTCGCGTTGACCTGGTAAACCGTCCGCGGGGTGTCCATATTCTCCGGACGCATCCAACTGCACAAGTATACGGAAAACGTCCAATAAGTCCGGAAAGTTTTCGAGAAATGTATCGAAAGTCTGTTTGACACATTAAGGTGAAGTTTGAGGCTAAGGCTGTTCCGGATGAACCTCCTGGATGGTTTTGGATCGTCATCTTACTGCTCATATGTCGAAGCATCTGAATCGGAGAATTCAAATCAAGCGGGTAAACGCACTATGCTGTCCAAGGAGCGGGACAGTTCGACGAACTTGGCAGCTTTTGAGCGTGTGGATCAGATGCAAACTTGTGGCGCAGAGTTTCTCGAAGAGTAACTGAGGGACAGCGGACAGTTCCGACGGTCGTGAACTAAATGTAGATACTGTTTGTTGCAACGACGATACGATTCGAATGTTGCACATGTATCTCGGTCCAGGGTTTCCACTATCGCTAGACAACTCTTGACATACGCAGATCCAGCTTCAACTCTTGTTCAATCCCAATCTCAATTCCAACCCGACTTTCTCCAAATCCTGATTCCATGTCGATTCCAACGCGACTAATTCCAGTCCGGACTCCAAATCCAGTTCCAAATCCAATCCCACCCGCTCTCATCGGTTTGCAGACAGGAAGGTTTGGCTGCTAACCAGGTTGGATAACCAGACTTCAGTCTGGTTCTTTGACCAATAACCGCATTGTAGCCATGGTAAAAACCTGGTTACTGCTCTAATCTGGTCATTGAACAGGTAACCAGCTTCGAACCAGCCCGTAACCGACTAAGGTTAATCGCCAGAAAACCCTGTGTTAATTGGCCGTGGGCACGGTAGTCTTCAGAAGTGGTCTTCAGAAGTGGAGTTTAGAAGTGGTGGGCGATATCAAGTTGCTCGGGGCGTGTGGAAAATGCGTCTGAGAAGTGCCCGGGTTGCTCACCAGGAGTGGTCGGCGTCGCCGTTCCCGACTTGGGCGTAGAGTGTGCTGGGCGGTTGGAAGGCCTTCAGGATGTAGTCGCTGCCCCACCGGATGGCCGCGCGCGCGTTGCCCAGCTCGCCGCCCATCGAGTTTCTGCACATCGGACGGTCGAGATTGGATGCTTTGTAGAGGAGCAGGGAATCGAACGGACGGCAATAGGAGAACAAAAGGAAAGGGCGGATGATTTGAAGGCGATTTGCGTTCCCTAGCTCCCCTGTCACACAAAGTCCTTTACACTGAAGAAGGCTTAATGGATTGGGTGCGAAGGACTGCAGCATTAAAAGGGCGGCAGCTGATGGGACGATGGGAAAGGGGCGGATGAAAGGTGAGTCGACAGCTCGCTAGGTTTGGTACTACGGACAGCTGCATTGAAGGGGAAGGCAATTGGCGAAACCATGGGGAAAGGGCAGATGCAACCTGAGCGAGTTGATTCAAGACTTGGGAAGAGGGAGAATACGACATGACAGGAGCGGGGGGGCCTTTGAATCCGGAGGGAATAGACCTCTGAACGTTGACTTTTGCTGCATGAACGGTGGTTCCTTGATAGTAATCGAGCATTTCGAAGACCAGCTTTGATATGGCGCAAACTTCGTGACAGGCCATAGTTCACAATGAAGTACGCAGCCTTCGGAAAAAAGAAGCCTGAATTGCCCCAATGACGTGGAATAATATGGACAGCTCGACAGTATGAACCGCACGGTTCTTTTGGTTCAAAAAGCACGATCAATATTCCAGACTTGCAACCGATTGACACACAGAAACTAGATTGAGGAGCTTCACAGATTGGTTTATCACTAACCCGTATTCCACGACGGACCAAGACAGCATGGTTACAGTAAACGCCATGGGAAACCCGAATTTGACGTTGTCGCCCGCGTCATAGTAGCCGCCCGTCAAATCAACGCCCGCCAGCTGGCCGTCTAAGAGGCCAGAGTCGCCACGCCACGAGACGCGGTTCCTGTGAGAAGAAAGATGGAGCGGTCTGGTAAAGTGTACTGAAAATCCGATGGAGGCAGCTTTGAGAATTCTGAAAACGACTTCTCTAGTTATGTCCGTACTTTTGGCAGATTGAAAACGTGAACGAAAGGAAGAGCAACAGGGACTGGGGAAGGATCACCTTTCAGGTGATGTAAGTTGAGATTTGATAGGAGCAAAGAGGGAGCTAGCTCCATACTACTTCCTTCAGAGAGAAAGACCGCCTTCTGACTTGCCAACCAAAGTTATTGATGTGCTTCTAGGCAGCACGAACAAGGGTGACCCGTCTCTTCCCTTCTCGAAACTTCCCGTACAAGCCACAATTTTCTTGTTCTTCCCATGGATGAAGAGCCATGTGTTCGATGAGACTTGTACACCCCAAAAACCTGAGTCCAAGTAAGACTGTTTTCAAGTACTGTGCCGTGTAGGCCTTCTTCTTTAACCAGCTGCAGAGCAAATGACAAACCATACAAGTATACATACATTAATAATACAGGTATTATGTATTTACTTCTATATCAATGAGCAATCTTCCAAAGACTCAGGATCTGATTAGAGACTTGTATTGGATCCACGTGCCTGCCACCCTCCACACCACGTGCGGGCCTGACATGCTTGCAGAGATGAATACAGGCAAGCTGTCGAAGCCAGAACATACTGAGAGTACAATCCAGGATTGCGCAATTTCTCAAGAGGTTGTACCTCAAACTGCGTACCGATCGATAAAGTCCAGCTGCCTGATGCCTTAGCCAATACACAACCACATCGAAAATGCCTTAGCCAATACACCACCACATCGAAATGTAGTTTCTTCTCGCGAATCTTGCGAAAAGAGCGCACAAAGTGCAAGTTGCCATGTACAACCCAAATGCTGAACCAGAGTTCCATTCACATCACTACACGGACTGCTTTGGCTCACATAATTAAGCAGGCTATTAATGAAGCTTCTGAGCGCAGCAAAATCCGGCAGTGGGAACTTACGAGCTAGGAAGGGCCCCGGAGCGCTGCGCCTCGTAGAAGAGAGTGCATTTGGCTAGCGCGTCCTGGTAGTCTGACGCACCGAACGCGCGCACAGCAGCTGGAAGTGATAGAAGCGCAGCTAGGGCGACCACAACACTGACCAGAGCTGCTCTGGAGTCGCCTGCATTTCGAGGAGGCGCCATCATTGACAGCTGTGAGCTGCGAGAAGAAGTTGTTGCGCGAACTGTCCCGCCGTTGATAGCGTCGATCCTGCGCTAGCAGTCAGCCTGCTTACCTTTTGCCTTTCAAGCTCAAAGCAGATTATGAGCTGCAACTTTTCACTGCGTTGGGCTTTGCAAACTGAGCTTTGGACCAAATGCAAAGTTTCTACCGAAGACCCAGATCAATTGCTTTTGCAGCTTTGCTAGTAGGTACTGTCAAGGCTACTGTGTAACCCCAAATGCTGAGATGGTGAAGATGCAGCGACAAAACGGTTCAGTGTTACTACTGAGTACTGTTTACCGTAGCCAGAGTCGGGACTGGAGTATGCTGGCTTTCTGAACGTTGCAATCGTACTGTCAGCATGCTGCCTGGGACTGTACTAGGTACTACGGTCGGTAGGTGGTACTGTGGATAAGTACGTACCGTACCAGCATTACAGACTGCTCACGGGGTCTAGGTGCCGTAAGTAAGGTACGTACCTACTCCCTATGCCTCGCTCAATTGCTGGCTGGCCGTTGAAGTGCGACTCTTGAAGTTCATGAGTGCCCGCACGTTCTCCGGCCGAATCCCGAGTGGATGACGTGGCATACGGTCTTTAATGCTGCATGCATTATCAAGTTTCAACGAACTGACCGGTTGAAATATCGAATTTAATACAGAGTCTACTGATGACTCCAATCTTTGTCGTCGGTCGGCCGGTGGGTTGGACCAATCCGGGAATCGCGCCGATTCCGACCTGGTCGGTTCTCGCCGCTCGGACCTCCATCTGGGCATCGGCCGAGTCGACTCGGCAGCGCTTGGCACCTGGGCGGTCATCATTTGAAGCACAGTACGGTCATCTGGTCCCCACTCAGGGAGGAGAGCTACTGTAGGTACTTACTTGAGAAAGGATGTAATACAACCCCAGCCATTCAAGCATTCATTCAAGTATCCACTTGAACCACAAACAATGTATTAGGAGACTGTCTTTGCGTTGAACATTTCGGAAAAATGGCATGCCAAAACGCGCGGGAACTTCCGGGTACTCTATTCCGCCATTATAGTTGCAGTGGCCATATCGTGGTTCTCGCGGCACCTCGGCATATGTGAAATCATAGATTTATTTTTTCCTCTGCCCAACCTGGATGTACTAAATTAATATAGGGCAAGCACTGCAACAATCTCCTTGTGGCGGACCTTGAACGTCATAAATGCACGTGTACTATACTTAAGGATGTACGTATGATTGAAGAATTGTTGTAAAGACTGCACGGAAAAACCTTACGAGTAACGCAACTGTCAAAAGATTGAATTGGAATCCTTAGACGTACTTGAAAGTATGAGTACAAGAATGCGCATGCCAGGTGCATGCTTTGACTTCTCTGCACGGTCTCTTGTGTGACCTCAAGGAAGCCAGAGCGGGGTTCAAGAAGGCCCTATCCGGCTGCACTATACACAGCAAGTTCAGGCATCCGAGAGCTCAGCGGATCCATTAGAGTTCTGTGGCTTCTCGTGAAATCAAGTGTGTCCATTTACGTACAGGGCTCAGACTTCCAAATCTACGTTCAAAAGTCGATGCTGATTCCTACCGATTTCATGAGCACAACGGAGGACCGTGACTATGAGGCGTGCGTGCTCTTGGAGATGACGTTGACACGACTGCTTCCTAAAACAGCCGAAGAATTGTATCATTCCTCGGATGATACGACACCCCTTTCCTCTTTTTCCTTTTATGTACAAACCACCTTCTGCTAATTCCTAAATCCTACAATCTGTACAAAGCGGTGCAGTCGATACCCGCGCACGAGTCAATTACCCCCCGTCTTCCGGGTCGCTTAGAGCCGGATGCGACTCTACGAAGAAGTCATTGGAACTGTCGACGTCGATCATCTTTCCCCTGAGCGAAGCGGTCAATCACAGATGGATGTCAGCTCGTTACGACAGCTGACATGAAACATTGCAGTCCTCCTTATTCGCCTGCCTCACAAACATGCTGCCTTCGAAAACTAGGTTCAGATCCGGCTTTGGCTGATGGATGGATGTGTGACCCTGAACCACTCGAGACGCAATTTCTCATGGCATGCTTCGTAGCTTCAGAAAGTCGCTCCTTCCGTTTTCAGAATGGGACAGCAACGCTTTGAACTCTTGACCTGTGAGCTGGCCCAACAAAGCGAGGCCCCAGCAAGAATGCAAATTCCTGGGGCAAGATCCTCCCATCTCAACTGTTTTTCCTCCTCTTAGAGACACTCTCCACGAGCAGAACGGTCGATATCTCGAAACTCGTTTGTTAGACAAATAAAGACGCAACATCCTTCGAGACAAATACCAGTGACTTCACGTTCCTGAGACAAGTCTGCAAGCCCTCCTCGTAATCACAGGGGCAAGGATCTCCTCGGGCAATAATAGGCCGCGACGGAAAGTCTGAACTTCACAGGAATGAGTGAAGGGGCATAAATGATAGCCCACCTCTCCAGAATGTATTTCCCCTCCTTGTACTTTTGACTCTTCTCGTATGCCGCTTCCTGCAGGTCAAAGGCGGCTGCTCAGACCTTCTAAACGAGAAGGGCGACCGCCTACCGATGGAGTCAAAAGCTGTCCGAATCCTCGTCGAGTTTGCCGCTCAGAATGTATCGAATCGAAAACGGTCAGAAATACGCCCGACAGCATCGGTAAACGGTTTTGCGACTTTGGCGTTTCACTTAGCATCTCAAGAAAGGTCCGAGCAATCGAGGCTGCGTAAAATCATGCCGACGCTTCTCGGGTTGTAACGAAGCATCATGATTTGGTATGTCTGACGCTCTGAGAACGCCTTCCTTAAATGACACCTTTCAATGCTCACCATTGGATACTGACAGGATGGACTGTTTGGACGGCTGGCAAGCGAACGACCTACCACACCTGTATTTCACTTATACAAATGACTAAAGAGCATAAGGGGCCCACTCTTTCTCGAGGACTGATGCACGGTTCAACAGGCTGCACACAACTTTCAAGAGGAGAGATTTCAGAGTCGACGTACGTATTTCCAGCCAACGACTTGTTGGCAGCAGTTGCAGTAGATGTCGGCGACCGTGTGGCGCCCGGTCGTCATCTGGCGGTCCTCCAACGGCCCCACGCTCACATTCACACTGCAAAAGCGCGCGCGCAGTCACTCTCAGTGATGATTGCTCGTTTGAGCTCTCGGACGGCCTTTTTGACCATTTCGACGCTTGTCAACTGTTGAAGCGGAAAAGGCTTAACCGACAAATCCAGCGCTGATCAGAAAGACTCGGACGCTATGTTTGACGCTTCGAAGTCCACGATGTGAATTGCTCGAATGCTCGAATTTGAGCTTTGTAAGCTGATTCGGGCTTTGGGGTTTGTGGCTGTGCCGGAGGGCGGCAAGTGTCACCATCGGTGCCAGAACGACCATTACTCCTTGGCACTACGAAGTTTGAATCAAGCGAACAAGGGTCGACTCTTGTGCCCAAGCGAATCTCTTTGCAGGGCCCTCGATTATAACCATCAGGATTCAAGCAGACTGTAACGAACAACAGTCCTTCCAGAACGGATTGCGGAGTCTCTCCAACGGACCCCCTGTGCGGCAAGTTTGGTGTTCATCAACCGCAGGAATTGAGAAGCTGGCCGATGGAGGTTGAAACGAGGAAGGAAGCGAGTCGCTCACACGCTGTTGAAGAGGTAGGCCTTCCCGTTTCGGCAATGGAACGACTGCAGACAGAAGGAAAGTACGGCTTTGAGTACAAGGCGCAACAAGTGACGACCAAACGAACATAGTTTCTCGCGCGTGGAAGTGATCTGAGGAGTGGCCTAAGATGCTTGAAAACGTGTCTCGGTTGACTTCGTTTATTTGGCAGTAAAATGTGCAAGGACTGCAAACAATTTCAGAACTTGCACTTACTTCATTGAAGTATATGAAAAAGCTCAGACCCTCTCAAGTTCATTCCGGGCGTCAAAGGCACGAAAACCTCCAATGAAAGTGAAGTCTCAGGGCTTTTATCCTTGCCCGGTTGCCTCAAAACTTATCGCAGTTGTAAGGTTTCGACGAGGCAAATGGGCTATCGAAAGCTGGTGATGATAGAGGTGAAAGGTCCATTTGACCAACTAAAAGCAGATCGCATCAACTCCTTTTAATGGTCCGTCGGAACCACGGGGGAGAAAGATGGAAATGTAACAGATTATCCCACTCCTGATCACTACATTCAAATCACATCCGTCGTGATCAGCATTAAAGGCCATGTGAACCGTTTTTCTCGATGTGCACGGATTTACAACGCCTTGATCGGAGGCATTTACACGGACCGGGGATTTCGAGCGGCATATCAAGCCCGATTCTGTCCTTGTTAGCTGCGGGAAAAGCCTGCGAGACAGCTGTCAAAAGGTTATGCTAGCTTCAGCTCCAACGGACAGACTAAACTGGCAGTCGGATGATCGAATCCTCGTTACTCAAGTGCGTTTCCGAAGTGCTTGCCACAAGCTGGAGCAACCGTGCTCGGCAGGATGAACACCGCATGTTTGTGGCCGTTCATTTGGAGCTCTGCCTTTCGTCTTTTATCAAGAGTTTGCATCTCCAGGATCTCCAAGCCGGATCAGATAGGAGCAGCGCCAAATTCGCTTCAAAGATCATGCTTGGGTCAGAGATCGACAAATCTCAAACGAAAAGGAAGAGGGGAAGACCGAAGAGATAGGCTCTGCTTCAAGAGTGAGAGGAAAGATGTAGAGCGTTGGGATTAAAACGTCAAGCAACCCCATTTATCCGATGATAAGGCACTTCTAATGAACAAAACTCCACAAAACTGCCCATTCCAGAGAGACACAGTTGTAAGACGAGGATCATTGGAGACGATCTATCCAGTCCCAGATCGATTCGAAAGCCTCGTCCAGCGTCATTCGAAACGCTTTTTGCCTTCTTATGGCTGTCGAGACTTTTGTCATTGCCTGGTTGAATCTTTCATCAAAGAAGGGACATCTGCTTACAATTGCGGCGCTGCTTTGCAAGGTATCAGCAAATCCAGAATGTCAAGACCACTATCAACCCAAAGTTCGAGCTTGAAGGGGCACTCAATTCTCTGAGCAGTAGCGCGGCAAGCTTTCGATCGTTGACCACCGAGGCAGTGTTTCAACAAGACGTACCAGTCGAATGATTAAGGCCCAGATAGAATTGTCATATGCAGGGCCCCCTGTAGACAGGAAGGGTTGGGTTCAACCCTCCCCCCGACTTGCTTCCAACCAACTTTCAGCCACCATAGCCATTGCTTTATTTTTGTCAGGTCTTTCAATTGTCTTCAATCCAAGTTCAAGTATACGTCCAAGTGTGACACGATGCGGGATTGGTGGAGCAGGGTCTCTCACCCGCGACACTAGCTCCTCGCTCTTGGCCAGATGACTCCGGCAGTTACGGCAGCTGTAGATCCGGCCGTCCAACTGGATGATGAACAGCTTGCCCATGCTTCCTCCTCCGCCCAATTTTCTGCGGCCCCCTTGATAGCTTTCAGTGGTCGATCTTACTTGTTGGTAGAAGGATGGCTGCTTATAGTTCAGCTGCTGTCTGGAAAGGAGAAAGAGCTGTGTCATCAGGAACAGGGATACATGTCAGTACGTCATCTTTTTCTTCTTCCTACAGCTACGTGCTCCCTGAAGGTACTTTCAGTGTTCTCTTCCAGGGCGAATGCAACGTTGGGTAGAGGTTCCTCATGAGCAACTTTCTGGAAAGGGACATTAAACATAAAAAGGTGGCTGTGATACTGGAGAAGAACCGGGTCCTTGGAGAATTGTCAGACAGCTTTAGCAGACATAGGATTCTCCCGAGTCACCTTGAAACTTTATGCCTCTGCTCTTGTTCAATGGATGTTTGGCCTACTACCCCTACATGAGCAACTCGTTAGGACAGGGAAGTATGTGCTTGGCTCAAAATTACAGAACGAAGAATCACTTCACTGGTACTTCAACAATGACAAAGTTGATGGAACCACTCGGCAAAAAGTGAAAAGAACCTGCCATATGTTTCATATGCCTTGTGGGACCAGGGGCAGTGGAAGGTTGTGTCAGGCTCGATGTGGGTGCCAGAACACGAAGAAGAGAAACCCTTGCACAGACGACTTTCATCATAGATTGATAAGGAGAAGTCCCTAAGTCTTCCTTCCTACATTGTTCCACATTTCTGGAAGTAGCATTCTTTGAAGAAGATGTGTTGCAGTGCCAATACTGCAAGGCTTTGAAACCACTTCAACTGCTTCAGTTGAAAGCCTGCACAACGCCCTGTTTGCTTCCGGTTGGCAGGGACACAAAGTGGAAACCAAACATCAGAACTATTTCTGGGTGACAAGCCAAGATTAGAACTCAACGGCCTCCGGTTGGTTATCCTCAGCTTGCTGATTGCACCTTGGGAAATAGGAAGGTGATCCTATGTCGTTGAATAAAAGTGCAACTGGATGTGCAATGCTGGAATACACTCTTCTCGTAGCAAGATATCAGAAAGCAATGGCTGAGCAGATAAGGCGATGGTGGACACCCAAAACACCACATGCTATCAGGACTGGAAGAGGTTATCACATCTTGGCAGCCAATGCTGCATTGCCCCCTTCAGAGTCCCTTTTTGCAGTAAATGCAGCTGGCCTCCAGCATTGAGGGCAACAGACTTCACAATGCTGCCATTTGCAACTTGAGCAGTTGCCTCAGAGGACCATGATGTCAGGCCCAAGACTCGCAAAGCCCCTTAGGAACCAAGCCTGCAGAGCCAGCTTTCTGGACAAGACCGGTTGCAGCTCACCTCTGAAAGTCCTAAAGGGTGTAACCAGACGCTTTTAGCGGTTGGTCACGCAGAGAAATGTCATGCTTGTCCTCTCCAGAGTCCCAGCCCAGCCGTTGCATGGCTCCGGGCTTACATGCACATACCCGGTTTGGTCGCCACAACGGGGCAAGTTTGGGACACAAGCCACAGGGCACTCAGGCTGGCAGGGATGGCGTAATGCAGAGCAGTGGCAGCACGATGGGGCAAAGAAGTGGAGGATACAGAGAAGGCAGGGGCAGCCTGTGAAAGAAGATGTCTTTAGCTTTGGAACTCCAGGTTTCGAAGTAGGGGGAGGACTCCATTCAGATGACGATACCTACTACAGTTGACATGGAGTAATGTTCAAAGAACTGGAGAGAAGGAGCGGCCAGCAAGCGAGTTCTGCACACCATTTGCGGCTCGCTCTCAGCTCTGCCAAGATTCATGCTGACGTCAAGCTCAAGAATGTGATTCCGGGTCAGTTCACACTACCTACATGCAATTCCACCGTCTGAAGCCTGGCAGCGTCCCTCTGGCAGCCGGGTGTAAAACGGCGCTGACGATTTTGGGAAGACGGTTGCAGACTTCCGGTCATACCATATCTCCGTTCTGGATCACAATCGGGCAGCACGTCGGGCAGCAACAAGCTGCAATTTTACGTAGTGAAAGGGCTTCCTAATAGGCTCAGGGAGTGGTGGCGCTTCGCTGAGGAGCTGCAGCATCGTCAGCTTGAGGATCCACAGAGTTGAACATATCAATCAGAGGGAAGCCCCCTGTCTGGTACCTCTACTGCAAAGATGAGCGGCCACGATTCCAAGTACTTTACCACCACGAAAAAGGGAGAGATCCACGAGCTAAAAGAGGAGTTGAATTCACAGTTCAAGGTGAGCCAATTGTTTTGTAGCAGCACAACTGCTGATTTAAAGCTACTTGTGTTGCACAAGCGTGTACGTTCTGCGATGACCTAACCCTATTTTCTGCTTTGGGCGCTTGTGAGACTGTACTGTCTTCACTGACTTGCCACATGTATACAATGAGCGCCTTCATCTTTCCGTTAGCCCTGCGCTGATTGCATTGCCCCTGCAATCTTACAAAATTTTCAGCATAATGTATTGATGCCGACTCAATGCTCTACAAATTGCAAATCACTTCCAAGAGCTTTCAGAATTCATATTGATTCAGCTTGCAGTCCCTAGCATTAGCAAGCGGAAGTTGACCTCGGAAGTTGCCATTTGCGTATGCAAGCAATTGAGCTGGCCCTGGCAATTTGCTGCCCTTTTTGCTAACACCTCTAAGCTCAGCCTAGTTTCAACCCATCTGGACATCCCAACCTCCTGCAGGACAAGAAGAAGGATGCGGTGAAGAAGGTCATTGCAGCCATGACTGTGGGAAAGGACGTCTCCATGCTGTTCACGGACGTCGTGAACTGTATGCAAACAGAGAATTTGGAGCTCAAGAAGCTGGTGTACCTGTACCTGATCAACTATGCAAAGAGCCAGCCAGATTTGGCAATCCTGGCGGTGAACACGTTTGTCAAGGTATATCACAGAACTGAATTGTGAGCGGACTGAAAAGCTGCACCATAAGATCATATGGCCAGCTTCTTAGACGGTCCGATTCTAGGGTTCGCATTGGATCTTCAAGCAGCATGGCGCCTTAACAGTCAGCTGCGGGAATAAGGCGTGGAGGATCAGGCAGTCCATGGCTCTAGGTTCTAATCTGCGGCAATTCGGTTCCGGTCTGCAGCAATTCGGTTCCGGTGGAGTGTACCCATCAGTTGCAAACTGCAGATGATCCTTTTGACAACTGAGCTTAGAGAGGGCAGCAAGGCTTCAGAGGCTGGGAATTGGTCGTTGAGGTGCAAGTACTTTCGAAGCAGCTGTTGAAGATCAATAACAGAAGTCCGCTTCTGCACGCAGGATTCGCAAGACCCCAACCCCTTGATCCGTGCGTTGGCCGTGCGCACAATGGGCTGCATCCGCGTTGACAAGATCACCGAGTACTTGTGCGATCCCCTGCAGAAGTGTCTGAAGGTGAGACAGTGTTGAAGGGCAATGTAGCAAACGGAATCAGCGGTTCTCTGGGAGAGCAGGTATTAGTGCAGCAGCTGAAGGATTGCACAAGCAAGCTGGCTGAGGATGATGGGGCTGAAGGCCGCAGAGGGGCTGAGGCAGAAAGATTATGACATGTGGTGCTGAGAGGAATTCGACTGGGCGCTCCTCAGGCGCTTTGGCAATCATTCCAGATTCATTGTGGAGGACCAAATGCAGTGCTATGCTTTCAGGTCTGATCATAGATCCGACTCTTCAGCTGGGGGCTCTGATCATAGCTAATAGGAACTTGAACCAGCAATCAGCAACATTAGCTCCTCGTGAGAGTCAACCTTCAAACATGGTTCTGGGGGCATCTAGCTGCTTGTTGCGAAAGGGCATACCAAAAACAGTGGGTCTAAGCTGTGCCACCAGCCCCTTGAAAATTAAAGCGGTTTGGTTTTTAAGAGCCTGTAACCACCACATCAATCAGCCTTCCTTCTGGAGCAGATATCGCAGCATACAGCACAACAATTGAAAGATGCACAGGAGGGCCTCCGCCTGAATGTATTCACTCTGTTTCTGTCAACAAGCAAATTCTTGCGTAGATCTTGCACTCTCGAGAAATGTACCTTAGTATACATGATTGCAGACCTGAGAACCCCGCTTCCCCCGCAGGATGACGACCCGTATGTGCGCAAGACGGCTGCCATCTGCGTGGCCAAGCTGTTTGACATCAACCCCGAGCTGGTTGAGGACCGCGGGTTCCTTGAGACGCTCAAGGACCTTATCTCCGACAGCAACCCGATGGTGGTTGCGAACGCAGTGGCGGCGCTGTCGGAGATCCAGGAGAGCACGACCAAGCTAATCTTCGATCTCAACTCCAACGTGCTCTTCAAGCTGCTGGCGGCGCTGAACGAGTGCACAGAGTGAGTCGGATCGCCAGTTGTGCTTTTGAATTCATGTTTCTATCTGCAAAGATGGATCTCTGATCGAGGGAACGGCTACTGTGAACTGAACCTTTTGCTGGATGCAAGGCACGCCGAAATGGGATTTTGCGAGTTGCCAGTGTGCTTGACCTCAACTTTTCACGACTTCGTAGCGATCCAACTTGAGCGGGCAGTCAGCACATCCAGCTCATCTTTATCCATGCCTGTTGTGCATCAGGTTCTCAGCTAACGTCTTGGTTCAATGCAGGCTTTTTGCAACTTTTCTGGCTGAGCATCTGAGGAGTGACTCACTTGGTGTGCTTGGCTGGTTGCCGGAGACGTTTCAATGTGTGAGGAAGCTCGGCGAATTCAGCTTCCTCCAAGCAAAAAACGACCAGTATTTGTAGATTCCTCACGCTTCTCAAGAGGGGCAAGAAGACTCGATACAGTAAAGGAAGAGCAACTGCAATCCAAGTCTATGAAACTCGCTTCCAAGTTGGACACTCTGGACTCGCAGGTGGGGGCGAGTTGTTCTTATTGGACTCGCTCTCCCAAGTCTAAGCCATGGACACTGCCACAGTGCATTCCGAATACTACGCCGCATCGCAATATTGCAAGCCGAAAAGTGCGTTGTGTGGCTCTCATCAGTCCGTGCAGGCAGGCCAGGTTTCCATCGCTCTTCTTGACACGACTTAAGGACACTGAGAGACGGCAATCCCCAATAGCCTGCCCTCAGAAGCAACCCAGTAACGCTCGACGTTCTGACTCTGCAGATGGGGCCAGGTGTTCATCCTTGACTCGCTCTCCCGGTACAAGGCCAAGGACGCCCGCGACGCGGAGAGCATCGTGGAGCGCGTCACGCCGCGCCTGCAGCACGCCAACTGCGCCGTTGTGCTGTCCTCGGTCAAGGTCATCATGCAGCAGCTGGAGCTGATCACGAGCACAGGTATGTTTAGCGGGGAGTTTTAGAAACTTGTCCGTGCAGGGAGCCTGGGGCAAAGCGTACGGCCGGTTCTGCTCAGCGTTTGATCTCGGAAGGTGGGTTGTTGTGTGTGCAGTCCCTCTTACTTACCAGACGCTTTTGACAATGCGGTGACGATTGCTACTCAGCTACATAGACTGGAAGGGTCATCGCGAGTCCGATCGCCTTTGCCCGTTGATTTTCTACCTCCCTTGTTCTGTTGACGAGGTGCCCGTTGAGCGACAGGTTCTCTCGAACTTTTGTAAAGAACTGACGCTCCTGAGTGATTTGTTGAGGCCCTTCTTTGACAGGCGTCAAGGGCTTCACCCCCACTTCTCAAGAACTCTGCTCATGGTGCGTAGCCTGACGAACTCCTCCCTCTTACGCTCAGCGCCTGAAAGACCTCCGAATACTACCCACTGATCAGCCGCTTTTGAGCAGGCGATTGACACTCGTTTCTTGTCTCAACCCGCTTCTCAATCCACTCTGCAGACGTGGTGCGCAACCTGATGAAGAAGATGGCCCCCCCGCTGGTGACGCTCCTCTCCGCGGAGCCGGAGATCCAGTACGTGGCGCTGCGCAACATCAACCTGATCGTGCAGAAGCGGCCCACGATCTTGGCGCACGAGATCAAGGTCTTCTTCTGCAAGTACAACGACCCCATCTACGTCAAGCTCGAGAAGCTGGAAATCATGATCAAGCTCGCCTCCGACCGCAACATCGACCAGGTGCGTAGCGGAGCCTGTGAAGTCAATGTCTCGGACGTTGTTTGCTTTGTTCGCTGAGGTAGCGTTGCAGGTCTCATTTGTGCTTTGCTTGGTGCGTTCGGAGGCTTTTAGTGATCCTATCGAAGCTGGAGGCCACGAGCTTTTAGTGGAAAGCTATATCGAACAAGTGCACTGGTTCGGATCCAGCATTCGAGTTCTGCACAAGTGAGGGTTTGTGGATGATCTCGATGGGCTCCACTCTCCTACCGGACGCTTTTTCTGCTTCGTTTTTGAAAGGCTAAGAGCTTAAGGCTTGCTTCTCCTTCATTTCCTGAACAGTTCGCACGTTCTCAAATCCTAAAAACTCCTTCCCATTCTTATCCAGGTGCTTCTCGAGTTCAAGGAGTACGCGACCGAGGTCGACGTGGACTTCGTGCGCAAGGCGGTGCGTGCCATTGGGCGGTGCGCCATCAAGCTGGAGCGCGCGGCGGAGCGGTGCATCAACGTGCTGTTGGACCTGATCAAGATTAAGGTCAACTACGTCGTGCAGGAGGCGATCATCGTCATCAAGGACATCTTCCGCCGCTACCCCAACACGTGAGTGTAATTAACTCAGTCTTACCAGATACGAACTAGATTTGAAGAGCAGCAAAAGGGAAGGATCGGTCCTACTTGAATAGAAGAGCTTTTGTCACGTGGTCCGCTCGTATGCTCTGCGTGTCCACAGGGGTTTCGAGAGGTTACTACGGGAACGCTTGGGCTTGGACAAAGTTTTCACTCATCGGTTGCTTGCACAAACCTCCTCTTTGTGCGTCGTTCAGTGGTTGACTTTTACTTTCCCTTGAAGCTACGAATCGCTTTGTGCACCTCTATGCGTGTTGCTCGGCACCTGCAACAAGGACCAAGCAAAGTACATTCATAATCTGGTTCGTTGGCGACTCGTTGGCGAGTGTTTGGACGCAGTAGTGAACTTCTCCTGTTGTCGACCCCCGGTTACAAATTGATTGTATAAGCAGGCCCTACCAAACGAAAAGACATTTCAAGATCCCAGGTATGAGTCCATCATCGCGACCCTGTGCGAGTCGCTCGACACGCTCGACGAGCCCGAGGCGAAGGCGAGCATGATCTGGATCATCGGCGAGTACGCGGACCGCATCGACAACGCGGACGAGCTGCTCGAGTCGTTCCTGGAGACGTTCCCCGAGGAGCCCGCACAGGTGCAGCTGCAGCTGCTGACCGCTGCCGTCAAGCTCTTCCTCAAGAAGCCGACCGAGGGGCCGCAGCAAATGATCCAGGTGAGGGCGGCGCCCGTATCTGACATGCAATTCTTAAAAGAACCAACATTGTGATATACATGATTTGCGTCCGTCGGAACACTTGAGATTGAGACGGATGGAGGATTGAGGGGCCGCAGCAAATGATCCAGGTGAGGGCGGGTTTCGCATCCGAAATGCAATTAAAATAAATTAACATAGTGTTATACATGATTTGTGTTGGTCGGTAGTGTGGAGGGCTGGTTGAACCATAGCCGGGCGAAGTTAGGACGAACGTAGCCCACCGAGGGGCCGCAGCAGATGATCCTTGTGAGGGGTGGACCCGAATTCTGAGTATGCTTCTCTGAAGAGTCAAGAAGGTTTTCAATGAGGAGTTTACTCTGCCTGCGTGCATGTACTTTAGCATCTCGACCGGCTTTGTAGCAGCGCAAAGATGAGCAACGCAGAAACGACTGATTAAGACTGAGATTCACTACGCCCAAACACGTGAAGTGTTTTCTCAAGCCGCCCCGATCCGGACGAAAGCCTAAGGCCCGGCCCGCTATGCATATTTCTCAAGTCGACTTTCTTCCTGCACAGGTGGTTCTGAACAACGCGACCCAGGAGACCGATAACCCCGATCTGCGTGATCGCGCATACGTCTACTGGCGGCTCCTCTCCACCGACCCCGAGGCCGCGAAAGATGTCGTCCTGGCGGAGAAGCCCGTCATTAGTGACGACTCCAACCAGCTGGATCCGTCGCTGCTGGACGAGCTGCTGGGGAACATCTCGACGCTCTCGTCCGTCTACCACAAGCCGCCAGAGGTAGGTTACACGGTTACTCAGAGATCCGCACGTCGTTATGTCTAGAAGAGATTGGTTCGCGTTCTGGTCAATTGCTGCAAGCTGTCATTTGATTTGGGGACTGACGAAGGAAGTCTCGCTCGATGGGTCAAGGGTTTTGGGACTTGTTAGGATCACGGTGTGTAAGTCTCTGCCTTCTGCGATTAAGCAATATCCCCACGCTCTCGTCCCTCTACGGCAACTCGCCAGAGGTATGTCTTTGGAGTATAAAGATGTGCGGGTCTTCATGTTGTGGAAGGGTTGAAAATTCGCCCTTCGATCTTTTGCCCAACTGCTCCACGCCCTTGTCGATCTTGACAAGCTTGTCAAGGAATTATGGGTGTTTTAAGACTTGGGGGGTGCCGAGAGTCGATGGGGTTGAGGTTTGGAGTACTCCACCCTGGCAACCTTAGGATGTACGAGGGTCCGGTTAGTTGCGTATTCGGAGGTCCAGTGTTTGCCTCCCGTTCCTTGAGATTTAGCCAATACATACTTCCTTTTGTATTTAGAGCCAGTTTGGAGCTTGACCCAATCCTTGGGCGATGGAAACTGAAGGACGCACGGAGCCTCTGAAAAGACACCAATTTCGCCCGGTAGTTGAGAAGTTCGTTCCTTCTTTTGACAGGTGTTTGTGAGCCGCACCAAGGTGGTCCCGCTTCGTGACGAGGAGGAACTAGAGGTGGAGAGTGGCCCAGAGGAGTCGTCGGGGCCCGCACCCCCAGTTCAGGGTAAGTTCCAAGCGTTCAGACTCGCTACAGATCTTCCTTCCGTCCCGTTGCATGATATTAAGAGGGTGTACAGTTTTTCAACTCCTTCTTTCAGACTTTGTTCTTCTGTCCCGTTATTCGCCAGGCTCGCGGAAAAAGGAAGGAAAAAGCAAACGATTATTACTCAAAGCTGTTCAGATTGCTGCAGAAATGCACTTAGATAGAATCGGAACTTCCCTAATTTTCTTCCTTTCCAACACCAGGCCTGCCCACCCCTACCGGCCTCCCCAAGCCCGCCCCGGTGAACGACCTTCTCGGCGACCTCATGGGCCTGGACGTCAACTCCGACGGAGGCCCCGCCCCGGCGTCTCCCGCCGCCCGCACTGCTCCTCCCAAGCCCATCCTCCTGCAAGCGTCCGCCGCACAGGGCCTCCAAATCAGCGGCCAGATGGTGCGCAAGAACGGGCAGATCTTCTACGACCTCACGTTCGACAACCAGGGGACAGTCCCGCTGGACGGGTTCATGATCCAGTTCAACAAGAACACGTTCGGCCTGGCGGCGGGCAGCCCACTGCAGGTGAGAGCTTAGTGCCGCTATCAAGGACGGAAACATTCGGCCGACTAGAGCTTTTGTCGAGGCCTAACAGTGCAACATGATGAGGCCCGCAGAGAAGAGGTTCACCTGGCCTTAATGGCTTCTGAATTGCAGAGTAGCTCGATTTACTCAAGCCACCAATCGATGGAAGTTTTACCGACGGCCTACGGAATTCCGTAGAGATGTGAGAGTTTGTCGGCCTCTGGTAGGCTCCCCCATGATCATTCTGGGTTTCAAAGCGAAAGATAAAGCTAACCCTTCTCAGCATTTCAAGGAACCATGCACCTCCTACGAACCACCTTGATTCATCTACACCTCCTTTTCGACCTGACGGTTGCAAGAGTACTCTCTAAGTTCCGATGCCAGAAAGTCGGCTTTGGCGATGAACGAACCCATCAATACCTTCGTCCCGTGTCCTGTTGAGCTGCCCAAATCTTCATGTATATATGACACGATCGGAGATTGAATCTCAAGCCGCCCCCTTTTGTGCAGCTGCCCACGATCGCCCCCGGCTCCTCCGCGGCCACGGAGCTGCCGATGATCCCCCTCCAGAACCTCCCCCCCCCGGGGACCCCCCTGGCGGCGACGCTCCAGGTGGCGGTGAAGAACAATCAGCAGCCGGTGTGGTACTTTGCGGACAAGCTGCCGCTGCAAGCCGTCTTCCTCGAGGACGGCCGCATCGAGCGGGGACAGTTCCTGGAGACCTGGAAGTCGCTGCCCGACTCCAACGAGGTGAGGGTCCAATCATGGTGTATCCTTTTGTTTACGGTCTGACCAAGGGTTTGCCGATAGAGTGTTGAGGCTGTAGATGGGGGGTTTCTGGAAAGCTTTTGTTGCTGAGCGGGGGCGGTTCCTTGAGACGTGGATGTCGCTGCCCGACTCCAACGAGGTAAGGTCCCTGTTAGGATTATACCTTACATAAGTAGTTCCTTTTAGGGTTCGCGGATTGAGGTTTGAGGCTACTAATGTGGAAGGTTCTGGAAGAACTTTCGCTGCTGAGCGGGCGCGAGTCCCAGAGAAGAGCGAGTCGTTGTCCAACTTCAACCACGTGGGCGAGTACAGTCTCACGGTTTTGGGTTTCGAGGCTGAAGGGTTTGAGGACGTGGCGGTGTCGCCTCTCGTCAGGTATTGGGGCCGCTCTGAGGGACTGTTTGCTTTCCTAAGGTCTCGAAATGAGCAGCGAACGCTGTTCGTTCTTAGTACAATGGATCCAAGCTTCTCTCCAAAAAGATGCGTTTCGAAAAGTTAGGAACTTAGCGCCATCGTTTCGTTCCTGAGTGCTTACGACCGGCTCCTGTTTCCTTGTGTCAGGTGCTCAAGGAGTTGAAAGACACGGTGATTCCCAACGTGGACATCTTGCTAGAGAAGCTGAACGCATCCAACGCCTTCTTCATTGCGCGGCGGCTGCTCAAGGAGACCAACCAAGACGTGCTCTACCTCTCCGTCAAGCTGCCGCCCAACCTCCCGCTTCTGGTAGAGCTCACTTTTGCGGTTGGGGACCCCGGCGTCAAGGTTGCCGTAAAGACGAGCAGTACAGAGTATGCCCCGCTCTTCTTCGACGCGATCGATGAGCTCATCAAGTCGATCTAGGTGGGTGTTGCGCGGGCTTTTGTTGGACCAATAGGGATTCAGACCACGTAGCCAACCAGGACAAGGTATGGGCGTGCCGCAATGAGAGACCAATGTAGCTACAAAGAACTCGCCTTGGAGACACGTTCAAAGTTGGAGACAGCCGCTGGCAGCTTCCATTGATGAAATTCACATGCCTCATGCCCGCAAAGTGTAACTGCTTGACTATGATGCGGGGCGCATCTTAGTACAGGCCACAATCGAGGTTGCTTCAAAAGTTAGACAATATGGGGCCAGCACGGATTTCTCCTCCAGCTGATCTCATTGTGTTCTTTGGATTAGAGGCAATCATTTATACAGGCTTGGGACGGATGTCCTTTATATAGACCTCATATTCTGTATATATAATGTTCCAGTGAATGGGTTGGTCTACTTTTGGTAACAGCTTCGCATGGCCGCCAGCTGTGCGCGTATAAAGTACCGTACGGTACGGTAGCTAGCCTGCCGCCCATGCATGCATGTACGGTATACACTACAGTCATATAACAATGTGCAGCATGTCATATATGCATGATCGACACAAATTGACATTCAATTACCGGGCCCCCGCGAGGAGATCCAACACTTACTTGCTAACATATCAGGTAATGACAAGGCTCGCAATCCTGGCATGCGCAGATCGTGGAGCTATATAGCTTGCCAGCCATTGAATACTCATGCAGTGCCAGCAGCAGATCCCATCCATCATGCATATGCCAATTTCCTCCTAAACGCGGCCGGTTACAAAAGACACACACATGCATTCGCGCGGCAAATTCCTTAACAATTCCTTCCGACGTGCATGTATGTACGCTAAGTTCACTGACCACGATTCATTGATTTCGACCCACAGGATATATGCAGCGATGTAATGAATTGATAAAGACTCAGCAGAAGACTCTCCTCATGCATGCATACATGGGCGAGCCGCCACACGTGCTGTGGGCCCGGCTTTTGACCTGTCAAAGCTTGCAATTCTTAAGTACCTGTCTTGCAAGAATGTTGGGAGTCAACTCAGCATCTTCCGTCATAATCCCAGCCTCCCCATCATAAATTTGCAAGGCCTGCATCTGTGATTCGAGGAGAGAGGCTGGCATATAGTGCGTCCCCGCCTTTTCTCGAGCCTTCAGTCTAGCTGCCAACACTTTCGCGTCTGCTTTCAAATGAACGAACACAACCCTCGGAAGAGCTCGACGGTCTGCTTCTTTTACTTCCCCGAACTCAGGATCCTCGCAATCAGAACTCCTATCTTCTTTAAAACCCTGGCCGTTCTCCAGGCTGGATCCCCGACAAGCGGCCTTTGCGATCCCGTCTACGTAAGCAGAGTCATCATCAAGAGAAGCCCCCACTGCCTGCGCTTGCTCGTGCCCAAAATCTGACGCTGCCGCCCTCAGTATAGTTCTGTACTCAGGCTTCAGAGCCGAACATGCCAGTACGACGTTTTTACCCTCGACCAACCGCTCACGTAAAAGTTGCCTCAGGGTTTCGAGCCATGGGGCACGGTCCTCGTCGATCAAAGGGATCCCCCTTCGCATCTTGTCTGCAGATAAAGAATCAGAAGTATCGTGAGTTCTCAAAAGGTTTCTTTCCTCAAAACAAGGAAGCTCGCGGAGTTTGTGACAGCCAGAGACAAGTGCTTGCACAGAGTGGTGACAAGGGTCCTATCCTCCGTTCTGTCCACCGGGCAAGGAAGCACGTTCTCAAAGACATGTGCAGAAGAGAGAAGTACGGAAGTTAGACAGCCCTGACTGAAGCTGCACAAACCTTCGAAGTCAAAAACCAATGAATCAGGCTCGTTGAACCAAATCTGGAAAGCAACGTCAAACAGGTCAGCTGGCAAAGGCTTTGAGCTAACGAAAGAGAATGTATCCTCTTGTCAAAACGTGATTTGAACAAGACGGAAGACACAATCGAAGAGTGTTTGCGGTCCTTATTACCGTGCTCTTTTCAGTAAGAGTATTCAGCATGCATCATCTGCTGCTTGACAAAAGCTCAGTTCTCTGCTTTCAAAGAAAAGCAGGCACAAAGAGGACAAGCAGGATCTGTGAGAAGGTTCACCAGCCTCCCCTTCCGCAAAGCGGCAGCCTACCTTTGTTTTGTAGGGAGTGGAAGTCGTCAGCATCCAGAAACTCGCATTTCAACATCTCCGCTAGAACTTTCCCAACGGTCCTGTAATGCAGGCGCGCTTCGCCTTTGGAAAACGACTTGACAATACAACTTGACAATACAAGGGCACCACACGTCGCTTTTGGCGAGTCACTGGGGGCAACTTCAAAATGTTTGTGAGCAAGTGTCAAGGAAGTCAATGGGAAGTGGCAGAAAACAACTTCCAAGGCCGGTGCCAACCAGAGCTATGAAACACGCACCTCAGTCATTGTTGCGAAGGCAATCTGTTGGTCACACAGTCAAATGCACCACTGTGGAGCTCACACTTTTGAAGAATTGATGACACCGAGCTGAGGATGGTTTTGGGATACTGAAACATACTCCTGATATGTACCTTCCACGATAGACAGCAACACTCAACGCCAGCAGTCAACAATGGAGTGAAGAGTTAGAGACTCACGTTTTGCCTGCCCCTGAAACGCCCATGCATATGACCGCTGTTGGAACTGCGGGGCCCACAGCGAACCCATCAGATGATATATCAAGACACGAAAGCTACTGTGTTTGATCAGCTTTCCACAACACATAAGACAGAATTGAACTTCACTTGCTGATTTTGAACAATACTGATCGAGCTGGGAGAATCTTTCCTCGACAAGGCCTTCTTCAAGAAGCACCCTGCGCGGCATATGCAGATTGATGCGAGCTTGAAATTGAGCTTTCATGATGACCAGCCTACTTGGGTTCCTGTGAGCTGCACACAATAATATCAAAGTAGTGAGAGGTGGTGTGCAATTCAAGCTTGATTTGAGCACTGCAAGAGAACGTTTGAGAATGCAACTTCGTGCAAGAGGAAGGGAGAATACCATACCAACTGCAACTCGTCCAGTGGTTGACGGAGGGCTGGAACCAGAGTCTTCATTCTCCATGGTCGAAGAGATCCAAGCAGAGCAATGCTCGAAACGTCTGGCTGTTCCAATTTGAGACCTTAGAAGCTGTTACAGAAGCCTCAAAGTGACGCAAGAGCGGAGGACTTGACGCCAGTGGAACACTTCAGCTCCTTTGTTGAAGTCAGGCGCCCCGAGACTCGGATCCTCCTGATAGAGGCGCTGCATAGGGGGATCAGCAGCTCACAACTGTGCGAGCATGTGCCAACAAACAATCTGCATGTCCCCCCTCAAAAGTGGCGCTCTTCTCCCCTTTGCTGCCAGCGTTTTCTCTTCGCATTCCCTGCGCATGCCAGTGTCCGTTCTTTGACAAGACGAGAAGTGCAGCTTTCTCAACTGGTGCATTTTGGAGGTTCAACCTCAGTTTTCGGTGTCGAACATTATCAGCTCAGAGCAGGATTACATATAATCTCCGTAATATATTCGACGGAAGTTATCGAAGCACGCTGAAATCCCATCCGCTGTAGCCTGCCCCTTCCTCTTTCGTCGCGCACCTTCTCTGAACAGCACCTTGTGCGGGCGCTTCTGGCTAGGTGAGAAGCATGGAGGGCCCCTACGAAGGCAGCGTTTGAAAGCGTTCGAGGGCAGATACTATTGAATCGTTTTGCAAGAGCTAGATTTTGCTCATCAAACGAAGGCGTGCCTGGGAAGGCCGGCGGATTGAGCTATCTGCAGTCTGGAAGCAAGTGGCATGGGGCCGACAGATGCCCTCGCTGACATTTTGGCTTTCCTCCTTCCTTTCTGATATCATCAAAATCTGTGGTGCCTTCACGTCTCAGGTTTCTGGAAATACTGTCTGACTGTTTTAGAGTTTGGCTGAGTTTTCGTGGCCCTAAGTCCAGCTTGTCGCTTTTGCGCAGGGCCTCTCGTCAAGATGCCGCCCGTCAAGAAGACCGTAAGTCACTTTTCCTTCCGCTAACTCTTTTTGGAGGACAGCCTTGCTGCCAAGATTACCCCTTGCACTGATTCCACTACAATCGATCAGTTACTACTTTTCGGCTCTGGATTTGTTGCCTGGTTGGGAGAGTCGGAAATCAGCACCTTAGGCATGCTGGGGCTGAGTTGGCTGCATTTCAACTCATACAGAGTTGCCGGAGGTCCTGATTTGCGGTCCGTGATTATTCTTTCTGCAGAAGAAGGCCCAGGAGAGCATCAACAACAGGCTCGCCCTGGTAATGAAGAGTGGCAAGTACACCCTTGGGTACAAGACCGTGCTCAAGTCGCTGCGGGGCGGTAAAGGTGAGGACCTGGGGCCTGCAGCATGCATTTGCAACTAGATGGGATAGCGCGTCGGTCGGCATGGTTTCAAAACCGTTACCGCTTGACCATGAGGAGCCTGCCCTAGGATGCTGCTGCGGGGGCCGCATGGCAGCTGGCGTCGTATGCACCCTTGAAGCAGGGACTTTGAGAACCAGACTGGGGGAGAAAGTTGTCGCAAGCACTGGTAGTGAACGTAGTAAATCAGGGCTGCCGGCCAGATCGCAGAAAGAGACTGTTGGCAGCGACGCCGGGACCCTCCTGGCATCTTTTGTAATCGACCTTGACTCTGAGCTCACTAGGATTCGAGGCAGGGGCTAGTGCAACGAATCGATGGCAAAGCTAGGGGGCTTAGGTCGCATCATCGAGCCTGCAGTGGGCGAGGGGCTGAATGATGTCAGCACTTCCAAGTAGGGTGGCAGAACTTTGTCCTGAAGCACGCCCCCCGCTGCTGCGGAGGGGTCGGCTAAAAGTCGCTACTGCGAAGTTGACCACACATGCAGAGTACAGCAGCGAAAGTCCGAGTAGGCATTAGGGCTTCTCAATAGCGGGTCCGTTTGAGGCGTACGTTGCTCTCTAGATGCAGACAATTACGGCTTGCTCTAGAATCAGAGTTAGCAACGGAAAGCAGTTCTAGAAGTTGGGTGCTCGCTGCCTTCGTGTCGCATTCGCTGGAAAGCCACTGGAGAAACAATCAGCTTTTAGGCAGTAGGCCGGTTTAAACCAGTTGACTGGATGTCAGTGCGCGAACGTAGCTCAGTACACGTTAAAGCCAGCAACACAGTTGGCATCAGACGGGCACACGTTATTTATCAGCTTACAAGATAGAGTGACATCAAGTAGGATTTTCATTCCCGCTTCCAGAAAATCTGCCCAGATGCTTTGAAAAAATCAAAAGCAGATTCCTTCAAGGTAGCGACACGGAGCCCCCCAATGATCGGTCTGAGCACCGCGCGTTTTAACTCGGAAAAGCGGAAGATTTTCTGTGAAAGGTTAAAACTCACACGGCTCTCTTTGGTGTTGGCATGACTGCAAGCACAAGTCTGGGAACTAGAATGATTGCCGTCTTTCTTTTACGCAGCCAAGCTGGTGATCATCTCCAACAACACTCCCCCCCTCCGAAAGTCCGAGATCGAGTACTATGCCATGCTTTCAAAGACCGGCGTGCACCACTACAGCGGAAGTGAGCAGACACACGCTAGCCCTTTTTCTCAAGAACTTTTTGTCCATGGAATTCCGAAGGACCTTTCGGCAAATGGCTGTTGACTGCTAGGATTCTGGATCTGCATTGTTGTGGGATTGGAAAGTTCAGGCTTCCGCTATTCCTGTGCTGTAACCGGTCTGCCCAAGATCAAGCGAACAAGAGAGTCTGCCTGAAGCAATGGGGATCATCAAGCAAAGGCTGGGGGCTAGACGTTGAAACATTCCCCAACCAGACTGACATCTAAACCAAGTCGTTGGTTCAGCCTGTAGAAACAGATGATTGTACTCTCGAAAGAGCATGGCGTCTGTTAGGGGGCGTCGTCTCTGGATGTGCCATCTTGTTTTGAGTTCGAGCATCTGGGGGGTCTGTGTTTGACAGCTGTATTGATTCAGACTGAGTCGAGCTATCAAAATCATCAAGGCAGGCGGCTTGACGTTGACCGCGCTGGGTGAAGCTGGCTGCGATTGCACCTTCGCTAAAAGTTCCTCAAATACTGAATACCACTTCACGTTGGGTCCTAAGAAGCACCCTGCTGAGTAGGGTATTCGCTGACTTGCTTTGGCATCACCTTTCAGTCAATCAGCGAAGTCGAAGTGTCTTCTCTCGCATCGATTCAAACCGTCAAAATAGGCTTTTCACCATCCAAGCCAGGCAATTGCAAGATTCGATTAAGTATCCTTTGCCATGTGCAGACAACGTTGACCTTGGGACGGCGTGCGGAAAGTACTTCCGGGTAGGCACGTTGAGCATCACGGACCCTGGTGAGATACCGCTTCCTGTAGAGTCCCTTGTCAAACTTGGGCTTTGGGGACTGGCAGTGTAGATTCTCTGTGGATGATCTTTAGCGTCAAGTTGTTTGACGAATGTCGGATTTTTTGGTGGCTTGGTTGTGTCAAGTAGTTTCAGTCATAGACGAAAGCCTGATTCGAAGCGGCTACTTGCTGTGGGCAGCACGTAAGGCAGCTGGTGTCCTGTCAATTGCTTGGTGTTGTGCGAGACGCGCAAGGCTTGTGTTGAGCTACTCTGAGAGCCCCAGCAATGAGTAGTCAGGAAGCAATGGGTAGCAGCGTTTGGTCGCAGGCAGAGCCTGAAAAGTCGCTCTCGAAACATTGACATGAGGTTCTTTGGTCCTTCTTTGGTTTGCTGAAAAAGTTTGATACACTCAGTCAGTAGGAAGGACTCTATCGGGACTTGTCAGCTGTTGGAAAATTAGTTTATGCGAACTTGGTATGGTTCGGTGGAGGCCTCAACCCGTGTAGTCAACAGGGCACCAGTTTGGTCAACTGTAAAGAAACCGGTAGGAGTTTGCTGTTTTCTCTTTCCTGACCTCTTGCGCTTGGTCTGCTGCAGGTGATTCTGACATCATCAAGACGATGCCTTCAGAGTAAACCCACCCAAACCAAGACTTTTGTCGACGAGGCTAGGGGACACTTCGGGCTCCATGCAGGAAGCATGTTTGTACAATTACTTTGATACCAACACCCATAAACGCGCTCAGCGTGTTTCCTACACAGTGTCTATCGTCGTCCTCTTGTTTACGTTTTCCAATTGGCCCTTGGTAAGAGTTGATGCATGTCGACCCCTATGGCCGGAATGTATCCTAGTCTGGGCCGAATTTCACCAAATAGGGCAACCCGTTCTGGACGGTTCTTCATGGCTGGATTTGAGCATGACGGAACTTTAGTCGAACTGCCTTTCCGACATCAAATGTTGTACATAGTATTAACATCATACGACATGCCAGCTGTGCCACGTCTGCGCAACTATAGGTGATTTCAAGTTGTCACATGCAACTTGTACGTTGCGCATGAGCAGCTTGCATGGGATCGAAAATCTCAGTAACGAGTCCGACAGCCTGCATCTCTATGAGCCCTCGTGACACATGCGCGGTCTGCAGCCATGTACCCATTCGAACACCGGCAATTGCAAACATGTGTAATTCAGAGCACAAACAGGCCTGATGGTTCATGGTAACTTACGGTTCATCGTCTAGGTCACTTCATCAAACCGGCCTGGTGGAGCCTGCCAAATCATAGCACATTAATAAGGCTTTCCATATGCACACTGTCTAAAATCTAGATATACATGTTCAGAGCATGCGCTCCAAAAGCTTGCATGATCTCTAGCTCCGAGAAAACCTACACGCGAGCAATAGCACCTCACAAACCTTACACGTGATCGGCAGGCAAGTGTTGCGAACTGCGGTGCCAAAGCTACGAGGGTCCCTTTCTCTTGGGCATCTTCAACTTGCTCAAGCCGGGGCTCTGCCAAATCTGCCCGTCTATGTGGGGATCAACGGTCTGAATCGACCCGTAGCTTTTCGTTTTCCCGTGGGTTCGACCCCCGTCGCTCTGACTACCTTTACCATAGTGCCGTTTTTCCGGATCCTCGCCGGCAGGCCCCGACAGCCACGAGTCGTCCCGCACCCCGTCCGTTCGCTTCGGGCCCCACCTGCCAAACACGTCCAACGTATCCTGCAGGCACGAAAGACCGGCAACGCAGTGAGCGTGGGCCTAATAATCGACCCCTCGTGCTTCCGACGAGAAGGTGGTGCTTTGATGAGGAGCTTTTGCTTGCGAAGCGATACTAGTGCCCTGGTGAAACCTTGTGCTTACAACGAGAAAATAGACCGGTTTCATTTGGCGGCTAAGGCTCAAACGCTGGCCTCTATGCCAACTCCCATGGTGCCGGACTGGGGGCGCTTTCCCCAGTCTTGTTGTCCAGAGAGCACCACGCAATTCCGGACAGACTTGGCGAGCTTAGGAATTTGAGATGACATGTTGGATCTAGCTGAAGCGAAACTGTACGCCGACTGATGGGACCGACAAGGTGCAGTAGATTGAACGATAAGACTGAAGAGTAGTAGAGCTTACCCTAACCACCGCATTGAACTGCTCAATGGGCTCCACAACCTGGGCGACCGTCGTGGTTACGTCCTCAACCACCTGCAGCGATGAGCATAACCGAATTAGCAGAGAATGAGACCACTCGAGTCTCAGGTGAGATGGGGTGCAAAGTTTACTGCTCATTGACATCACGATTGATCGTAGAAGGCGGTATCAGCAAAGCCCCGGAAGCTAAACGGTCTATCAGAAGCACGTACCAGTCGAAGCGAATTGCATCTTGTCGAGAGGGATAGGAGGGGCGGTTTGGTGCGCCGCAATACAGAAAGTAAGGACCCAATGTCAACCCTTTCGACCTCGAAAGGTAGCCGTTCCTGGCCGCCAGTCAGCTTCTACGTGCACGTCTCGATTGCTCGTGATCCTCATGACCTCGACAATCGTGGCCAGACCTTGAGATTTCGAAACTGAAAATTTCGGGGGAGGCTGGCTTTTAATAGGCTAAAAAGGAGGAAGCGGACCTGCCGTATGCCTCCTCCACGAGGCATCCTTACAATCTCTTCCGGCACACGTCACGACACCCTCTGCGAGAACGTACAACCGTTCCCTACCCAAAGCCAGGTTCAGAAGCCGCACCCCAGTTGATTAAGATTCTCCACAGCTTCAACAACGTATACACAAGAGCTCTAACACCGACAGTCTGCAAGCCACCTGCCGGTTAGCCCCCACCAAGGCAATCTTGTTAGCTCCTGTGGAGGAATGTCACAAGCTCTCCAGCGGGAGTATGTGGCGGCCGCTCGGTCGCCGTGACCTCAAACGGAACCCAAACCTTGGAACTCCACTTCAAGATACCCCAAACCCTTATCATTTGCTGATCTCCAACCTCACCTGCCGATTAGCCTTCAACAATGCGTCTTGCTCTCATGAAAACGCGGCACCGACTTCTTGGCGGAGGTGTACGGCGGACGGTCGCCCCCCATGAACTGATTGCAATCGTACCCAAACCTTGATACATTATCCTCTCGGAAGTTTCCAAGACTCCAAAAACCCGAAACCCCGGAACCCACCTGCCGGTTAGCCCCGACCAACGCGTCCTGCATGCTCTCGTGGAAGAGCGTCACCGACTTTTCTGTGGGGATGTACGGCGGCCGCTCGCTCTCCATGACCTCGGTGGGCGACGGGGGCGCGTCCCCGGCCGCGACGTCGGTGAGGAGCGTCACCTGAGACGCGTCCGCGATGATGCTCATGCGCTGGTACGGCGTGGCCGGGAAAACGTATAGATGGGCCACCGAGGCGACGCACATCTGCAGAAAGAATGCTTTCTCTAAGTTCGCATGGTATATCTGGATATCACGCAGGGTTTCTTAAACCCCGAGTTTTCAATTGGGCGCCTACTTTAGTGAGGAACGTCACTCGGGATGCGTCCGCGATGATGCTCATGCGCTGGTACGGCGTGGCGGGGAAGACGTACAGGTGGGCCACCGAGGCGACGCACACCTGAACAAAAGATGAGTAGTGTTCAAGCGGGAATCAGCTCGCTCAATTGAAAATGTCGGCAATAGATATGGTGACAAATGTCGCTTAGAACGTGAGGGCCATGTGCTCATGCGCTGTCACGGCGTGGCCGGGGAAACGTAGAGGTGGGCAACCGAGGCGACGCACATCTGTAAGATAGTAATTTTAAGACGTTTCAAGCGGGTTTTGAGCCGAAGCGGTATCGTACGTCGAAACGTTTGGTGAGGAGCGGCTCTCAAGTTGCCTCCGCAACAACGTCATGCGTGAATATGGCAAGGCGGGGGAGACAGACAGTTGGGCCACCGAGGCGACACATATCTGAAAGGAGCAGGTTAAAAGGGGGTTCGATATCGAGCCAACTTTGGAAGCGTGCGACGATCCTTCCATGTATACCAGAAGCTACATTCTTCACGTATGTTGACATGAGAAAGGTCTTGATCACATTCAGCAGCAGCCTTACCCCCCTCCCAGGACCTCCTAAATTTCAGGGCCCACAAAAGCGAACCCCTCACCTCTATGCAGATGAGGAACGCCTGGATCGCGTTCTGCAGCGGCACGTTGACCTCGGCTTGGCTCATGCGCAGGTTGAAGAGCAGCGCAATCGCGAGGCCCTGCCACCACGTGACGAAGATGACGGCCTTGATGCACGCAAACTTGCCGACGGGGCTAATGTGCGCGAGCCACTCTTTGCTGTGCAGGTAGAACTGGAGCAGGCAGTAGAGGGCCCACATCTGGCTGAAGTTGATGATTGTCGCGATGTATGGGTAGCTGCGAAAAGAGCGGCCGGGATTCAGTCGGAAGGATTCTACGAGTGTCTTAAAAGATGAGACAACAGACGAGACCTTGAGCGGACCGTAAGAAAGTTTCAGTTGTGAGCGGTGAGATCGTCTACCATTCGCCAAAATTCCTTTGGTTCCTGTCAGTGGCTTGAAACTATCGTTGCGGAAGCATTAAAAAGGAAAAGGAGGCACTATGTTTTCCCCTTGGGACTCATCCATTTGCCGTTTTGTTTCACCCAATTCGTTCCAATCCTCAAACCGCTAAAGTCTACGATATGCTTCTTCGAAACATCGCAAAGGCAAGGGTTGGAGCAGAAAAGACATTCAAAGCTCCAAAGCACTCGGGTCGATCATCGTTGAGACTCACCCCCGGTTCCACCTGAATTCGCCCTCCCCGTACACATGCGCCAGGCTAAGAATCCACGTGGCAAGCGTGCACAGCACCTTGAGGATCATCTGCGTGCGCCAAATACACCAGAATCGGTTCAAATTTACGACTCCGGTCTCCACAGAAACCAGTCCAGGGCGTTTGAACATAGACTACTGGTTACACTTTCTGTGCGAGAGACGAAGGCCTCAAGATAGATTGCTCGGCAAGGATTGCGGATGCAACTTTTACTTTCTCCATGGAACCACGATTTCTGATCTGGCATCTGTGGCGCTTCCACTAAAAGCCCAGCCAACAACATCACTTTGTGCGAAAGGCAAAACGCGTTGACAATCACGCGAACCCTGCAGGTGCCAGTAACAGAACGTTCCGGCGAAGTCATCTTCGTTCGTCCGACTCACATACTGCACGGTCCCAAATTTGATCGCCATGTAGAACTGTTTCCCCATGCGCCATGGAGGTAGGCAGCACATTGGGGGCGGGTGGTAAAAGAGCTCGTCCCGGGAGTAAAGAAGAACTGGCCCCCGGCTCCCGCCATAACCAGCCTCCAGCAGCGGCGTCTGCGATGTCGGGACCTTCTCCACGTTTGCTTCGAGCTTCTGGATAACCTTGTCTTCTCCCCCTGGTCAAGAGAAAATAAGAGGTTGGGTAGAGTCAGGGTTAGCAGCTTAACCGGTGGGCTAACCCGCCAGGCTTTGCCACGCACATTGTTTCTTGCAAACTTTGTCGCTTAGGTCGAACGCTGGCGCATTTCGCTTGTAAGTGCCTTGAGGTCTTCGTTATGGGCAAGTCTTCGACCATAAGACCTCTGAAGGCACCACCAAAAGGCGCGGATCATTGCGTTTGCTTTGACAATCGCGTCCCAGGAAGTCTTACACACTGCAAATTTGGCTCCACCACTCTTGCTTAATAACATAATTATTACTGCCATCAAAAAACAATCTGAATCTGGCACTCGGGGCCTTCTTTTACAGACCAAAAGCTGAAGGCCTCTTGTCCATGAACAGATGAACGGACGAGCTTTGAAACGAGATAAGTTGTAATGTCAAGCGTAGACCTTGTTTCTTCTGACAGGAGGCCGAACTAACCTTCCTGAAGCTGAGACAAAGGTTATCAAGGGCATGCCTGCAGCCACAACTTTTCCCACAAGTCATAACAACTGCTTTAAGCCTTAGGCAGGCAAAGACAAAACGAAATTGCAAACTAGCAAGATTCACACGGCAGAAGTTGCGCAAAAGCGAAATTTTTCTTTCCTGAAGTTGTAAAGTCAGCCCCTTCATTTGAAGGAATGAAACCAATAGAAGGGAATAGAAGAATAGACAGATGGAATGGAACACGATAGGGAACAGGAATAGTAGAAGAGACAGATACTCACCCATGCACTCTATCAAGAAGCTACCGAATGCATAGATGGTGTAGGCCTCGTAGCAGTCCCGCAGAAGGTTGAATATTAGGGCGCTTTGCGGATACTTGAGGGTGATCCACTGCAAGGAAAGCTCTGTGTCACTTCATTGGGAACAGCACATTTATGACACCATGATAACCTGATGTGTACATCTGTGCCTGGTGCACCACCATCGCAGAAAGTGATGAGTGTCAACTTCTTTTGAGGAGGTTGACTATTAGATGCCAGCTGACTCATTCAGCATTGTTGAACACGGGTTCAATGCACACGAGCTTGCGTTACAAGCACAATCCCGATTGACAGCGCAGACAGCTCCAGTACACAAATGCATGCAGCCAAATCCAGGAGTGCAGGCAACGCTTGCAGCTTGTTTGGGCACTATCTGAGCGGAGGACATGAGCTTCAACAGAAGTTCTGACGATTGAACGCAATTCCCCTCCCTCCCTCTGGCAGAGGAGCCAACTTCGAGAGTGTGTCAGTTTTAGTGGAGAGCAGCCTCAAATTAGGTTGAGAGGAGGGAGAAGGAAGAAGGAAGAAGGAAGAAGAGAAAATCGTTTCTTACCGAGTCAATCGAGTATGCCGGGACCATGAAGATGCAACACACAATCCATTTTTGTTCCTGCATGAGACGCATGTTTCAAAGCTCACTTTTCAGAGATGGACTGCAAACCACAAGGAGCCAACAGTGCTTCTCAAGGTGAGAAACTTAATGAAGCCAATCAAGTGCTGAGAGCTCGCTTACACATAAGCCTGCCTTTCTTTCGGTCAGTGAAGCAAGATGAAGAAACAAGCTTGGGAACGAGAGTGTACTTGGTCATGAAGCATAACTTTTGTCTATCTCTGACCAAGGAGACTTCAGCTCATTGTGTATAGCTCACCTCTGGTTTATTGAAAGCTGTGAAGTGCTGAAGGATGAGATACGCTGAGAGCGACACGGACACAAGCACAAAGAACCCCGCAACTTCCAGTGCCAGGTTATGTAGCTCCACCCAGGAGTCTGCCATTTCGACACAGTCAGGATGGCCACACCATGCAAGGGGGCTCCTTTGCTTGAGTAGCTAACTTTTTCTGTCTATCAAGGCTGAAAGTGAAACACAGCTGACCAGAAAGTTCAAGCTATGCTTTCAAGTTCTATTGTCAATGGCACAGTCGCCAATCAGGCTACACTCTGATGGAAAAGTATGGTTGACCGAAATTCAACTCTCAGTACTCCGCCACAAGCTCTCAACATCCTGCAAGCACTCCAAGATTAACGAAGCGCACTTCTGTCTTCAATAAGCGCTGTCGTCGACCTCAGTGTGGAAGGCTCTCCTTCTTGGAAACCTATAATTGTGGTGACCCTTTTCGAGATTGGCACCAGCAAAGCGCTCCCCCTGAAAGCAGATAACATTTGCAGCTCGAACTTCACGAGCAAGGTGTGTTCACAAGGGAAGCTGGAGCCTGGAAGGCCTCCCTGCCACCTGTCAAAGCTTGCTGACCCATAAACATCCTTTGGCCGTGGATCGGCCTACTCGTCTAATCAACGGCTTCAATCTGCCGCTTTCTATCTTGGCCCTCGCCTCTCATAGCCGTCGGTTGGTGACAGCTCGAATTGAATGGTTCAACATCAAAGCTGGAGAGGGGACTGAAATGGCTCTCAAAAGCACTCGTGAGCGACGACGAGAGGAGCATTTCAGCAGCCTGAGCAGGCACCAATGGCAAAAGACTGCAAAGTCCAGCTTGGAAGTTGGAGTTGCGCTCAGCTAACGAACGGAGGAGCCTAGTGTGGCGGGCTGAACCCTTGAGCAGTGAGCACCACTCAAACCTCTGCGTGCATCAACACGGATTTAAGCCGGGGGTACCGCTGCCCTTGTGTATTCCTGACTGAATTCAAACCCCTTTTCAGCCTGCTTTGAGTTGCATGCTATTTGGTGGCGTGCATGGCATAGGCATCCAGCTGCCCTAGGCGACATCGGGGGTTCCGCGTACTCCTCTGAGCTCATTGCAGATGGCCGGTGCGGGGGTGGCGCAGGCGGACCTCTGCCCTTGGTCGGTATCCCCCACCCGCCGCCGCCTCCTCTCTCAAAGCACTGACGACCTTGGCGCACAAGATGTGACATCACGCCCCCCAGCAGACCTGGGGTTTGGCAGCCAAGCAGAAGTTGCGGCAGACCGCATGAGTGTCGACGCAGGGAGCGCCGCAGGGAAGCTCGACGAGAACAGCCTGCATGCCATCTTTCAGCATCTGCTCTCCCCCCCTGATCTGAAAGCGGCGATGGGCGTGTGCCGGGACTGGCGGCGCGTGATCGTCGAGGGCCACTCGTGGCGCGCCCTATGCAACCGCCTCGTTGCTCCAAGTGGCGCTCCTTTCTGCGGTGGGGGGGTAAGCGGGCCCGCCGAACGGCTGGGGAAGACCCCCCTGGGGCAGTGGTTTTTGGGCCTGGCTCCCGACCTGCAGGAGGCACTGCTTTTCCAGCACCTGAGCGGAGTCCTCGTCGAGAGGGGAGATCCTTTGGACGGCGGCGCAACGGGTCCGGCAGCTCCGGATGGTGCGCGGCACCTTTCGGACAGCATCCGCAGCTTTCTAGACGGCGTTCGGCAGCTCTCAAATGGCGCAGCCCCGCCTCCTCGAAATGTCCAAAACCCTCCGGACGAAGTGCGAGACCTCTTAAACGCTCACAATAGACTTTCGGACGGGGCTTCTGGCGTTTCGGACGGCGTGCGGCGCATTTCGGACGGGGCGCGGAACTTGATTGTGGATGCGATCGCGGCGTCGACGACGGACAACTACCCGGAGGAGTGCATCAGCAAGACACTGAAGGAGAATGCGCGCGAGCGCACGGGAAACATGCTGCAGGCATGCTATTGGAGCAGCAAGGGGGACACGTATGCCAACAAGGACGAGAGCTTGCTGTATAATCTCGCCGGGCCGATGTGTGTGGTGAGAGCACTTCCAGAGTTTATCAACGAGACTTCTGGTCAAAGTCGATTCTACTATCTGTCACTTGATGGTTTTGTGTGGAGGCGTTCAATTGTTTGCAAAGATGAAGGCAGGGGGTGGTCTGCTGGTTGGTTGTGGGGCTGGAACGAAGGGTGGCGTTTTGATGGAGAAAGTAGGGATTTTGCTGTGGCCCAAGGTGTCTATTTTTGCTTTGCAGCAGATGCATCTCAAGGTGTTCATCAGTTGGGGATGCAAGGCAGACGGCCTCAGTGGTACTTTGAGACGTGGTTCGTAAATTTCTTTGGAAGTTGTCGTCTGCTTGGCCGGAGGCTGGGGTTCGGTTTTGCTGCAGTGTTGCCGTCGCCAAGTCCAATGCTTTGTTCCAGGAAACCTTCTTCGCTGCCCCGCTGCGAACCTAATTGCTGCGCCAGTAATACCTCCGGGATTGACCTTTTAAGGTTTTGACTTAGTGCTCATTTGTCACGGCTGCTCAGCTGAGACTGTTTCGTACTTCGACTGCAGGTGAGGAGCTTCTACGTAAGGCCATTCAAAGGTGAGCGATACAGTGGCGCTTGTTGCAGCTGCAACTTGATGCCATGATATTCACTGCCAACTTCGTGAGGCTCAAATGCTGGTCACGTATCCGCCAACATCATTCCGAGCGTCTCGATTGTCTTCTTAGGCAGCATTTGATATAGAAGTCGCAGACTTAAACCTGGCTTCTCAACTCCATGGTTCTTGTATTCTTAGTCCAGAATCATTGTGATTTCAAATTCGACAGCCATTTGTCTCGTGCTCCTTACTTTCAGTCGTTCGTGAGCGGTCATGACTCTGCTGCCGCCTCGCAGAAACAGCTTAACAATCCCTTGTACCTTTAACCGCTTCTTCCTGGACTTCTTAACACCTGACAGAAAACCACCTGGGGCCCCCTTCTACTTCGATGCGGGCTCCAATATCTCCGTTCCTCATGTTTCACCACCGTCTCAGGTGCACAAACCCGGGGTCATTAAGTTTGCGCTCCTCAACTTCTGCTCGAGCGTCAATCACACCTCCCGACTCTTCCAGCAGCGGCCTCCTTATCCTTCTCTGCCGTTCGTTTTAGAGTTATACCCCGAATTAAACCGGCTTAATGTTGTTCTAATCATCCTCCTTCCAGCTAACCCGTTTTCATATCTCCCCACCAGCCTTCTTCCAGCCCAAGCAGCCCGTCTACGCGTCCGCACAAGTGCGCTTTAAACTGGGTTACCGGAAAACCCCCGATAATCCGACCGCAATGGACGTCGACGGTGCGAATGCGACCCCGAAGCACGGGGTGTGGCCTGACGAGGCGGGGAACGGGAGGAGACGGGACAAGTTTCGGGAGGCGGATTATATCTGGACGTATGAATCGCCGCGATACCCTATGGCGCAGGTGGGCTGAGGGCTCCCTTCTTATCTTCGTTTCCTCAAGGCACGTTTCTTCGCTACTCCGGAAAAGTAGCGGTCCCGTTGTTGCTTCCCCCTGATTTTCTGTGCCTCTGAAACCTTATGAAGCTCCAGAGAATACGAACATACTGACTCGTCTTCCTACTTTTTTCTTCTGAGTGCGGACAGTGCAGCAAGTTTTATTCCGATTTTTGTTGTCGATGAACGAAGCAAAAACTTTATCCGTCAGAAATAGACAAACGAGACGGCGGACCACTTAATGTTACGCTGAAGGATCGACGGACGGAAAAATGAGGGAGAATCAATGAAGCAGAGGGGAATTCAAAACGAAAGTCGAGAATGTACACATGATCAAAACAAAGTCGTGTCAAATCTCCAGGAGGATACGCTACAGCGCTTCGATCTTCCCGCGCCAGTGCTGTGCTCGGACGGCGTTTTGAGGGTGGACCTGATTGGCAAGGTGCAGCGCCAGGAGGACTACGACAACCTCTACTACACCTGGTCAGTCCTTAACCTTCCCCTTGACCACGAAAGCCTTTACTACACCTGGTCAGGTCTACTCTAACCAGAAGACTTCGACAAACCCTCCTACACCTGGTCAGTTTTTAAGGTTTCTTTAACCAAGACAGCCTTCACTACACAGCTGGTCAGTCCTTTAGTCCTCTCCTAATCAAAGGACTTCAACAATTTCTGTTACACCTGGTCCGTTCAGGAAACCCCTCCCTTGAAACTGACGGCCAACGGACTACGACAATCTCCATAAAAGCTTGTGAGTCCTGGTTCTCCTCGACTACGGCAGCTTTGACTACACCTGATGAGTCCATACACCCTTCCCTAACCAGAGGACTTCCGACAATTTCTCCTACACTTGGTCACTCGGTTAGCCTTGCCTTAACCAGCGGCTTACGACGACTTGGGCAGCCTCTTGACCACAGACCTGGAACGTTCTGAGATGTGCATCAGAGCTTCGAGTCAACCGGTTGGATGTAACGCTCCTTGGACACTCTGCTTGCAGCATTACGCATGTGAAGGCGGTTGGCATCGCGCTGCCTTGCTTCCGGTGCCGGCCGGCGCCCAAAGGGGATCGCGTTCTGGAGTACTGTGCAGACGCGCCCGTGCCTCCGCTTCCGGACGCCCAACTCCACGCAAACGGTTTCGATGCGGCGCTGTTCGTTGCAGAGTTCGACTCGGACGACGAGGAACCAGACGAAGGCATTTGGGACTGAGCTTTTGGGATTGGGGCTGTTTCAATTTGAGGGTGGTTCTATGGGATCCTTGGGCTGCAACAGGACCCGCTGTCTGGTCGGGTTCCTTTGAGTATGCCGCGCTGTGTATGGAATTTGGTGAAAGACACACGCATCTGGAATGGGTACTCTATGCTGGAAGCATCCCTCAGTTTGTTCTTCATGCACCCAAGCGGCCTGAAGACTCACCGACTTTGTAGCGTGCAATGATTGCACCTCTCGCATGCGTGCACAAATGGGCACATCAACACCGTAACTTACCAACGATGTCTTGTGTTCCAGGGTCTGTAACAGCATCATGGCATGTCGTGGATTGGTTACTTTTCGAGCTCAGAAAAGCACCACCCGGCAATCATCATACTTTGAGTGTATCTCGAGAGGCAGAGCCGGGAGCACTTTCACTACTAGTATAAGAGCTTAACAGTGGCCATTACGTGAGTTGGTGCAAGGCGGTTGAGGTGGCATACATGTGTACATATGCAATTTGATAACGGTCAGAATACGGTATATGCAAGGAGTATACGGTACTGATTCGACCATGACAATTCCGCCTGCGAGCTTTGCATGCTAGTTTTGCAGTACCGTTGCGCAGTGCACAGACCGCAGGCCGCACGTACGGATCGTGACTTATCAGCACTTGTTATGTTTGCACATTGTAAGTATCTAACAGCAACTGGTCAAGATCGTAAAACAAATGATTGGAGCCATTCCTACATGCTTGCACATGAACGTGTAGCAAAGACTTTAAAATTGTGATCCGTCCTGTGGGCTTCCTCCGCCACACCTATGATCCACACCACCGTGACCCTAGCATTTCGATAGGAAGAATCCGAAGCATCTAAAAATCTAACATTGTCCCGTGTTTCCGTCTTCTAGATTCATTCCAAATCCAACGTTTCGGCAATAGTCAAGTGTCTACAGTAATTCTTATCAAAAGTACCAACGTCCACCGCAGATTGAGAGTCACGGTTCAGCTCAGCATGAGCCAGGCCGCGGAAGTAATTAGGTCTATGCGAGCCCTAACTAACGCGACGCGTAAGAAGTTATAGTTACATGATCGATTGTTGCGCGCGGATGGAAGCCCAATGCCCGCTCATCTGTTGTGCCCTTCTCTTGCAGGCCCTATCTTTCCAACTGCGTTTTAGTTCGGGGCCGTTGGTGACTCTCAACTCTCCTCTTCAGGAGCCTCCTCCTCTCCCCCTTCTTCTTCGCCGGCTGAAGCAGCCATAAGCTCTTCAAACCGCTCTGACTTCTCGAGAACAATCTCAAGCTGTAAACAGACAATTGAGGTCCCCCATCACAAGAATAGCAACGAACATGTGATACAACAATTGCGAGATAACAAGAGACTGTGTACCAAAAAGGGACGTGTCAAAACCGAAGATCCAACAAGAGACTGTGAAATCCACACACAAGCTGTTCCCATGCATGATACTTCGCGACTCAAAAAGGGGCTGAACTCAAGCCAGAGGTTTGAGACAATCTTAACCAGCAGATACCCACAAATCCACTGCACAGGAGACTGAAAATCTCTTTGCATCCCTGCTAAATCGAAAGGCTGCCCAATCTCTTATAAGCATCTGATCTTGAGCTTTGAAAGAGCCAAAATGCGTGGAGTATTCTGCAAGAAAGAGAGTTCTGCAAGAATACAACATAATGCCTTGCCGTACAGTCCCATGCACTGTGAGTCCTGCACAGGCAAAAACTCTGACACAGGCCCGAGCCTGCTGAAAGTTTTCAGAAACCGAAGGGCCGGCTACGCACCTTGGCTTTCTGGATTGGCCGCCCTCTAGACTCGTCCCTCATGTCCACCGTCGACGTGATAATCTCTGCATCCACAAATGGTACTCATGTGCATACTGCGCTTTTGAACAAGTGCCAACGTCCTTAGAAAGTGATGCATCTCAACAGAACCACAATCTTTTCCGATGAGGCCCCTGTATCTCAGCGGAGCGACTAATGCCAAACTTTCAGCAGACTGCCAAATGAGCGCTTGTTTGTGCCCCAGTTCAGCAAATGACAGAAGAAAGTTCTCTACTTCTCAACAGACTATCAACTGCAAAACTGGCCCCCAGGGCCGCAGTCACAGTGAGTGCAAGAGTGCCTGAACAAGTACCACTCACGCTTTTCTACCGCTAGTCCGCTATTCTTTAAGATCTCAACAACCGTGACCACCGTAGCGATAGCCATGCCTGCGAAACAGCATGCATATAGATCAGTCATGAATTGCTCGATCAACATTGCTGAGAAGGTTCCGCCCGACCTCCCAACAGCTTCAATACCTCCATAATCCTGGCGAAAGAGAAAGGCAACTGATGGTATGGTCAATTATCACAAAGATCTCACTGCATGATTGTGCAACAACCGGAAATTGTGATGCGAGTCTTGGACTCTGAAAGTGTGCAGCTCGACGCAGGAAACTGATAGAACCAGGCAAAAGCAACTAGGTTCATGGACAATCTGGTGGAACTGTTACGGACGCCGCTGAATCTGCACAGGAAGCTAATCTGCTCACCTAGAGCTGACAATTCCACTTCCCCATGCTGAGCCATGAACCTCTGCAAGATGAACAGGTCAATTGTGATGCTGTCTCGATGATTAGAAAACGAGGCGTTTTGCTCGTTACCAGAGAAAACCGCACATGGTGGTATTGAACACAACCACCAGTGAACAACCCGCAACTATTGGCATGGTAAAGATTTCTCCTCCCAGCAACAAGACCACCCTTTGTGGAGTCGATCAACGCGCGCGACCACTTCCGCATCAGCATGGCACTCCGCAATCAGAAAGGAGTGGATGCTTGATCTGCTGACAGGCTCTAGCTTGTGTCCAGCCACTGATATTCAACGAGACTCAAACAGAAACTTGAAAATTTCCACTATTTCCTGACTAATTCTTCAAAACTCATTGTGTTTTGGATCTAGCTGGTTCAAACTTACCTTTGCCAGGTTGACATAGAAGAAGAGCTGCAAGGGCAGCAATTGCGTCAGTCAAATATGGTCAAAATTGCAACTTCAGCCACACCACGACACCAATTTGCACGCTGCATCAAATATACCTACACCTGAGGTCTTATGCAAAGAGAAGTGCAGTCTCTTACTGGTCGCTTTGTGTTCGACACTTGTATTCTGTTCTTCTTTCCCCCATCGGCTGCCAAGTTCAAATTCTCCACGCCTTGCGCCGCTTCTTCCGCCATCCTCCCGTCCGCTCAGCTAAACTTCTTCCCAAAAAGTAGCAACATCCACTCTGACAATTGAAAGGAAATGCCACCGCCACGTCTTTATTAGCGGAAAAGACCTCAGCAACGACCCCAACACCTTCTCATGGAGGACACCGCGTGCTCAAAGAACAAGCACTTTGTCAACATGGCCTCCTGGGTCCTGACTACTCTACCAGCCTGAGCGGCACCTAAACCTAAGCGCCAGCTGCCACCACCTCAACTCCCACCCTGGCCGCGCCCTGGGCTGCCCTGGGCCCGTGTTTTGAGATCTGGTTCTGCCACCTAGCCTTCCTGGGTTCAGAGCTTCCTCAAAAGTCAAACTGAGTACATTTGCATGTAACAATATTTTGTCTCGGAAGCATCATACGGGCGCCCGGTTGAGAATTTCGGGATCCCAAATAGCGAGACGATACTCCCAGGTTGACGCCCTCCGAGCACGCAATAATCGTCCACCATTCCCCGGCGTTTGTGCATCTAGCACCGTCCATTTCTCCTTGTGTCGGAGTTTGGACGGCAGTAGAGCAGGAGAGTCTGAAAGCTAGACTTGCATGCGAGAATTTTGGACCACTGATCATACAGCTCCTTTCGGGCAACCTGTAGGTGGCAGATTGAGATCGACGGCCTGTGTAAGAATGCGCTTAGCGTGCTGAGTCTGTCACAGTGCTGACGTCAACAAGTCAGAGAAGTTCGAAATTCCCTTGGCAAGATGCTTCCTGCTCTGTTAGATCGGATTCGTAGATGGCGCATTGCGTTCACGTGAACTGCTGGCAGAATTGGCAAGCAAGCCGCCGCCATTGCAATGCGTTCTGAAGCATGACCACGTTTCTCTCGTGAAGGACTACCCCAGGGCACAAACTGTGAGCTGGCAGCTTCAGATCTCCCAAAATGCAGAACGGCGTGGGCAGCTCCGGTGCAAAAGCAAACTTGAAGATTGCCATTGTGCATCCAGATCTGGGGATTGGTGAGGATGGCTCAGTAATGTCTCCCTTCACTACATGGTGTGAAACCAGAAACTTCTTATTCAGTCGGGCTTTGTTCCTTGAGCGTCGATCAAGATCAAATTGCACAGAATTTAGAGCACTTCTATGTAACAGAATGTGGGGAATGTAATCTCTTTCTCAAAGCACCACCACTTCAAACCTTCCACTTTCTTGTGTGGCGTGTGTTCAAATGCAAGGTTCTTATCTGGCCGCCGAGATGCTGCATTCATCCGTACCCCATTGATGTCACTGACACCAAATGGACAGTAAAAGTAAAAGTATGGTCAGTATCCAGCTTGCAGGTCGCAGTAGGCAAACTTCAAAGGAATCCTTTTGAGATTTTGAAAATTCACGAGTACAAGGTGAAGAACTGCCTGCGTGAAGTGAACTCTTCTTCAAAGTAACTCCTTCTTCACAGAACTTGATCTTCAGTCGATTGCACTAAAACTGCACAAGGCCAAGAGTCACTGAGCTGGACCAAAGTGGCCTGGACCATCTCAGTGCTCACTTTTGCTTCTCATCCAGTCCATCTTGACAATACTTCGTCAGTGATTGCAAGTTGACAATACGTCTCCAGGAACATTCAGAATACAACGTTGGAAAACTGTAGCAATTGATCCAATTCTCACAGAATCCCAAGGTCTTGGGTGTATGCAGACTGTGATTGCTTTCTGCAGGCTGAGAGCCACTGTTCAAATCGTGATATTCACAAGCTTGCATATGTCAGTGAGCAGATATGCCGCAAATTAATCAACCAGAAGAAGAAAGCGATGCTAAAAAGAGAGAACTTTCTCTTGCAGGGGGCGCTGAGAGGTTGATCGTGGACGCCGCGGTTGAGCTTGCCAGCCGGGGCCACAGTGTAAAAGTGTTTACAGCACACCACGACCCGCGGCGCTGCTTTGAAGAAACTCTGGATGGTAGGGGCGTTTTGGTCTAACCTACTTCTCAAGCCGCAAGACTCCGAAGGGCGCACCTGCCACTTCTTGAATGCGATGATGCAAAACTACTAACAAACTTCTTTTGCGAAGGAATCTAGTGTGAAAAGCGTGTTTGGGAAGCAGACATCCTCCTGTAAAAAGAGTGCATGACTTGATATTGCATCTCCGATCGCCATGCTCATCCCATCCCCTTGGAAGGAAGAAGACCAACAGACAAGCGGAGTGTATTGCTTTGATGGCAGTAAGAATATCATCTGTAGGAGGAGGAGGAGGCCCTGATCCTCCAAAATGAAAGGTCCTCCTGTATGTATGACTGGCCTGGTCACTGTACATAAGCAATGCGCAAAACCTTTCCTTAGAACTAATCTATCTTTGCTTCAAAAAAAGAGGGAGAACGAAGATTAGCCTGAAAACCTTACAAGCAGCTTGTCGTCAGGGACTCTTACCATTTATTCTTACTTCTGTATCTTCGCAAGTCTGCCCTTCCTGGGCTTTCAACGCTTCCATTCTCCGCGTGTGGATTGGCCTGGATTGGATTGATCCCAGTGATTGCTTCCATCAATTGTAGATTCGCTTTAGACTCTGCCAACGTTTTCCAAACAGCCTTTGTGCAAATGAGATCTCTTTATCAACCACAATATGCTCCGGTCTTTCAGGCAGTCGATTCTACTGCCAGATTCAAGGTGTAAAACCTCGCCGCCCGTTCATTCACGTCTCCTTCCACTTTCCAGGCAGCTTTGGTGTACATGTCTATGGCGACTGGCTGCCCCGCCACATCTTCTACCGCTTCCATGCCCTCTGCGCCTACCTCCGCTGTCTATATGTCGCTTGGGCCGTTGTCCTTCTCTGGGGGTCCTTCGATGTGGTCATAGCGGACCAAGTCTCAGCAGTTATACCGGTCCTCCGATGGATGCGGCAGGCGCGGATTCTGTTCTACTGCCACTTTCCGGATATGCTGCTGGCGAAGCGGGAGTCCTGGCTGCGGCGAGCATACCGAGCGCCGATCGACTGGATCGAGGAAAGGACTACAGGTGGGGGATCAAGGACGTTTTCGTTCTTTGCTTCTTGTTAACATGTCCCTTCCGGAGGCGAAACTTGGGTTCATATGTACATGCTGTCGGTCAGAACAGAATGGGGTCTGGAGCGACATTCCACGCCGAGACGTCCTTGCTAGGCAAGGAGCTTGGTCTGACAGCCTTCTGGGATTTATCACACACCGGTTTTCAGTCCCAAAACTTGGCAACCTGGCCGCTGTACCTTCGCATGCCGATCTTGAAGCACTTCGACCAACGACTGGAGTATCGGAAGCAAGGGATGCTCTCGGGTTCCGTCTCTCTCTTCGTGTGCATCTTAGAACCGAAAGGGCCCCCCATTTCCATCCCCGTGTTATGGAGAGCTCCTCTTGGTCCACAGCTTTCATGATGGTGAACAAGAGCAATCGGAATCCATACGTCCCCCTCTCTTCTTTTGCAGGCAGCGCGGACCTCCTTCTTGTCAACAGCTCTTTCACCGCGGCCGTGTTCAACCAGACGTTCCGGCACCTGCGGAAAAAGGGCGTTAAGCCGACGGTTCTGTATCCAGCGGTCGATCTGAAGCAGTTCGACATTCCGCCGCCATCGCCGAAGGAGCAGGAGGGAACGCTAGAGGAGAGCATCATGGTTGCGGATACACTAGAAGGCATCGGGGGCCTACATAAGAAATCGTGAGTGGGGGGTTTGGTTAGTCGTGTGCCAGTTCCGCTGCCGGATATGAGACGCCGCAGGATTTGGAGAGACGTGATAGAACGGTTTTGACGTCACCTTCTGCTCGGGTTGCTTTGGGTATGGTGATGGGCCACTTATGAGCTGCGGATGATGAGCCACTTAAAAATCGTGGATGATAGGCCCACTCAAGCCATTGTCTGATTCGGGCTACTGTCTACCCTTTGGTTTACAGTGCGTAAGATTCAACCATCATTTCGCGCAATATGTCTGCCTTTGCTCCCTTCATTCCTTTCTCGTATTGTCGACAGGCGCATCTTTCTGTCCATCAACCGGTTCGAGCGCAAGAAGAACGTTGGCCTCGCCATAAGGGCGTACGCGATAATGCGCTCGCAGCTGCCAAACGCTATGGGAGGGGCCTCCGCGAGTTCGGACGGTGCCAGCAGCAGTACGGGCGTCCGAGAAGCGCAGGACTCGACAGTCAAACTGGTCATCGCTGGTAAGCAAAAAGCGGGTTATAGGGATTGCCGGTGAGAAATTGGTGATTGAAAACGAGCTCGTAGCAGGAGATTGAAACTCGACAGCACAATGTTCGGTGGATCTTTTTGCTCTAGTTGTTGGACTCTGCAAGGTCGAGAGAGCTGTTTGAGCAAGCGGGCGACGAGATAAGATTGATTGTGCGGGCCTGCAAATGTGCTGATCTATTGATACGTGTCAAGCGGTGCAAAAGCTCCGTTCCGGTGAAACGTTGCTAAACGTTCCGGTGAAACGTTCCGGTGAAAAGTTGCTAAACGTTCCGGTGAAACGTTGCTAAACGTTCCGGTGAAACGTTCCGGTGAAAAGTTGCTCGCAAGACGGTAGCCCCATGATGCCAGGAACTTAAGCTCGTCGAGTAGCCCTGGAGCAACTTCCGCCGCGCCCAACTGCATACGTCTCTTTCGTGAAATGTCTTGTTTGTGTTCGAAACAAGCCATGAAGAAATAGAACCATCTACCAAGCGCACAAATATTGTCTTAATCCTGAAATCCAGAACTTTACGTGTTCACATCCGTGTCTACCCCTACTCCCCTGTAACCCCACCCTTATTCCTACGTATCGTCACCTTTACCTCGCCATAAAGTGACCCTTACTTAACCTCACACTTACGCCCCATTAACCTCATTCTTACGCCCCTGTAACCTTACCTTAATTCCACCCATAACCCCGGGCTTTAGGATGCTATCCAAAGGCCTAATGTTATTCAAGGGTTGAACTTTCATCTTCCGGGATGCAGGCGGCTTCGACGTGCGGCTACGCGAGAACGTGGAACTTTTGGAGGAGCTGAAAGCGCTGGCCCAGGAAAGCGGAGTTGGGGAGGACGTCGTGTTTGTGCCGTCCTTCACGCAGACGCAGAAGAACCTGCTGCTGACCGCGAGCATCTGCGTCCTCTACACGCCGGAAGTGAGGGCCTATTCCGACCTACTTTCTTGTTTGCATCCCCTGAGAGTCGTCCCATCCACTAACTGTTTCCTCCATTTTCTTCTGCTCTCCTGTTCGCCGCATGTTCCTGCTGACAGCCAGCGTCTGCGTTCTCAACACGCCGAAATATGCGGCGTTTTTCGAGTAACAGATCCTATCGCCTTTGGCACTGAGCTATGGCTATATTGAAGCACCGTCTTCGATTACCGCTATGCCCCCGACACTTAACTGTATGGTACCGTACGTTCGCATCGAAATCTAGCACTTCCGCATCGCCCCTCGGGAAGCGCATTACGTGACCACGCGAAGCAGTTTATGCCATCAGAAGTGACATATTTTTGACGAGAATGACGTAGGCGCTCGTAGGCGCTTGGCGTCATTGTACCGAGAGCACAGTATTTGACCATGCGGAGCGATCCCGCATAGAACATATGATTTGATAGACAAAAATCAGGCGCCAGGTCCACGCAGCACAAGTACTTGGGCACCCTTCCGGAAGTGAAATATTACAGACGAAAGTGACGTATGCTATGAAAGTTGACGTAGGCACCATCATTACGCAGGACGAGCACTTTGGCATCGTCCCTCTGGAGGCGATGGCTGCTCGGCGGCCGGTGATTGCGTGCAACAGCGGAGGTCCCACCGAGAGCGTCGACCACCAAACGACCGGTAGGCGCTCTCTGTCTTTTCCCCCGCACCCAACCTCTGAAGTCTTGGAATCATCAAAATGCACCTTGACTAACATTGACTAGAAGCGTTGACAATTCAACGTTTGTTGTGGGGGTATGATGTATGGAGCTCTGCGCTACAGTAAAACGTCTATGAAAAAGGAGGTACGGACTCTGTCCAGCAAAATGGATTCAAGGTCTGCGGAAGAAGCTTGGATTCGAGTTGCCATTCTGATAGCAGACCCTTCTGCAGCCAGATGGCATCGATGAAGCAGAACACTTGTGGAATCAGCTATGTTTGGAGCGAAACCGTTCAGTGGTCGTCATCGTTTACTGTTGACACCAATATACTCTCCGTCCCCATCAAAGTTTCCGGTGCCCTCCGACTCCTAACGCGTTTGCTGCCGCATCGTCCTCGTAGGAATTAACTTTTTTGCAAGTCGGCATTGGCCAAATCGGCGAAGGATTTTCACATCTTTTATTGTGTGAACGTGGGCACAAATCACATGCTCACGGTACTCAAAAGAGAATTGATAGACTTTCAACGCGCTCCATCCTCCTGGACATCAAAAGAAGTCTTCGTCCCCGCCAAGGTTGCATGTGCCCACCAACGCCCGACGCGTTTGCCGCCGCACCGTATCCATAGGGCGAAGAATGTCCTGCCAATTCGACAGTCGCCAGTGTTAGCTGAGGAAGTTCGACTCTTTCAGAGTCTGAACGTGGACACTAACGACACCTTTCCCTCGCCAAGGTTTTCTGTGCCCACCGACGCCCGATGCGTTCGCGGCCGCGATGGCGGACCTGCTCCAGCACCCGCAGCTCGCGGAGAAGATGGGCCACGCGGCGCGGGCGCACGTCGAGCGGAGCTTCTCGCGGGAGGTAAGGCTCCTTGATGCCTGCCTCTGTTGGCAATGCTCGCGTTTGAAACGAACTTCCTGACATGTGCACGTCGAGTGGAGCCCTTTTTGGTAAGACTGGTCAGCTTGGATCAAAGTCTGTCCAGGTTTACTACGAACACGTTCGTCGAGCGGAGCTTCTCGCGGGATGTAAGGGTCCTCGATGTTTAGGTTTTTTAAGCGTGGGACTGTTCGATTTGGATTGAGATGGAAAGAGAGTGCGTGACTTCCGGCCAGCTTGCAAGGAACCCCCTCGGCCTGACATCTCGAATCGACGGTTCAAATGGGTCTGTTCATCAACGACAAGCATCTCTGGGGACTTTGCAGAAGGGTTCGCAAAACTCAGCCGGGAGTCAAGAGTTTTCCTTTCATCCGTTCTGTCCAATCTGTTTGACAGATTGTACTGACCACGTGCGTCAAGTAGAGCTTCTTGTGAGAGGTCAGGCGCACCCTGCATAGCTTTCCTCTTGGACTCTGTAAGTGCCGAAAGTAGGATTTGAGTCGCCTGAATACTGACCCGAACCGTGGGTGATGCGGCGGGAAACCGTTGGCTTGCACGCCAGTAGAGCTTGCGGCAGCACTCAACACCCATGCCTTGTGGCATCTTCGCAGGTGTTTGGGTCGAAGTTGGAACACATGGTGCTTCAGCTGGCAAATGAGAGAGGAAAGAAGAAGGCCGTATAAGCCGGACCCCTGTCGACGTGGCTGCATACAAGCAAGCTCTTGATAAGCAAAGCCGTTAGATGTCGGAGAGCCCAGTTGGGGCTTGTGTAATCCCCGTCAGTATGCTTGAGAGCAGCAAATCTCGCAAGTATACAGCGAATCCGCAGTGCAGCCGCGGTTTTTAAGTTGTGGGGACTGCCCGTTTTGGGGTCAGAGAGTGCTTTGGAACGCACATTATCGTCAAAAGAGAACGTTGGATTTTTGCCGTATAGAGTGAGGTACTTGTTTGTATTGAAATCTGCACAGAAGATGAAATTGCTGTTTACTAGTGTTAAAACGAGCACGTTGTCGCGGCATTGAATGCACATGCAATGTCGCTAAAGATCATCATCGACCGAAAGGGCCATTAGTTGTAAAAAGTCTCGATCATAGTAGGCACCTTTTGTCCGACTTCGCAATCGGTGCTTACGTTAGGTTGCGCGTCGACCGAATACCTACCACCCCCCACTCTTAAGTTGTCAGACCACGTGGTTCAGAAAACCTTGGTTTCGGCAGAGGTTTGCAGCAAACCCTTCACATCTGTGCGCCCTATATCACCCAAATTCAGCACAAAACTTGAAATTGCTCAATCCAAAGCAAGTGGGCAATGGCCATGTGTGGTGGCAATTGCCGACCAGGCTTCTTTGAGCAGAAAAGATGCGAATTTGATAGATGTAGGCGACACAATCACTTCAGTGTTGCAATCCTCTTAAAAACCCAGATTTATGGAAAGCAGGCCTCTGGTTGGCTGAAAAACCTGGGATGACCTCGGAGGTTTCGGTCGACGTGCAACCTTAAACACACATGACAACAGCATTCAATTATTTGCGAGGCTTGACATTCTTTTCTTGAAGCTATTGACTCCAATGATTGGATGAACTCGTCAAGATGCATGGGCTTGTTGTGTGATTGCTTTGCCAGTTGATGGTTTAACTCAGTAAGATCGAGATATTAACACATGTGCTGACGGCACATGTGCGAGACGTGGCTGGCCTCCTGGCGCCCACGGTCATGCTGGCAATATGGCCCTAACGTATAGGGCCCTTGGATTGACGATCAATGTGACATGCTTTCCGGCCATGAACGATTGTTCACCAAGCTCGACAAGATCTGGCAGCAATGGATGCAAAATGTCGACGTACGTCTCCGACACCCATATAACCGGGCTCGACTAGACCGTCCAACTCCAACCGCTCAGTGCCAGGACTCACATGCATATGATGGCCGGCAAGAGCGCGCAACATAATATGAAATTTGCGCGGGACTCACAACCACCGCCAGCGCCGGGATTGCTCATGGGCGCCGTACCGAGCTAGATCATAAAGCATACATGGCCAGGGCGGCTCTAGCAGAATGTTACTCTCAGTGAATTGACATGACCTATGTAAACAAGATCTTCGTGATCTTCAAGGTGTCCGACTGGAGTCCGCACTAAACCGTCAACTTTGAGCTAGAACTCAATGCATGGGCCATGCAGCAAACGATCCCTGTGGACCTGTTGACATTTAAAAAGACAGCCATGTTGTGCCAACTGATTAATTCCAACTCAGATCAGTACTTCACGGATGTTCTCAGTATTCAATCGAATACGCGCATCCCAAATTCTCGTTCTGCACGAACAACCACCTTACACCCTCTATAGCAAGCTAGACTATGACAACACTCACTTCCGTGCACTGGATGTTGCACAAGTTAGATGCCGCCTCTTTGCAGGATACCTAGGCTCTCGAAGATTAGCATACTTATTAGTACACCTGTCCCTAGAGCCTTAACATCCCGGGCCCGGGCCTACACATGAAGGTTTGCACCATGATCTTCCCTTTCTAGTTTAAGCGGGTTGAGCTCCAAGCTGACTTGTTCACCACAGGAACCGTTTTGGCTCCTATCCACCGCTTCCTTATGATCTCCGTCAACAAGCAATGATCAGCACAACGGCCGGCCGGGGTATGCAGGACAAGTTCGCCAAGTTTGACTACGGCTGGCTTATATCGTAGATCCACCGTGCCCGTCTATCATTATCACAAACACGCAAAAACCCACGAGCTTACATGATCTAACGGTTCTCCAACGAGCGCCAGCACCGAGCTCCGGTCAATATGCTAAGCAGTGCTATGTCGAGCCCACGTGTCCAGGCAAGGCGATATTTACATTCGCGATCCTCGATCCCGAACTCCGCTTGCATCGTGCAGGGGACCTTAGAGAAGTCAGTTAGCAGCTCGGAGTATGTTAACACCTCTATCTGTGCGGGGCCTCACGGCGCGGGGGCCTGCACGACCTCCCCTGCTTGGGCGACAAACGGATGCTGTAGGAGCTGCAAGATCAGCACGGGCGAAGTCAAAACCCACACTGAATCGAAGTTCAGTGCAAACACATTTCAGATGGAGCCTGAACGGGGGCTGAACGAGCACTGGGATTAAGGGGAGAATCACCGATTTGGACGTAGTCCATTGCGGCTCGTGCCGGATAAAGGGGAATAGCCGAAAAAGTGGATCACGAAGTCAATCTTCGGCCTCAAGGTGCTAGAGGTGGCCACCGAGAATCCGAGTTCTGTGCTAGGTTCTGCTTGAGTTCTGCTTGAGTTCTGCTTGACTACTGCGAAGTTCTGCGAATCGCACTCGAAGATCAAGAACTTTTGAACGTCGACATGATGCAAGACTCCCCTCCGAAGGTCCCCGGCGTCATTAGAATGATATAGCAAGCCTGAGTGGAACTTGCAGAACACACTCACAGATACAATACGGCTGTGCATACAACGAAACCGAGGGTAGTGCTGACGAACAACACACCGCACAAAGAAACGTCTGACGGCCTATTTGCCGCCCCTTCTTCTCTAGAAAGACCAAACAAAGCCAGACACTAGCCAAATACGCAGGAAGTATGACCAACCGCCCACGACACGCGAAAGGACAATTTCTGAACCACTTGCCTCAGAAGAATGAATGCACCTGAGATCCACAACAGCTGGCCTCGCTTTCTCGGAGCCACATTTCAGCCTCTAGCAAAACCAGCCCTAAGAAGACGCCAGCCAACCAGACACGAGCAACGCGAAAGGGAGACCCCTAAACACTCCAGGGGCGCAAAAGCACAAACGACCCACACAACCGACTCACATCCGTTGCAGTCGGACGTTCCTTGGGGTCCAATGCGAAGCACAGGTTGAGGAACTCTTTCGCCAGCGGCGATGCGATCTCCGGCATTGGGGGCCCAGTGAGCGCTTTGGCGATGTGGAAGATCGCGGTCCATGTGTTGTCGATTCCCGGCCACGGGTGACTGCGGCAAGGTGTGCCTCGAGTCAAGACAAATCTCTTTGTCTTCTTTGACACTAGATCTTTAACACCCTACAAAGTGGTCTCAAACAAGCGGTCTAGACGGCGTTTCTGTTGGTTCCGGTCAGTTTGCTATGTCTGCTGGTGTTTGTGTTAGCTCCAGTCAGTTTCTTTGTCTCGTTAATAGTCTCTTGGTTCTTCTCAGCTCCTTGTGGGGGTCCACTATTGGGATAGCAAGGCATATTGTAAAATGTTGGAGGTGGGGCGTTCTGAGGGGCCACTAGTATAGTTCAATCAATTGGTCAAAAGTATAGGTACAGTGAATGGTTCAAGGCTCGTGCAATGAACGTCCCTGCACTTTTAAGGCACACAAATCAAGAGGACAGATCTTGCACAGAGACACGACAAGGAAACCGAATCCTGCGGCCCACCTGCCCGTGAGCATCTCGATGACGGTGCAACCAACGCTCCAGATATCGGCCCGTCGACCGTAGCCGTCGCCCTTGATGACCTCGGGAGCCATCCAGAAGACGGACCCGCGAATCGACTTGCAACCGTCCGTCAGAGTGGCGTCGTGGAAGGCCTGCGAAGGGGGAGGGGATGACGTCAGCAGACGGAACGGGAGAAAGATGATGTCAGCCGAAAGAGAAAGCAACATCGGCAGCCGCCCCATTGCACCGCCAAGGAGCGCCGAAAGTCGAAAAAGAGGACTTTTTCCATCAGCCGGAAAGCGGGTCGATGTCCGATTCTGCCAAAGACGAGCCCCGACTCCGCCCAGAACAAGGCTCCGGAATCCTGCAGCAAGGGCGGGCTTGCCTGCAGGCTCACTTTAGAGCATATTTGACGATCTTCATCACACTTGCTTAAGCCCGCGCTTACAGCAGAGCATGCCATACGCGATCAATCGCTTGACCTTAACGACTGCTTCCCGCAAGCAAAACCAGGCCTAACAAATCACCCCCACGTGCAGTCTTGCGACGGGCTCACCTTTGAGGCCCCGAAATCCGCGAGCTTGATCACCCTTGCTCCGCTTGCATTAATGCTTCCCGCAACCACAACAAGGCCTAAGAAACTCAGCCTACGTGCAGTCTTGCGACGGGCTCACCTTTGAGGCCCCGAAATCCGCGAGCTTGATCACGCCGTCGCGGTCCACGAGCACGTTGCCACCTTTGATGTCGCGGTGGATGATCTTGCACTCGTGCAGGTACTCCAAGCCCTGAAACACGCGAGATTTACACCTTTCAGATCGAGGGTATGCAGTCTCTTGAGGGCGTCTGGTACTGACCGAATAGGCAATGATCTGAGCAACTAGTTGGGGGCGGGATTTTCGCATCCCTTGACAATGTGTGGCGCTTCTTCTCTTCACTAAGAGCGAGGAGTGTCGGCTTGCTACCCAGTGGCTGGTACTGAGTAGATCACGGGTGCTCAGTGAGTTCCAGCCCCGCAAAAGTGAGGACACCTCACAGCAGATTGCGCCGGAGACGCACAGCTCTGGACTGGATTTCCAGCACACAGATAAAGATTTGGAAGCAATCCAACGGTGGAAGTAATCAAGGTGCTGCCCCAACTAACAGGGTCAAAAAGAGACGCAAAATAGAGGACATTCTCTCTCCCTGCAGATTCAAACAGCAATGCATACAGAGACGCATAGAAACGTCAAATGCAAAAACACGAAGGGGCGAAAATCTGGAAGGGAAAAGAGAGTATGGTGCTCAAAAATGGGGAATGGACAGAATAGAGCTGGGTCGCAGAAAAAGTAAACAGGATAATGAGGCGCAAAACTGGGAGGACCAACCGACCTGCAGCAGCTGGCGCGTGTAGACGCGCACGAGGGGCTCGCTGAATCGGCCGAAGCGCTCGAGCATGCTGTGGATAGACCCCCCCGAAACGTACTCGAGGAAGACGTACAGCGACCCCGACGCATCATCCCGCTCCATGTTGATGTAGCCCACGATGTGCCTGGGGGGTAGAAAGAAAAGCGGTTGGAAAAGGAGGACCAGGGACGTAAAGCGAGCTTGCATCGAGGACCTTTTGTGCTGCGCTTCGTCTCTGCTTAAAAGAGGGCGTCTAACCACGTGGGATCGCGGCGGCCACTTAGCATGATAGTCTGCCAAGAAGTCAATCAGGTGTTACCAAATTTAGCGACCAAATGGTTGGCCGACGGGCTATCTGGTCGCCGAGGCGTTACGGGTCACAGGACGCCGCCTTTACGAAGAACGAGAGTGCGATACTGTCCAAGACAGCGCTGTACGAAACACCTAAACGTGCAAGCCCGAGAAGCGGAGCTGAAATACAGGCACTAGGGGTTGAATGGACCAAATGGGAACGCAAAACATTAACGGTCGCATCCCTCAGCTCAATACGGTACCTCACAACCGTTTTATCCGAGAAGGTCGGCAGATGCAGGCTCTGAAGAGCAACGAACGCAAGCTTTCAGAAACGGGAAAATCAAGGCTCTGAGAGCCCGAAAAGGAGGCTCTGAAAAGCAGAGGATGTAAGCCGTAAGCGTACCTGTGGCGCATCTTCCGGTAGAGCGAGATCTCGCGCTCGAGCGCTGCCACGTGGCGCTGGTACTCGCGGCTCTGATCGCTGTCGTTCAGCTTCAGCTGCTTCACCGCCATCAACTGGCCGTTCTCCTGAGAAGGGTTACCGAACCGGGTTAGCTCAAGTCTTAAACTATACAGAGTCCGACTGGAAATGGTAACCGGACCAGGTCACCTCAGATCTTCATGGAATCCACGCAAATGTGCTCTGGTTTTCACCGCTTCAAGACGAGCTCCAGGTCTCAGGTTTGTCGATACCCAAAATCGGAAACGCACCCCAATTAGGAGAACCACTGTGCTAGGTCTGCGAAAGTCGACCAACAAGGACGGGAAAGGCCCTTCGTCTGTCTTGGCTTTCTCATAACCGAGACGACAAAATTCCCCCTCACCTGATTGAGCCCCGCAAACACCTTCCCATAAGCGCCCTCCCCCAGAAGCTCCCCCCGGGTCCACACAAACGACCCCGTCTGTTTCGTCTCAGCCGCGTCAAACAGGCTCTTCGCGCTGGGGGGAATCACCGCCTTATCCTTGACCTTCATCGCAGGATTACAGCTCCCGTCACACTCCGGCTTCCCACACGCAACGCATCCGTTCTTGCTCGCCTCCTTCTGCCAGTCTTTTCGTATCAGCTCGATGTCCTTCATGTCGAACTGCACCCCTTTCTTAACAGGGGGCCCCACCTTCGCATCGGAGCCCCCCCCCGAATCGGAACCCCCCCCCGAGCTCGACGCGGGCTTCTTGAGAGCGGGCGTGAGCTTC